CTAGTTAAGTTTACAGTTACGAATATAGTCGTTATACTGCTTCCGACTAGAGCTATTAAATATAGTGCAGTCCTTAAGTTTAGCATCCTTCTTTTAGATAGGTAGTAAAGAAGGTCCTACTATTGGCTTAGTAGTAGTTGTTAGAGATTCCTAGAGGCGGCGAATCTCGAGAAGATTATCCTTTAGCTATTGTTCTTAACGTAAGGTAGTAAGCCTGTTTTAGGTAGCTTCTTAAAGCCTCGCTACTAGCTAGGGGCTAAAGGCTAGTTAGCTATATCGACGGTTAACAATATTGTTAAGAATGTCGTCGATAGGCAATTCTAGGTCGTTACCTAGAATTATAGGTTCTTCTTTAATAGGCTCTCCGGTAGGCTCTTTAGTAGGAGGTACTTTAGTAGGCACTTTAGCGGGAACTGTGCTACTAGCGTTGTTATTGCTAGCGCTACTAGCGGCAGTACGGTTGTTGTTTCGTAATAAGCCGGCTATTATAAGGGGCGACACTAATAATGTATTATTAGCCTCTAAGATGCGGATGTAGCGGAATTAGTAGATATCGGCTTAGTATGCTTAACTTAGTATAATAGGCCGTATAGAAGGCCTTGCTTGATAATTAGTACGGTTGTTTCGATAGAATAGTACGTATAGGTCCCGTTCTTCGGGCGCAATATAGTTAAATTAGTCTTATTCGTAGCTATACCGCTAAAAGCTTAAAATAAGGACTATCTAGCTGCTGCCCTTAAAGGGTAGATCGAATACTATATAAGAAGGGTATATTAGCAGGTAGATAGGGTAGTAGTAGGTACGAGTAGTATTCGATAAGAAGCTAGAAGGAGAGGGAGGAAGGCAGGCAAGTTAGCCTATTGCTAAGCGCTAAGCCCTGCCTAAGGCATTGAGACCCTAGCTTCACTCGAGCCTAGTTATATACCAATCACGTATAACCTCTTTAGTCCTAACATACCTCGATCTTTCCGACCCTTTAAGCGAGGCGAACCTCTACTACTATACTTATAATAGCCTTTACTTATAGAAACTAGACGAGCTATGTTTTTTAAAAAGATAAGATAAGATTGACACTTAAAGGCTACTAAACCTAGCTAATTAGGGCTAGCGAAACTACGAATAATAAGAACAATAACCCTCGGAAGCGGACAAACCCTCGGAAGCGGACATTACTAGGTCTTTTAAGAGTAGACGCAAAGAACTCGGTACGACATTACTTAGAGCGGAGGCAGGGCTGCAATACCTCGTACATCTACCTATTATAGTAGGGAAGACGCGCTCGTATTATAATTAGTCGAAGGCCCTCAATTCTTATAGATATATATCACTTTACAGTTTATTGTGTATAGGGATAGCGCAGTTAGAGTTAGACATTAGGCTGTATTAGAGGTGAGGTATAATATAGTTATATAATTAGGTAGTTAAGTGTTTAATTTAGCGCGGGCTAAGTAGCCTATTAGACTTGCTAAGTTAGCGGCAATAGAGGTCGTAGAACGTAGACAGGCTACGAGGGCGCGGCCTTTAGAAGGGAAGCGTATATTAGGGCCAAAGAGGCTACACGTAATTGGTATATAACTAGGCTAAGTGAAGCTAGGGTCTTAGTACCTTAGGCAGGGCTTGGCGCTTAGCAATAGGCTAACTTGCCTACCTTCCTCCCTCTCCTCCTAGCTCCTTATCGAACACTACTCGTACCTACTACTGCCCTATCTACCTGCTAATATGCCCTTCTTATAGTAGGTCGATTAGTAGGTCGATTAGTAGATCGATTAGCAGTTCGATTAGCAGTTCAGCTAGCAGTTCGATTAGTATTTTAATTACTAGTAACGGTTTAATTTAAAATTTCGGTAGTAGTTTAATTAGTAGTTTAACTAGTAGCTTAACTAGTAGTTTAATTAGTCGTTTTATTAGTAATTATATAAATAGCTTGATTAACTATTTAATTAATAGTTTAATTAGCAGTTCGATTACTAGTTTTAGTTTAACGAAAATTTTAATTAGTATTTTATTAGTAGTTTCTTTAATAGTTTTATTAGTAGTTTTATTAATAGTTTTATTAGTAGTTTTGTTAATAGTTTTGTTTCTAGTTTAGTTAGTGGTCTTAGTACTTTAATTAGTAGTCCTATTCGTAGGTTAGCTCGTAGTCTTAGTAGTTTTACTAGTAGTTTTATTAGTAGTTCTGTTAACAGTTTTATTAGTAGTTTTATTAATAGTCCTATTAGTAGTTTTACTAATAGTTTTACTATTAGTGCTATTTAAGTTATTAGTTTTATTATTAGTTTTATTATTAGTTTCATTATTAGTTTTATTATTAGTTTTATTATTAGTTCTATTATTAGGTTTACTAATAGTTTAGCTGATAGTTTATCTAATAGTCTATCTAATAGTTTACCTAATAGTTTAATTAATAGGTTTGTTAATAGTTTTCTTAATACCTAGTCCTACTAATAGTCTAATAGTCTAAAGTTACTAGTAGCTCTACTAATAGCTTTATTAAAATTAATAGTAAAATGTGCTCCTAGGCGGCTAGCGCGTGCCTAGAGGAGTGCGAGCGAAGCTTTCGCCTTATATATACTAAGCTAATTCGATTCTTTAGACCTCGAAGCTAGACCTTGAAGCTATTACTATTATTATACGATTTAGTTCTATTAGAATAGTTTATTAGGAATAAGTATTTTTATATTTTTGTATTACTATTTTTCTTTTCTAGTATTTTAGATACTACTTTATTATTTTCAACTTTACATATACCACTTACTTTTATTCTAGTTTTCTCTAATTTTTTATATCTATTACTACTTTTTATATTATTAAAAAAACTATTTTTAATTTTTTTCTTTAATGTTTTACAGTTTTTCTATTTAGTATCTTACTTGTTTTACTTACCTATTTTATATTTTCTTATTTATTTTTATCACACGTTTTCTTTTTTCTCATACGTCTAAGTCCTCTTATTTATATCCTTATTTATTACTTGTTTTCTATCTTACTACTTAGTTTAGTACTAGCTTATTATTTAGTCTATTAATTAGCTTATTATTTAGTTTATTATTTACTTTGTTCTCTAGTTTTTTATTTAATCTATTATTTGCTTTATTATTTAGTTTCTTCTCTAGTTTATTATTTACCTTCTTTTTAACTTTATTATAAGTTATTTATTTACTAGAATATAATTTATTTTATTAATTGTTTAACTAATTGTTTAACTAATTGCTTTACTAATTGTTTAATTAATCATTTAATTAATTGCCTTACTAATTGTTCTACTATTGTTTTATTTATTGTTTTATTAATTGTTTTGTTAATTGTTTTGTTAATTGTTTTGTTAATTGTTTTATTTATCGTTTTATTAATTAGTTTATTAATTGTTTTGTTAATTGTTTTGTTAATTGTTTTATTAATTGTTTTGTTAATTGTTCTATTAATTGTTTTATTAGTTGTTTTATTAGTTGTTTTATTAGTTGTTTTATTAGTTGTTTTGTTTGTTGTTTTGTTAATTGTTTTACTAACCAGGATAGTACCCGTACGTAAGTACTTCTGCTCCTTCTACTTACGTAGTAATAGCGGTAGCGCCCGCGAGTTTTTAAATTTTATATATACCTAGTATAGCGGAGCCGCGAATTTTAGGGTTCCTCGCTCTTATTCTCGCTCTCGTTCCTTTAATATTTTTCGGTAATTTTATAAATTTAAATCGTATGTTTTCTATAATTAAAATTAATTTTTCTATAGGTTCTTTTATTAAAAGTTGTTTTATAAATTCTTTTATTAATGTTTTAGTTAATTTTCTTATTAATTTTCTTATTAATTGTTTGTATATTTTACTATATATTTTACTATATATTTGAAGTATTAGAAGGAAGGCAAAAGGCTTTACTAGCGGTTGTTCGGGAAGTCGGCGGTTGTTCGGGAAGTCGGCGCTTGTTCGGGAAGTCGGCGCTTGTTCGGAGATACCGGCGCTGGCTCCGAAAGTCTCTACTTATAGAAATTAACTAATTAGGTATATAGGATTCTAAAATCCGGGGTCGGCTTAGCGTTACGTATAGCTAAGTGCGTATTCTAGCAACTAGATTAGTACCTACGTTGCTATTATAAGGCGAGCTTCGCTCGCAATAAAGTCGCGTAAAAGTTAGATACGTAATTTTCTCGGAGGTTGTGTTCTGCCGTACCGTCCTAGCAGTTCTTATAGAATTTAGCTAATTAGAGCTTTAGCTTTTAGAATCCGGGGAATTACGTAGTAACAACTCGGCGCAATTAGCTACTATAGTACCCTTATTAGTATAAGGCGAGCTTCGCTCGCAACTATTAGTAGTCTTACTAATATTTTCGCTATAGGGACCTTTATACTAGTCGATAGGCTTTATATTTAGTAGGATATAGCTATATCTAGGTCTTTAGTATACGTTAAGCTCCTACTAAGTTTTTATTAGCGTATTACGCTTATATCCGGGATTCGTTAAGCGCTTTCGATTTGCGTTCTACGCTAAAATCCGGGGTAAGTCAAATTTCCCTTTAATATTTGTTTCGATTGACGTTCTACGCTGAAATCCGGGGTAAGTCAAATTTCCCTTCAATCTTTGATTGCATATTACTTCTGCGAAATTTCTTAGCCAATCATTTCGGTCTTAGCGGACAACTTGGATTTTCGCGGGCGGTGGCCGCGGTGTCTAGATTGGCAGCTGCGCTGCCAATAAGGTTTTCTTTCGGCACCGAATCGGAGATGAGACCCGCTCGTTCCGATCTCATCTCTGGCCATGCTCTTCACGACATCCCTCTCAGTGCTTGCTCCTCACCAGAACGAACGTCGGCATGCATTCGTCCGAGAGCCCTCATGGCTCCCCCAGATCCCTCCAGACCTACGCAAGGGCTACTGCCAGCTCTCGTAGCCACATAACATGTTTGTTTACAGGCTGATCACTGCGCTCACGCCGGGAAATCTTGGCTTCACGTTACCTTGCTATGAGTAGCAGCCCACAGCATCTGAACATGCTCTGGTCCGCAGCTTGAAGACTATGCTTGTTATAATTTGGCTCCTTCTTGCTGCTCTTTCTGGGGCACAAGAGAATTTAATAGCTCATCTCGACTATGGCAGTTTCAAAGGCGCATATTCGTCCGAGTACAACATTTCATACTGGCAAAAAATACCTTTCGCTGCAAAGCCCATCGGACCGAACAGGTTCAGAGCACCTCAGCCGCCGGAACCAATCACAAATGGAACGTTCGACAGCAGCCAGACCTTTGACATGTGTGTTCAACGTACGACGAACGGGTCAGAAGACTGCTTATATCTGGGACTATACGGTCGACCGTGGAGGACAGGGCAATCTCTCCGACCTATCGTTGTCGTCTGGCACGGCGGTGCCTTCATACAAGGAAGCGCCAGTTTCACGATCCCTCCCTCAGCCTATCCGATCTTAAACGTCAGCGCACTGAACGATTTTGTGGTAGTCTATTCGAGCTACCGTGTCAATGCTTTTGGATTCCTGCCTGGTCGTCACGTCGCCGAGGATGATCTTAGCGATCTCAACGTTGGCCTCCTCGATCAGCAGGCAGCTCTCAAGTGGACTCGGAAGTACATCAAGAACTTTGGTGGCGATCCGAGGAATGTCACAATATGGGGTCAGTCGGCAGGCGCAGGATCAGTCATTGCACAAGTGATTGCTAAAGGAGGGACATCTCTTAGGCTTTTCAGCAAAGCCTTGATCTCGAGCCCATTTTGGCCGAGAACTTATCGCTACGACTCGTCAGAAGCACAGGAAATCTACGATCGCTTTGCAGAGCTTGCCGGATGTGCCGGGGATGATTCTCTTCGCTGCTTGAAGGCTGCCAATCTTCAGACCCTCCGCAACGCTTCCCTAGCCATCAGTGCCACTCATACTTACAATACTTCTTCATACACCTGGGCGCCTGTCATCGACGACAAGTTCCTCTGCCAGCCTCTGTCACAAGCCTCAGCCCAGGGAGATGTCAACGTGGATTTTGCTTTCAGCACGTACAACTCGCACGAAGGCGAGAATTTCGTCCCGCCCGGCTTTCAAAATGCCACAGGAGCAGATGGGTTCAATTCGTCCATGGCTTCTTTTGATGCATGGCTGGAAGGCTTTCTGCCCAAGCTTTCGTCGGGAGATCTTGATCACGTTAAGACACTGTACCCTGCATCTGGCGAGGTCGATAGAGTCGACTACCAGGGCACTTATGTTAGAGCTGGCTTGGTGTATCGAGACTTAGTGCTAGCTTGTCCAGCGCTTTGGACAGCGAAGTCTAGCCGTGCAGGACAGTATTTGTGAGTCGAAAAGCCTTATCACAGCTAGACAAGCGCTCACGCATATTTGGTACAGGGCCGAATACACGATCGATCCTGCTAAACATGGCAGCGACACGCAATATTGGAATCAAGTCAATCAAATCCAGAAGACAGATCCCTTGATCTACGATGGCTATGCTGGCGCGTTCGCATCATTTTTCCAGTCAGGCAACCCCAATCTGCACAAGTTGACTGCTGAGTCTGAGCCTGGTGTGCCAGAGCTGATTGGGACGAAACAAAAGTTTGTGGTCCGAGCTGACGGATTTCAGAATTTACCCACAGTAGAGCTTAAGCGCAGGTGCGACTTTTGGCGTAGCGTTGCTGCGAAAATCCCCATCTAGAGTGTCGTTGCGTATGCGCCCGTTGCTTAGCCAGTGAATGGTATGCCTTTCGCAGCTGCAGACTTCGTCCAGGTCTCGCAGCAGCGACAAGTCGGCTGCAGGCACAAATCGAGATTCTCCATGAGGACAGTGAGCAGAACATCCATCTAAGGTTTCTCCTCGTTACGGAAATGCAGTCTTGTTCCAGTCTTCTTCCTTCAGCACACTGATGGTCTCCTCTCTAAGAGGCCGCTGGACCTCTGGATATTCGCAAAGCCGGATCAGACATCGACCAAGCGTCACTGTAGTAGTTTGTATAGCAGCAAAACACCGTCTTAGCTTTCCGCGGTCAAATCGTCGTCTGCGCCACAGCAGCAAGCTGTAGGACTTTGCGAATGCCACGAACAAGAAAACCTCGCCATAGAACCTCCGACTTTGATATGCTTAGAGAACTCGGTGAGTTCGATGGCGTTCGGAGATGACTTTAGTTGTCCATTGAGCACAACTAGCACGAGCTCTACTTGTTTTCCACCACGCCCCACTCCTTGGGAAACACGAATTGTAGAATCCCTTTCTCTGCTGCACTTTTCCAACCAGCCACGACCAGGTCTTTGATCTGTTCCTTGACCGCATTCGCCTTACTCGCCGCGGCCAGATATACGGTCATCTCGCTCACGCACACCACCACAACATTTTTCAGCCGGGGCACATCCGCCAACACATCCTCAGAGAGAAGGCCGCCAGGAGCAGTGCTGTAGACAGGTGGATCGACACCCCAAGGCGTAGCCCTAAGCCACTGCACTTCAATTTCGGCCCTCTCCAAAAAGCTCTTATGCTTCTCACTCAACCGCGCCTTGACCTGCTGAAGATGCGAAACACTGTCAAAGTGAAAAACGTTCTTGGAGTAATAGGCCTCCAAACCAGCGAAGTAAAAGTCCTTGCACACTGCGATGACGGGTAATAGAGGGCTTTTTCGCATGCGCTTCCGCTTCGGCGGGTGCTGATATCCGGCTGGAAAACGTTGCTGACGTGACCACTGAGGGATATCTCGAAGGTTTGCGATTTCATTGGACCAGCGGGCCTCTTTGCGTTCTCGAAGCGTGATGGGTGAAGAGACCGTTAGGACGTGCCCGATTATCTCCACCAAGAGTTCTTTGGGTAGATCCATGATGGTTGTTTTGCTCGGAACTTGAGGGGTAGGTGGAGGTGTTGCCGCCTGACATGCGGCCTGTCTGGTGTTTGCGGCGCATTTCTGGGATGAGCGTTGCTGCTTAATTCTTGGTCTCTTCGCAGGCCGCATTCCGGCGTCGATGGTGTTGCAGTCGGAGATGTGGCGCTCTGGCATTGTATTCCACGATTCACTATCGAAAATGATGACCTGATCTGTTCAGATCCCGGAATACCAGAGTCCTGGAGCGGGCGACGAAGCGGACTTGTGGAGACAAACTTCCGACAGCATTCGGTGCAAGCGTGGCAACGAGCAATACGGAGCAGTATAGGAGAAGAAGAGGATGGATGACCGGAGCCGGGGCCAAATCATATGCGAGGTGACTCGTGTAGCAACAGAGTGCACGGACCTTGAACCCTACAGATTAAAAGCGGGGCCGGGCGGCTGAGTGAGCATGGCGCCAAGGCCATGCAAGTGACTGAATCAGACTGATGAGTCTGATGAATCTCCCCAGGCAAAGTGCAATTCGTACAGGACAGGAATGCTCACGTCGCAAATTGGTGTTATGAATGGGAATGGTTCTGAAATATGTGCAAAAAAAAAAACGCTCATCGAGCATCCGAGCTACTTCTGTGCAAGTCAAGCCATATGCGACACAGAGGCGGCACCTCTTACGCCTCCGGATTCAGGCACCTCTCCCGAGGCATCGTAGATACCAGCTACATCGGCCTTGCGAATGCTGCAGACACCAATTCCTTGGCGAAGGATCACCAGCTGAAGTCATGCCAGGGAATAGGATTTCCAAGACCTCAAGACGTATACACGCCTGTAGGTACGGCATGGTAACCTCTCTTTCCGATTCTATGGGTCAGATCACTCCGATAGTCGAAGCCTTGACTGATCAATTCAACAGCATGTTCAAATGTGTATTTGGGCCTCCACTCCAGATCTCGTACTGCCTTGGACGAATCGTAAACCCGATCCAGCCTATCAGGTAATTTCCAGCCATGCTGAACAAGCATTTCTGCATGCTTTGGGACTGTCGCTTTTATAGCCTCAGGAGCGTTCGAATCCAGCTTGCTGAGCAACACAGGCCTCTTCTGGAAAGGTGGCGGTGCGCTGATGATGTACTTGGCCCAGCCGATGTCCTTCGCTCGTCTCATGGCGCATATGTGAGCGCTGACAATATCTGAGATATCTGCCCTCCGGTAGAGAAGCTCGTTGACTTTAAGATTGTCGTCATCGTAAGCGAGCCTCGAAGCCTCGTTATCGTCAGGCTCAGGAAAGAATCGAGAAGTCTTCAGGACCAGGGTGGGCATCTTCGTTTCCGATTGTACCAGCTGGCAAAGATCTTCTGCAGCGACTTTCGTAGCTCCATAGATGTTCTTTGGTTTGGGTGTGACTGTCTCGTCGATCCATGCTGCAGGCTGCCCAGGGTTTGGTGCTAGAGCAGAGCCGAAAGTAGAAGTTGTGCTGGTGAAGACGAAGGCATCAATGCGACCAGTCTTGCTTGCCTCCTCCAGAAGTATCAATGTGCCTTTTACATTCGTTTCAAGGAATTCTTCCTTCTTGTGAGAAGCGACATGAGGCTTGTGTAGAGTGGCTGCGTGGAGCACATATCGAAGCGATGTATGTCTCGCGAAGATTCCCGCGATAAAATCACGATCTGAAATGCTTCCAACCAAGCTGGTATGACCCGAAGGCAGAATGTCAATCCCGATGGGCACATAGCCACAGCCCGGTAGTTCCAGCATGAGAGCATGTCCGAGATGCCCCGAGGACCCAGTGACCAGGACGTTCGGTGCCTTCATCTGACGTATTGCGTATTGCCGAGACGATGCTGCTTGCTTTCCAGAGCTCAAGATACCTGGCCTTACTTCTTTGCCTGCGATGACTATTAAAGTATGTCCTTCCACCAGGATTGACTCACACCTGAAGGTCAAAAGCCTGCCCTGCCCCGCACCGTCTCGTCGTCAGAGATCATCGCACCTTCATCAAACATGTCATCTGTGAAGCACTTGGTCAGGATCCGCCCAGAACAGTCCAGAGACATTCCAGACATTGCAACGCTCATCACCACGGCATACTCGAACAACACTCGTCTCAACCACCTCGCCCTCGCTCCCGCCCTCTCACGTCTTCGCTCCGAGAGCGCGCTTCATCATTCTCTGGTATCGACATGTGGTCACGAGCAGGTCGTGGGCCACATAGCTGCTTTTCCAGTCCTCGTCGACGGTCACGACCAAGATTGGCTTGGCCTCGCGCCGCTCTCTGTGAAATGGGAACTGCAAGGGCAGGGAATCGGAACGATGCTGGTCAATGAACTGTTGAAAGCTCTTCGGGAGGCAGGCGTAAACGGCTGCGTCGTTGCAGGGCGGCCGAAGTTCTACCAAAGATTTGGCTTCCAGCGAGATCCGAATCTGAGATTCGCAGGAGCTCCAGCAAGTGCCTTCTTAGCATTGCATATGAACGGTCCAGCCGTGAGTTGAGAGGTGACTTACCACGAAGCTTGGAAAGCCGTCTGAACGTGCACAAGTTGTATCAAAGTTTTATCTATATCATATCAACATCCCACGATCCAATGGAAACGCCGTGTCCTGCGCAATGACAAAATGCTTCCTCCAAGGACATCTCGCAATACGCCGGCCGCTGTGCTGTAAAACGCACAAATACGCGAAGCATCAGTGTCTGAAACACCTCCGCTTTCAAAATCCAGCATCGAAATCAACATCGGCTGCAAGGCCAAGCAGGCTTACCAGGCTTAGCAGGCTTCTATGCCTTCTGCAGCCACTGAAGAACCTCCTCCTTCTCATCCACAGGCAACATGCTGAGCACTTGCGCAACACCCTTGAGACCTCCGCTCTTGTGGCTGCGCATGAGAGTAGCAACGTCGTAAGCGATGGCGTCAGTCTTCATCGCCTCGATCTTATCCGCAATGCTCTTCCTGTTCTCCTCGAACCACATAGCGACAGACATGTCGTCGGTCGCGTACTTGGGCAGACCAGACCAAGACTCGAGAGTCTTGAGACTGTTTGATCTGCTGACCAGCTCCTTGGACTGCGAGCTGGCGATGCGCTTGAGGACATACTCCTCATTCAAACGGCGGCGGAGACGCCAGTAAAAGAAGCGACGAGCCTGAGCCCACTGCAGCGGCGCGCGGATGGCGCCCTTGGCCTTCATGCGACCAGCACGATCGTGGAGGTCTGCGTACTGCAGCGAGATCTGCTGGTAGACGGGGAGAAGCTGCTCTTCGCGCCGAGTCATCTTCTTGCGGATCTCATTCTGCTCTTCAGCCGAGAGGCTCTTGTCGTTCAGCTTGGCTCTGAGCTCGGCGTAAGTCGCGTCTAGGCGAGCCATGGTCTCGAGCTGTCGCTCCTTGCGGTACTTGATGCCGACGATACCCTCAGGCTCGAGAACACCACCACGTGCCTCCTCATCCGCGTACATCTCCATCATCTCTGGGTTGATGGTTGGGTCAACGACGACCCAGGATCCACCACGAAGCTCACCGAATGGCGGAATGTAGATGAACACTGGCTGTTCATATTTGACGAGGGCATCGACAATGTACGAACCGTACTTGAGCACTTCGTTGTACATGTCGCGTTGACCACCAGAGAAACCACGCCAGTTGGCAAGGATCATGAGTGGGAGCTGCTCGCCGTTGTTGAAGTCACGAATGGCCTGAGCGGTCTTGAAAGCGCTGTTGGGGTACCAGACTCCACCGGCTTCGTTGGTGATCTGCTCGATGGAGTCTGGGTTGGCAGGGTCGGCTGGAGTGATGTTCTCGACAGAGCGAGTCTCAACACCGATGACACCAACTGGAATGCCTCCAAGACGAGCGCGGCCGACAACAACAGTGCGGGCCCAGCCACCAAGAGCCTCCTCGAAGGAGTTCTTGTCGAAAAGACCAGACTTGAAGCCATCGTCAGTCTCAGCACCCGCGATAAGGTGACGGACATCGTATGTAGCCTTTTGCGGTGGGAAGAATGTGATCTCACGGTCCCAGGTGTCTGCAGATGGTGAGATTGGCACTGGAGCACCCTTCTTTTCTGGGACGAAAGACAACCAGCGGACCATCTTGGATACACCCTCGAAGTCGTCATCAGCAGTCATGTGCGAAACACCGTTCTTGTACATGATTTGTGTGCCACCCAGCTGCAAGTTGGAGGTGTACACCTCACGACCCAAGAGCTTGTTGATGGCTGGTGCACCAGTGAGGATGATTGGCTGTCCCTCGATCTGGATCGCACGCTGACCAAGACGTACAAGGTAAGCACCAATACCGACAGAGCGGCAGGTGACCAGTGTGCAGGTAAAGACGTCTTCGTAAGCACGCGAAGTCTCACCAGCGATGAGACCAGAGCCCTTCAAACACTCAACACCCAGGCCGTCTTCGGCACCAACAATGGTAGTAATCTTGTGGCGAACCTCGTTGCCGACCTTGATAGGCTCGGTGATGACGTGCTTGAGTGCGCCATCCTCGAAGCGGGCCTTCTTGTCTGGAGTCAGGTAGAGGTAGTCGAATCCGGCTTCCTGCTTGCTTGGGTCCTTCCATGCGACAGAGAAGTGTGGAATAAGTTCCTCAGCCATGCCGATGCGAGCACCAGAGTTGGCAGACAAGTAGAGACGCGGGATGCCCAACTTGCGGGCAAGCTCAGAGCACTTGTGGAAGAAGCGATCTTCCTGAGGACCAAACGATCCGATCTTGTGAGTGATATCGTTGGCAATGATGATGAAGCGACGGCCACGTGGGTATTCCGGAGTCTTGGCGGTGATGATCCAGCCGACCATGCCAATGCCGTTCGCACCTGGCTCTCGGTTGACTTCGGCCAGGTTGTCGGCATCGTCGATGACAAGTTCGCTGTACTCGATGCACTCGCCCTTGATGGGCTGCTTGTCCTTCATGGCTGGGTGCTGAGCCACAATCTTATGCCATTCATTCTCGATAGCTTGACGGAACAGCTCAGGGAAGTCGTAGACGTACTGAGTACCCATGATGTGGGCCTTGTAACGCTTTGGCTGCAGTGCGCCCTTAGTCTCGTAAGGTGTGCCGACAGGACGCAAGTGCATGCTGCCAATCTTGACAGATCCGCCAATGCTGTGGAAAAGCCATTGACCAGTCTTCTCAGACTTCCGCTCCTCGTACAACTCAACCTGGATGATGTATCCGGATGTGTTGGTGATGTTGACGCGCATTGGGAGAGGTGCGCCAGTCTCTGGGTTTGTGCAGACTAGGCGGATCTCAGCGCCAGTAACGCGGAGTCTCCATGCGCGACGACCGAAGCGGTCAAGGAAACCACCGAGGGCCTCTTCAACCTCCTTGGGCGACAGTGGGAAGGTGGCCGAGAAGTTGATGAAGATGTGGTTCATGTCAGAACCGTTGTTACCAACGATTTCCATGGCATCCAGGATGTCAGTCATCAAGCGGTCAGCCTCAGAGATCATGTACTCAGCAGTAGGAATCTCCTCACGCAAGTGACCGGGTCTAACAGTCGCTCTTGTGAAGTATCGCTTGTCGGTCTCAGCGTTCTTGCCGATGGCCTCGTACATGTGGATGTTTCGGTTTTCGGTGAACACGGGCTTGATGTTGAACTTCTCGAGACGACCAAGCTCAAGCTGGAAGGCAAGCGCTGGCTCAATATGACGGATGGAGGTGTCTTCCTCGTATGTAGGTCCGCGGAAAGTGTAGTAGCCAGGGTATGTGCCATCCTTGTGACCGCAAATGAACGTCAAGCGACGCACGCGACGGGCAAGTAGCTCCTCCTTGTACTCTGCGACGATTGGGAGCAAGCGAGCGAGAATTTCCTTGTCGTCCAAAGACTCTGCATCGCGGACTGCGACGTTGCAGACAGCGGTCAGGTCGTCGTTGCTCTCTGGAGCCTGGGCTGGACCACGCTTCTTAGACAAGTCAGCCATGAGACCACCATCAGCCTTGCTCTTGGCACCCTTGGCAACTGGGAATGCCTCGAGTGCTTTCATGAGGTACTCATCGGCCTCATCGATGAATGGCACTGGCACAACCGCACCACGTCGGTTTGGCTCAGAAGCTCCGACCTGGCGACCAATGTAGCTCATGTCACTGATACTATGCACGCGACTGAAGCCCTCCGCCGGGGTGCCTGGTGTTGATGGGTGGGAAGACTCAATAGGCAGGCCGAACTCGGACTCTCCGACCTTCCGGAGGGCGAAGTCCCAAGCAAGGACATATGGCGCATCGTTGTCGGTCAAGTAGTCCAGGCTCTTCAGCTGGTAAGCACGGTATGCGCGGCGAGTGTACACTTCCAAAGCGGCGAGGAATGTAGGCGAGGGCCTTAGAACGAAGAAGTGGGGCAGCACGTCGAAGACTGTGTACTTTGAGTCAACGACCTCCTTGATGACCTCGTAGTTTGGTTCACGGTGATCCCAGCCGCTCTCGCCATATCTTGACTCCAAAACGGCAGATCGGAGAATGTGCTCCATCTGGTTGGTTCGCTCCTCGAGAGAAGGCATGGCGCACTGGATCAGCAGCTCACGGGCCTTCAGCGCAACTTTTGCAGTTGGGCGACCCTCGAGGTCAGCCAGTCTCTGCAGCGAGCCGCGCAAGTACTTGGCAACGTTGCCGACACCTGGCTGGTTTGGTCTGTAGGCAGCCAAGATCTCGACAATGAGGTTGTTCTTGGCTTGAGCACGGGTGTGCGACAACACTGTCTGGACGACATCGGCAGTCTTGTCCTTGTTGGCGTCACGGAGCGATAGGACGACTTCCTCATCGCGGTTCTGTCGAGCTGAGAAGATGGACTCAACATTGGCATACTGATCGAGAAGCTCGTTGATGACCTGGAATTCGTGAGCCTTCAAGCCATCGCTGTACTTCTTGATGATGTCAGTCAGCGGCACGAGCTGTCCACGAAGCAGCTCAGCGTCACCGGCAGACATGTCTGCCAAGAAGCGGTCAAAAGCCTTCGACAGCTGCTTGGCTGGGAACTCTGTCTTGCGGCTGTGTGATCGCTTGACAGTCTCTTCGAAAGCAGTATCAAGCTTGGCCGGCATACGAGAGTGCAGGGCAGACGCTTGCGCGTTCCATTCTCCGTATGGCAGCTCCGGATCTCTCAGGACCGCAATGAGCTCCCTGAGAGTCTGCTTCATGATGACCTGGTTGTCATAACCCTGCAAGATCGATTCCACGACACCGCGCAGGAAAGCGTATCGCTGCGGTGGCTTGGTACCAAGGACGACTGGCGTGCCCATGTCTGGAAGTTGGCCCAAGAAAGGCTGCGCCGACTTGACCTTGGATGGGTCATCGAGAGCTAGGATACCAAGAATGTCACCCGCAGCAAGTGTGGCACCTGGCTGCTTGATGAGGTTGACGACACCGTCTTCCTGGGCAATGAGAGGCATGTACATCTTCATGACCTCGACCTCGGCAAATGCTTGGCCCTTCTTGACGTGCTCACCGTTTTCGACCGCGAACTTGACGAGCTTACCAGGAGATGGTGTTCGGAGCTGAGTTGGGTCGTTCTCTTGCTCAAGAAGGCAGGTCTTGCCATCGACGGACATTCGGATCGCACCAACTTCCTCTTTCCAGTAGACGTTGTGCGACCGACCGCCGAGAAGGACAAGAAGGCCACCATCGGACAACGTTCTGATGCCGACAAGCGCTTTGCTACCATTGATGAAAAGGGTGTAGGAGTCGCGGCTGCTGCGAGTGGCAGTGAACTTGTACTTCATGCCCTCGTAGATGAACTCAATAGGGAAGACCGTTTTAAGGATGTCCTTGGCGGGCACTTGACCCTTGTCGAGACCCTTCTTGTATTCTTCGAAGCAGCCTTCGCTGGCAACGTGGGCCTTGGTCACAGCACCACAAACGACCGCGACCATTGGGTCTGGTCGGTCTGCCGTGAGGCGTTTGCTGATGAGCTCGTCGAGCCATCCTGTTGTGATGGTGTTCTCCTCGAAGGCTGGAGTTTCCAACAGCTTGATGAGGTACTCGACCGTTGTCCTGAAGTCACCACGAATGCTCAGCTCTTTCAGTGCGACAACCATATGCTTTCGTGAAGCCTGTCTGCTCTCGCCGTATGCGAAAATGTGACCGAATTGCGAATCGGAGAAGTTATGGATTGCGGAGGCGGCACCGACTGAGAAGTAACCCCAGACATTGCTAGAGGATCGGAAGTTCAGCTCGTGCATGGTACCCGACGATGGCTTGAAACCCTCGCCAGGATCTTCGGAGGTGATACGGCAGGCCGTGCAGTGGCCCTTTGGCTGCGGCCTGCGCTGCTTGCCAGAGCTGTCGGCTTTGGTGAAGTTGAAGTCGATTTCGGTCGCTGTGTGTGGATCCGCACCGTAGAGCAAGCGAATGTCACGAATGCGGTGGAGAGGAAGACCCATGGCAACCATGAGCTGCGTGGCTGGAACGTTGACACCCGAGACCATCTCAGTGGTAGGATGCTCGACCTGAAGACGGGGGTTCAGCTCCAGGAAGTAGAACTTGTCGTCTGCGTGCGAGTAGAGGTACTCCACCGTACCAGCAGAGACGTATCCGACAAGTCTTCCCAGCGAGACAGCGGCATCTGCCATCTGCTGGAAAGTGTTCTGGCTTGCGATTGTGACTGGCGCCTCTTCAATGATTTTTTGATGTCTTCGCTGCACAGAGCAGTCACGACCAAAGATGGAGATGTTGTTGCCGTACTGATCAGCCATGAGCTGGACTTCCAAATGTCTCGCATTGCCGGCGAGCTTCATGATGAAGATTGGTGAGCCAGGGATTTCGCTGGCAGCAGCCTTGTACAGTGCTTCGAATGTCTCCTCGTTCTCGACCTTGCGGATACCCTTGCCTCCACCTCCTTCTGAGGCTTTGACCATGACTGGAAATCCGATCTTCTTGGCTGCTGCGAGACCTTCCTGCCATGAGGTTACGCAACCCTTTTGGTAGACGTCATCGCGGACCGTGACGATGTTGTTCTCATCGATCTCAACCTCGTCCACGCCCTCTCCAGACCATGGAATACAGGGCACCTTCGCGTGTTGTGCGACAATGGTGGAAGAGATCTTGTCACCCAGTGATCGCATGGCCGAGCCTGGTGGTCCAATGAAAATGATCTTCTTGGGCGATGCAGCGAGCGATTCGGGAAGCTTGGGGTTCTCAGAAGCATGTCCCCAACCAGCCCAAACAGCGTGGACGTTCATTCGCTCGGCGATATCGACAATGAGTTCTACGTTGGCGTAGTTGTTGTTGTTGGTGCCACCGGGCACTTCCACGTACTGGTCCGCCATTCTGATATAGTCGGCGTTGGCAGCCAAATCTTCTGGCGTCGCCATGACAGTGAATTGGACGGCGCGCTCGTTGCCGAAGGTTTCGTAGGCCCATTTTCGCACTGATCGGATTTCCTTGACCGCTGCAATACCGTTGTTCGCGATCAGGACCTGTTTTGGTTGTCAGTCCCATTCTCAAGTGTGGCACAGAGTCGTGCATAGCCGAAAAGCTTCAAAGGCACAGGACTTACGTTCGTTATGACAGTGTGTCCATCGTGTGCAGCGACAAAGTCCTTCACTTTGCTCGGAGGTGCTTTATCCAGCGCATTGCCTCCAATGAAGTGCGATGCGAGCTTGTATTTCGCCGAGTAGCTGCTAGGATAACCATTGGTGTGGCCATTGGCCTTGGCGGCTCCTCCGACTGCGTCGGCCATGTTCGCAGTCTCTAGAAGTTGTGAGGAGAAGTGAAGTGTAGTTATTAGGGAGGAAGCTGGGCTGGGCTGGGCTGGGCTGGCTGAGGCGGAAAGCTTTCGCTCAAAATGCCCAGCTGATGCCGATCAATTCGTGGCGCGAGAAGTGCTGCTGCTCAACGCGAGGAGCGAAGGAGCGAAGGAGCGAGAGGAGTGAGCAGAGTGAAAATAGCAGGCGATGCAATTGCCAAATATTGCGGAGTCGGGAAACAGCAGATGGCTCGAGCGACGATTAGGTAGCGCAGCAGTTGAACTTGCTGGGATTGTGGGGTGCGACGCGAGAACGACGAGAAGCCCGCTCGGCTCGGGGCTGGCTTTTTATTTGGCGGGTTGTTGGCCGAAGGGAGATGCGGAAAGTGCAGGCACAGCTCGATCTATGCCCCTATTGTAGGTGTCTGCGTTGATGTAGGACGACGAGGCAGAGAATGGTTAAGAATAGGGGGAAAGGAGGGAGGAGGGAAGAGGGAGAGGAGAGTCGAAGAGGTCACGGCGGGACGGTGAGGCTGATGGGGATCTATATGTACGTATGTGCATGCCATGCCATGCCATGCCTTCTCACGCACGCCTCTACACCAAATTTCCAGCACTCCGAGTCCGAACGGGGCTTCGCTTCATCGTTGAACAACTTCTTTAGCCCCGCGAAGCAGCTCACGGGCGGGCACGGAAGGTCGAGTCCCCCGGGGCTCATGCAGCGTTATTGGGGCGCGCCGGGGCCATTGAGCCACAACAAGCTGTGGGTGAGCAGCTCAGCAGAAAGTCGCCCTACGCAAGCGGCAAGACCCTTCGTGCACATCCTGGCTCCGCATGGTTGGGACGGAGCAAGCAGCGACATCACGCTGCAGTCCCAGATTTCCAGCGTGCCTCTGCAAGGTACCTCGTCGCCAACCGATCTGCTCGATATCAACCACTCCTCCTACATAAGACTTATTCCTGCCCATATACCACAACACATCCCCACCGTCCTCACCATCCTCACCATCCTCACATCCTCCTCCACAGTCCCTCGTCGGGCCTTTGCAGCTCAGGAGTCGTACAAATGATCCGTCGCCAGTCTTCCGGCCTCCGAAGAACCATGCGGCAATCCTTGCACTGCTTGGCTGCGTGAGCGTCACAGCGCAGCTGCAACATCCCGCCGGAAGGCGCCCCGAGCTTAAAAATAGTCTCACACCTAGGTATTACTGTCCGTTTCCCAATCGAAACGTCTTCGCTCGCTTTTCCTCACAACGCAATCATACAGTAGTGTCTCGTGCGCGCATCCCGCGAGGGCCACTCTGATCGATCGCTCTTTTCTGTCGTAGACATCTGTCGCCATTGCCACAACAGGAGTGGAAATCAATGCGCGCGCCGAATCTGCATTCCCGAGTCTCGGTAGCCGATGTTCATGCTCGGAGTGTTGCCCATCTGCCACCAGCCCTCGCTACACGTTATCATTTGCCTCGTGTCTGCGTTTACTCATCAGGCACACAGCTGGTCTATCATATATAGTGCCCAGTCTCTACAACGAAAGAGACTCGTCAACATCACAGTCCAAGGGTAAGCAATCGTGCATATAATGGTATCTCTAAAACGTCAGCCGCACTGCACAGCAAACCCAAAGCTAAATCAGCAAAGCCCCTTCCTCCTTCCTGTACTGCACCGCTGTCCAACCGATTCTACAACTCCCGTCTCGTCATCTAGTCAGCCTCGCTCGGTAGATCCATCCTCCTCGTCAAAGTCGTCAGATCTCTAATCTGCTTCCGCTAATAGCAAAGAACCACAAGCGGCATGAGCAGAAACCACCGTGTGCAATTCAGACACCATCTACATTCATGCATCTCATTAATATGTCTCGCCAAGATCGGTGGTTTGCGTGCGCCTGGGCGGAGGCCTCATCGCGCCATCCGCTTTGCCAGGACTGAACCGATTGCTGGTGCCGGACTTCATCGTGTTTGTGCGCGCCTTCACCCCGGGGCCAATGCTTTTCGACAAGTTTGTCGGCGTTGGCAATCCACTGGTCCCAGGCCCAGCTATGCCGCTGCGTTCCATTGTTGTTCTCCTGCTTGGCGGTGTCACAAGGCCGGAGTCCTCACTCTCGGCTGCCTTTCTTCGAGCTCCACTTATGCTGGCACTACTTCTGTGCAGAGTAGGGGTAACTGTTGCGCCTGAAGCATAGTTTCCGCCCAGGCTGGATTGCGGTCGTCCAGGAATAATACTGCTACCTGCGCCAGCCGTTGAAGTGCGCCCTGTATAATGTCCGAAATCAGTCCGTGCACCTGAACGACTTGGCGGCCTGGCATACGATGCGCCGCTGCTGGGCCGGCACGCAGCTGCAGATGGCGGTCGTTCGAGAGCAGACGGGGGTCGGTCCGGCATGTCTGATTTGCCTGTCATTGCTGAAGCAGGTCGTGGAATGCCGTATGAAAGCCGTTTGATATGGCTTTCGCGTCTTGCTGTCCCGTCCGCACGTGCTTCTCCATCGTCATCTTGAAGCACCGAGGAAGTAGTGCTGGCACTGGGCCGTTTTGAGCTGCGTCTCACGGTCACCGAGGAGGGAATGCTCTCGCCTAGCGCGGAACCGGTGCGTGGAGATCCTCTCGGCGTGCCTGGACTAGGCAGCTTGGATCGTGCTGAGTGCACACGTTGTTCAATCTTTTGCATCCTGCCGATCAAGCCTCGGATCTGCTGCAGAGATTCCGAGCGTGGCAGCCTTTCCTGTGCGTTGCTCGGGCGCGGCCGGGGCTTGCCGGGTGGCTTCATTGCTCTTGCGTCAGACAAGGCTGTGCTGGTGCTTGATGCCAGCGAAGGCCCTCTCGAATGCCTTGGTATCCCTCTCGCTGCTCTGGGGGTGGGCCCTGCCTCGGGTATCAAAGATGTCCTCTTCTTCGGCATAGGCGTCTTCTGCTCGCCATTTGCCGGAGCGTCCGATAGAGGAGGCGATGGAGGCGTCGGCGCGTCAGACGCTGTGTCAGACTTGGGCGGCGGGGTCGATGCCGTGGGTGACAGCGGCGTGGCTCCACTCGCCTCGCTGGCAGGGCTTCTGGCGCGAAGATGTTCAACAGCGAGAGAAGACGCCTTGCTGGCTCGCAGTCCTTCAATTGTAGTCGTCGCCAACCGCAGCTTCTCCAGTGTGATTTCGCTCTCCACTTTCAGGTCACTCAGTTCGTCTCGCAACCTCTGCGCTTCGATTCTTAATGCTTCTCGCTCCTGCTCGCCAACCTTCACCGTCTCCTCTAATAATACGCCTCTTTCGATCGCTGCGTTGTACTTTCCCTCCAAGTCCTCCTTTTCAAACTCTGTATTGCGCGCTTTTCGTTCATAGTCATCATTCATAACCTCTGTGTCTCGCAGCTTCAGGTGCAGAGTGCGGTTCTCTTCGCGCATCGTTGTGATCTCCTTCTGTAGGACATTCTGTGCTCGATTGGCCTCGTCTTTGGCCTGCTTGTGTTTCGTCTTCCATTCGTCGACCTCGAAATTGAGCTTCTCAACTTGTTCCTTCCACTTTCGCTCACTCTTCTCGGCCGTCTCCACGTCCTTCTCGAGCTGCTCTTCGAGCTCCTTGCTGCTAGCCTGGAAGTCTGCAAGGTCCGTTTCGAGCTGTTCGTATTGAGTCTTGTACCATTGTAGTTGCTCCTTGAGGTCCGCACCCACGCGCAGCGGCGAGGAAGTCATGTTGGTCGTCCAGTACCAGTATCCAGCACTTGTCGCGCGTCTCTAGCGGCGCATGTCTTTCAGATGGGTTGTTGTCACGGACGGCGAGCGATACGGTAGACGTGAGTACCGCGACCGTGGCCGTCTGGCAGCAGGCGCGCTGTCTTTCGGAGGACAAGATGTCCAGGTAATTCGTGAATGTTGCCTAATTTAGATGTTGAGACTGCGATGTCTCAAAGTCTCCAGGATGCGGTCGGCGGCAGAATCAACGTCCAGATCCAGAGTCGCGTGGGAGTTCTTCCAGTGGCCAGTACAATATCAAGACTTCATTTGGTGCGTTGGGTGTGGGCGCATACGCTGCGTCGGGCTTGAGGGATTGTAAAGGAGAGCCTCGAGCGAGCGTGTTGATCATCAGGGAAGCGACCCAGCAACGGCAGCGGGACCGCGGCTGCACCCGCCACCTCGAATTGCCTGTGCACCTATTTGCCAGCCGCCAGCCGCCAGCCGCCAGCCATCAGCGTCGGCCACTACTACTGCCACTGCCACTGCCACTGCTCAGACACGAAAAGTGCCGTCTCCAATTTCTCGTGCGAAGCAGCACGTCGATTGGCAGCGGGACACCAGCATTCGTTCGTGGTGCATTGGACGCAGGCTCAGGTCACGGTACTAGCGGAGTCTCGCAAGGGTTTTTCATTCGAAACATTCTTCTTTCCCTTCATAAATGAATGCGACTCGTCGGGTCGCTTGGCCGCCAGCATCCCCTCCGCTTCTTGCTGTATTGCTACACCTTCTCCCTTGTTGAAGACTGCACCACGCACGACATAGACCGCATACGCAGGCGTTTGAGGCCCTTCTAACGACTTACGATTTTACGACCAACACCGCATACGTCTGGAGCGTGCACCACATCCCGGCTTCCTTCCTGCATCTGAACGAAGGACAACCCGAGTTTGGAAGGCGGTTGGAGCTGCATCGGCAGCTGCATTGCTCCAGCGAAGGCGGTCGCCGTCCACGCCCTGATCCTATCCTGACGGGAATCTCAGTCATGGCCGACTTTGCTTTCAAACGCCAAGACGATACAGGCATCACATCTGGTATGCTGGACATAGCATTCACGCTGTAGAGCCCGTCTGACTGACATGTTCAAGAAACGACTAAGATTGTGCCGCTCACCTGCCATGGCCATTCCAGACCGATCACACATGTATCGTTTTCTTCCTTGCTTGCGAGCTCGCGCTCAGCTTCTCAGTTCTACATGATATCAGCATGTAAAGACAACAACCCGATGCTGCGCGACGGCCTTACCGGTGACTGGATAGGAACATTCATTGGCCACAAGGGCGCTGTCTGGAGCGCCAGACTGTCTGACGATGCTACTCTTGCGGCCACTGGATCTGCCGACTTCTCCGCCAAGGTGTGGGACACTTTCACGGGTGAAGTGCTCCACACCCTGCAGCACAACCACATCGTACGAGCAGTCGCGTTTCCGCCACAAGAAAGACCTCAAGTCCTCGCAACCGGTGGCATGGAGAAGAAGCTACGCATCTTCGACCTCTCTCGTACAAGCTCAAGCGTCCAATCCCCAGGTGAGGGTGGGCCTAATGGTAACTCTCAAGCTCCTTTGGCCGACCCGCCGTCCTACGAAATAGGGGCGGGTGAGCACCAGGGCGCAATCAAATCAATCATTTGGTCTCGTGATCCAAATATCGTCATCACAGCCGCTGACGACAAGAAAATCCGTTGGTGGGACTTGAGGGCTCGAGCCTGCATTGCTTCATACGACATCGAAGCTCTACCTGGCTCCTGCGAGCTCAACGCTGGTGTCAACGGCGACCCCGCAGGAATCATAAGCGTGGCGGCGGGCAAGAACATTTATTTCTTCGAAGGTGGAAGGCCAGGTCAACTCATCAAACACATACGTACCGAGCGCGAGGTCGCGAGTGTGGCGCTGAATGGAGAGGCGAGGCGTTTTGTAACGGGTTGTCCGAACGATACTTGGGTGCATGTATGGGACTTCGAGACTGAGAGGGAGTTAGAAACAGGCAGAGGCCACCACGGGCCTGTCTGGACAACCTGTTTCAGCCCAGACGGAAGGTTGTATGCAACTGGTAGCGAAGACGGAACTGTCAAGTTATGGAAGTTCACAGACGGCCCGTACGGCTTATGGCGATAGAAGACGTAGCTGTGTCAGTGGTCATAGCCGGCGATACAAAACGCAGCCTGCTGCTGACACCATATCAGGCATGATGAGCAAGAGGCCTCTCAATACTACCCGTGCCGTGACTCGACCCAAATTTCCAGACCTGAAGTCCCGTCCTCTTCTGCCCTACCACGATCTGCACGCCTGCGATCGCAAAGTCACATCCGATCCGCGCAGAGCTGTGGCTCAGCAACAAGTCATGACTGGTGGGTGAAAAACAAAAAGAGGCCTGAATAATCTAGGAAGCTCTTCCCTGTCACACTACTGTACTACTACAATAATGATGAAGGATTTCACTGGCACATCTAACTTTTCGCTAACGTGCATTACTCTGCCGCCTCGTATCACATCGCCCGAGAGGACGAGAAGCAATATTGTTTTGATTCACAAAATGGTCCCGTGACAGTTCTACTTGCCGTCTCGAGAGAGGTGCAGTGGCAGTCAGAACAGCGTCAATGTCTTAAGCCGGAGCGCGTATAGTTGCGGTGTGTCCCAGGGTGCGTGAAGATGTACGTACGACATTGCAGGAGGGTTATAGTGCAGCAACTCTCGAAAAGCTTCCGACGGGTGGGATTGGCCGTTGATGATGAGAGTCATTGGTTACATCATGCACAGTGCGTTGTTTGAAAGCAAAGTATTCCTAATTAGGAGCTTGCGTTTCTGAAACGTGCATGAATGAATGATAATGCGGTGTAGGAAAAAATCCAACTCCTTTACGATTGCGCTATGCGCAAAACTTTCTACAGAACCTTCTGCGAGACGGCTTCAGATGCCGTTTCTTATGTGCCTCCAATTGAACATGACTGGACGATCGACAACAGGGCCGGCCGTGGCATGTGAAAGACGCAAAAGCAAATTTGAAGCCACTCAAAAGTACTACTCGCTCCGCTCCTTCTGCGAATATGCCATAATCGTTGGAAGTTGCATGCCTGCAGACTTCATGTCCAGCAAAAGCCGTGCATGCCTAACCCTCCATCCATGCTGTATACCCAATACATCGAGAAGTGATGTTGCTGCGAGACAAACGAAAACACGATGAATCCAACCCAGTGTCAGAAGCATACGTTGTGAAGTGAGCGGTCTTTTAAGTTTTCCACCGCCAGGTATACCTGCTGCGTAGCGATCCTTTGTATGTAGCATTGCGGAGAGAAGTCGTCCGCGAATAAAGTGTATCCCAAGCGCGCCTTTGCTAATGCGCGCCAATGTCCTCGTATGCAGGCCAGTATCGTGATCCGAATAAAGTGCTATCAATGATGTTTGCGAAATCCCCGATAAAACGCCGTGTGATGGATCCAAAGTCCAGCTGTGGTAGCCGCATCGCGCAAAGGGGGAATCTCGCACTCAAAAAGACCGTAAATCCAGTGTTCCGCCGCCGATAATGATATATTGAGTGGTATGAAGTCCCGATGCGCCCAAGTGTGTCATGCTGTAATTCAAATGCTCAAATCGTCTCATATTCTCATCATACATTTTGCGAACTCTCTCCGCCAACCTCTAGCGGCCCAAAGCATAGTCAGTGAAGCCTCTGGAGTCGCGGCCAAATGTTCCTGCTCCAAGTGGCTGTGGGACACCTCCAGAGTAGTTCCGTGGGCTCAGCTGGCTGACAAAGTCTTGAGACGGAACGCTGAAAGGGTTGCTAAACATGCCGTCCATGCCAGTCTGAGGGGCTCGGTATCCTCCGCCGTTATTCAGTCCAGGAGGCGTACCTAGGCCAGGAGGAGGTCCAGAAACGGCACTGAAATTGGCGCCAGTGGCCATCCCGGTATAGCCTGGTGACATGGCTTGAGGTGACATCGGCGTGCTTGCTCCACCGCCATTCATCTGGTTCGACCGGACTCCCAACGGGTTCTTGGAGAAGCTGAGCCGAATGCCACCTTTGACGCTGTTGTGCAGTGGATGCCCATAAAGCTCGTGAAGTGCCTTGGTTGCGAAACTGATATCCTCGAACTCGACAAAACACATCGGTCCGTTCTGCTTTGTCCTGAAACACAGACGCTTGTAGCCTCGCTGCTTCGAGAACAACGACTTCAATTCATCCTCCGAAGTATCGATCGGTAGATTGCCTACGTATAGCGTGTTGCAGGGAGGATTCTGGTCTGCAGGATTCACTGGTGGATATTGCGGCCGGGGAAATCCAGGCATGGGGAAGGTGCCATTAGGATTGCCATTCGGTGACACTTGGGCAGAAGGTCCTGATATCGAGCCGTTTCCTCTTTGGGTGGGAAAGCCATGCGCGCTCGGTGATGTGAGACCGTTGGTAGAACTCAACGAGAGACTACCAAAACGATTGACAGGTATCGTAGTGGTGGTAGCCCTGCGTGTCGCGGGCTGTTGGCCGCTTTTAGCATATGCGACAGGGTCCTTCAAGATGTCACCAGTCTCATCGTCCACGGAGTCATCGTTAATGACAGACTTGCCGCTGATACGTGAATGGCCGTCCACACCGTTGGCAAGTGGGGACTGAGGCGAGAACAGGTTCTGGAATGGGCGCTGCTTTCAGGATTTGGGAAGTCACCGTTCCCACCAGAGCCTGAGGTCGGCAGCGGCGGCGAAACCCTCTCCGCGGTTGTCTGGAAAGTGCTGTTGAAGCGTGATCGTCCAACGCCGCCAGAGGAGGCAGAGCTGTTCTGGGTCCGGGACGCCGTGCCATCGATCGTATTTCGCCTTTCAAAGGCTCCAACTGAGCTCGTACTGTGCGCCTCCACAATCATGCTTGCTTCTTTGGTCGTATTTGGTTTACCATGGAGCTTCTGCTGCGCCTCTAGGGCACCTGCGGAAGTCTGGAACCGAGCCACTGCAGTGGCATAACCTGCGTCCTCGGGATAAGGTGATCGAATGAATTCCGTATCTATGAGGTCTCCAGCGAATATGAGCATGCTTCGAAGGGCCTCGTTGCCAATGTTGCGCGGAAGTCTGCGGATCACAACAGCGGGTGCCGGGCGGGTGTCCACGCCACCGAACGACACTGGATCAGATGTGCTGGCCTGGAGAGAAGGCATGATGCCATTGCGGTCGGGATGGCGCTCAGCAGTTGGCGAAGTACCGTATATTTGAGAAGAGCCGGGCATGGAGCTTTGGCCAAAGATATCCGATCGGAATGAGGGAGTTGGCGGAGACGAACCAAAAGGGCTGCGTGGATACATGGTAGAAGTGGTGCGCATGGTACTATTGGCGGGAATCGAGTCGCCCATTGCGCCGTGGTCGCCTTGAATCAATACTAAACCGAAAAGAAGCTCAGACACAAGCTGCAGTTAGCACATGCGTCAACCCAGCGGGTGGGCAAGCGCGACACTGTTGCAATGCCGAAGCGGAAGTTGCGTCGCGACCTGGGGAAGGGTGCACGGAATGGTCAAGCTGAATGGGTACTGGTCGCCGTTCAACACCGATGTCGCGCGACTCGAAAAGGGCATATGAAAGCTGGATGGAGCGGAGCAGATGCGAATGCGCGTACGCGACAAAGCCGGCCGGAGCAGCGAGCGCGAGGGGGTGTGCAGCGGTGCCAGAGTGGCAGCAGCAGCAGCAGCAGCAGTCGATGGCAGATGCAGAGGGAGAGCGCTGAGCAGAGCCGGAGCCGGTTGTCAAGTAGCCTTGCGACGAATATTCGCGGGCCGAACGATTGAAGACGCGACGTGCAGTCGGGAGCTGCAAGGCGAGATGCGTGCGCTGTCAGGCCGGATTTGGGTGGTTTGGACCGCGGCCGCGGTGAATGGAGGGGAGGATGCAGGAGCGTGGGCGCAGACACTCAAGCAGCACGCAAGCGACGGTCGGGTCGGGCAGGCTTGAGGGTGGGTGTGCTGGGAGAAGGTGAGGAGTCGGGTGTGCGTGTGTGGGTGGGAGAATTGGACGTTCGCGATGGAGGAGGCACGTCTGGACTCGACGGGAAAGCGTGGAAGGTGCGACCCACGACCCAACTGACCGGGAGCGTCGAGTGTTGGAGGGCACGGTCCAATCGATAACAGGATGGTGCACGGGCTAGCCTGTGGCTGGGGTACGCATCCCTGCTCGCAGGTTGCTTTCGCTTTCGAGAGCACGAGAAAAAGAGGCAGCTCCCACCGCACGGCGCACGCGCATTTGCCAGCAGCATAACTTAAGGTGAACACTCAGCACACTAGGCTCGGGGAACTGCGACGGCCGCTGGCTCCTCTCCGGCAAGCGCAGAACGAGGCAGCAGCGCGGCGCCGAGGGCTCTGGTAATAATAATAAGATGCTTTGCGCGCGCCGCGAGCTCTCGGGCTCTCAGCTTCGAGGGGGCTTCACCATACTGGACTGCACCGCGCCCGGTCCTGGTGGTGCACGGCAGCATCTACCACGCCGCGCCGCCGCCGCCGCCGCCGTGCGGGTGTGCACCGCAGCTCAGGCCGGCGTGCAGGGCAGGGCAGGGCAGGGCAGGGCACATGGTCATTGGTCGCATGTAGGCCATCGCAGTAGTGTGCTAGAGCCTGGCGGCGTGGCGCTGACTGGCAGTAACGTTAGTGACTGCTGCTCCTGCTTTGGGCCGTCTTTTCTGATCGAGGGCACTTAGAGTTGCACCCCTCCCTCCCTTAGATTGGAACTCAGTTCTGCAGAGCCCAGCTCTTAGCCTTTAATTGGATGCTCTCGTACACAGCACAGCGCCAGCAGACCAACGTGACATCGCGACCATCGCACCCGGCGAAGCTGCTACTGCACTGTACTGTAGCAATTCGCCGCTGCCGCCCTCCAGCACGAGATCACGCCATCACCTCCCGGTGTCCTGTACCGTACCGACATCACCACAAGCCGACTCCGTTCGGTACTCAACAGATGGCTCCTGTGCCTCCCGCGCCGCATACCCGTGGTCGGGATGTCCTTGTCAGAGCCCCCTTCCACTTCAACACACCTTTCCAGACCACCCCCGCAGCGCCGCAGCCTAAAAGGACCCCTCCAATAATTCCTATTCGTCCGCCATGCTTACGAATTCGACGAATCCCAAATTTGCTGACCACTATCGAGATTCGAGATTCGAGACTGATCTCAATTCTTGCGAATCTCCCTTCTTATACCCTGGCATTCGGTGACGGTCACGCGCCAGACCTATCGATGAGGCTCGCACTGGGGCAACACGTGCTTTGATGTTCACTGATCAAGCCGAAGCAAATCCACGGCCTATCTGATGACTCCATACACAACCTGGACACATCTCTGGTTCCGAAGAGACGGAATGCTGTGTAACGAGTTGCATTTCCTCGTGGCATGCTCAGAACGTACATGGGTACGCAATCACAAGCATGGGCATCGATGCCCGTCCGTTTTCGTTTCGGCATGACTTTTGGCTGCATTGGTACCAATCAGCTTCAATACACGTGCCAGACGCTGTACGACAGCGGGGAGCTGAGCGGTACGTGTACATAACTACCGTGCACAGTTCACGGCGCCTCACGTGCAGACGGCGCCTACCTGCGGTGGATGGAGCCATGGTGACACCGGCGGCTGTGGTCGCAATGGTATCGCCTACACGACCACCTCAATCAGGCTCAATGTACAGTACTGTAGTTGTGCGGTCAGTGCCGCTGCGGGAAAGTGAAACACTTGCAGTCGTTTTTCATGGGCTTCTTAAAGCATGAGATCCACTTGTGGTTTCAGGCTTTCACTTCTGACCCTGAATTACAACAGTGACAGCGAATTGCCCCGACACCCTACAGCGTCTTGTGACTCTTGTCGCATCGAAGTGAAAGTAGACATTAGCGGCCCGTAGAATTGAGGCTTCTGATTCGTTGCAACCCATGAAATCCAGGGTTGGGGAATCTGGAATCTCTCTCCGATGCGGCAAGACGATGTCGACCAGACAAGGCTACTACATTCGCTCGAAGGCCAAAGATATAGTTCACACGCTCGTGTGTCGATTTCTTGGCGCTGACATTCCAACATTCACAACACGTCCCACGAGCGGCCGCTTCGTGATTCCTGGATTGTCGCAGCGATCAATGAAGTCTACAAGAAGAGCCTGAAAAGGAGGCAGATGGCAATGCCTATAACTCGAAATCTTACCCCTATGAAAGCTCTCTAGCCTTGTGGCTTGCAATAAGAAGCGGTGTGATCTTCTAATAGAAAGAACACCAGCTGGCATTCACGGCCTGTTGGCCTTGAATCGAGATCCTGGAAATAGTTCTTAATATGAACAAATCCCCGACGTGGCCTCAATTCACTTTTTAGGAGCTTCACCTGCCTTCTGCACAATCCTTACATTTAATACATCCTTCCCGGCGCCATTATGTTACTAGACTAGAAAGTAATCGGTAGGTACCTAGCCTTGGTAGATAATGTCGTAAGCATTTGTAGGCCTAGACCTTGCGACGGCGTTAGTCGATATACCTGCACTTGTACCGAGATTGATGTCGAGAATAATAACGTTAGCTGAGCTGTAGGAATAGACAGTTTTAGCTGCACCGGCAGTGCAGATTGGAGGCCGCTACAACTTTTCACGATCTGTTAGCTGTTCAGATCCAAACCCAGATCCAGTGCGTTTTGTGGGCTTGGAAAGACTGTATATATTTCCTGATATAGACTCAGGAGTTCGTATAGCAGCGTAGGTACCTGCGTAGCCACCTGCGCGGCCATGTCAGGTTTGAAGGCCGCTATACGTTCGAAAGAGGAAATCGAGGCTCGTATAACATTCGTAGGCGATGAACCGCAAACCTGCGCGGCCCTTCAAGTCTGTAGTGCAGGTGCGGCTAAAACTGTCTCTTGAAAAGCATCGTTAAAACAGGTCGAACATTGTTCTCGGTCAACAACGTGTCTTTGGGGAACAGCCGTCTCTGCCTACTTTACCTTGATTTCTGAGACCGAGTCGGCCAATTCCCTGCTCCTAGACTTGCCAAGTACCTCAGCGCAATTGGGCGATCCTACATGGTCCTTCGACCTGCTGATGAGGAACAGAAAAGCAAGATTGTTGTCAAGATTACCACTGTGACCGGGCATGGATCGTGTGATTCTACGCGTGATCACATAGCATATCCACCAACGTCACATTGGGACATGGGTGTTGAGCGCGTAGTTTCACATGTTTGACCAGGTAGTACGCAATTGAATCCGGTGTTCAGTCTGGTTGCGCGATTTGTTAGTATGAGCTCCGGCGCGTGGCATGGTGGCATACTATCGTGCTCTTGCTGCTTCGAGGACTTGGCCATTGCTGCCACGAGGAAGTCCGGTCCGCAATGCTGGCTTCTATGAGCTGATAAGCATACGACAGCAAGATGCGTGGGAAGGTAACAAGGTGATAGCTTCAAAGAGCCTCGATCCAAGGACAGTTGTAAAATGACTGATGTTGCAACTGCGGTCCTGAGCTTGTCTCCAATCAGACCCTAGCTTCTAAGCGGCTTACCGCATTCGACAGAGCGATTCTTGGCAGAAGCTAAGGCATCCACGGAGCTTCTGGAAGGAGACATGCCTCTATAAAAGCAATCCGCAGCTCCCTGGGCTCTTGTTGCAGTGTCCAGTGCTTCTAGAGAGATACTTCGCAAACCAAAGGAGTAATCAAGTTAACGAGAAACATGACTTTTACGATTGGCAAATAGACATCTGGTAATCATGCATCATTCGAGAGGACTATAGACAAGAACAAGAAATTGGTTTCCAATAGTGTTGTGGGTTTACAGCCCCTGAGAAATGGAGGTTGTGTACATCGTATATTATACTGGTGTACACCCATGGATACACATCGGGTATACCCGAATACCAGGATATCCGAGCAATATTAAGCAGCTTGGCGGGTTGTAGGCGGGATATCAGCGTATCCGATAACTCCGCCTTGTGTATACACAACGAGCTCGCCTAAAAGGGTCGTATACATAGTGTATTACAGAGCGTGTACACCATCCACAGGTTGGTGGACCCCATCACTAGTTTCCAAACGCTTCATCACAAATCCCTCCGGTTTCCGTCCCTCTCGGGTATCAATCCAATTTCAAAACGCCGCCCAAAGCTCACTCAAAGAGCTAGAAGATGTCAGTGATAACGCATTCAGATCATGCCGCCAACACATACGACCATCAGTTTCTTGTAGTCTCCACTGGTCTCGGACTTGATGCGCTCCGCCAGATCCCGCTTGTAGAAGTGTTTGTATGCGGCCTTGGCTTGTTGGAGACGCTGTTTGTCCCAGTGGATCATGACGACTCGTCGTACGAGAGCCGTGTCCTTGGTGCCGAGCCCTTTCATGGAATCTTCGAGGAGGTCCGCATCATGCTTGGCTGGGTCCGTAGCCGCACGAACCATAAATAGCAGTGCATCTTCCATGTGACCAGAGAACTCCTTTTTGATGACGTCTTCTAGCGACTTGTGATACTTCTGCTTGTACGCTTGTGAGATCGCACGAATCTGGCCATTACTGCGCGAGGTCAAGACTGAGCAGACAGTCATCTGATCCGTCCCTGTGCGGCCTTCTGTTGCGCCGTAGATCTCCTTGACGTCCTGATCGATCTGCTGGGGAATGACAGGTGCGGACTCTTCATTTCTTCGCGCAGCCATGACCATTTCGTACATTCGCTCAGTCTTCATGCTAAGGTCGTTCTTGACGTCAGATTCCAGGGTGCGGCGATACTCTTGTTGATACTGTGCTTTGATGGCGTTCATATCTGCGTTTGAACGCGAGAGCATGACATCGTCAAGAGCACTCTCCTTGGTGCCTATTCCCTTGATAGCCTCGTTGATCACATGGCAGTCTTGTCTGAGTGGGCCTCGAATGATTGCTTCGAGTCCCTCTCGGAAATAGCCTGACGTCTCGCCATGCACATCCTTCATCAGGTCGCGACGATGCCGCTGCTGATAAGTCTGCTTCAGAGCTTCGATTTCTAGAGGACCCAAGGAGGCCAGGACCTGGATCAACTTGGTCTCGTCTGTGCCAAAGCCCTTCATCGCTGCGCGGCAGTCGTCAGCTGCTCTTGAGGCATCAAAGTTGGCCCGTTGCCTCAAGTCGTAGCCTGGAGATGGCATCGCTGCTGGACCCACTGGCATACCGCCCATTTGCTGCTGTGGATGGGTTTGGCCATAAGCACCCTGCTGAGGCGGAGGAGGGCCTGGAGGTGGACCACCAAACCCTCCTGGAGGAGGTGCCGGCGGTTCCCATTGACTGCGACCTGTTGGGTCAATGAAGTAGTTTCGTCCGCTGGCTTGGTCGAACTGCGTCGTCCAGCCAGGAGGCAGTGGCGGCTGGCCTTGCATAGGCGGTGGTCCGGGTGGAGGTCCTCCGAAGTGGCCGGGCTGGCCGTATCCTTGTTGCTGGTGATTCATTCCGTAAGATTGCTGTTGTGGGTAGGCGTGCTGAGGATACTCTGGAGGGGAAGTCAGCTCTTTTGTTCTTTCAGTTCAGCTACTGTGCCACAGCTGGTATCATATGCTTGCGCCTCAGATGGCATGTCATAGTGAAGATCTTCCAGTCCACTTACGTTGATAGGGCTGCTGCTGCTGGCCGTAGTACCCTGACATAATGCCAAGTGCTCGTGTTCAGCTGGATAGATGATGCAGTTCGTGCGTCCGTCGAGAATCTGCCGTTACAGCCCCAGACGAGACGAGTTATGAGGTGCCGTGGTAATCAGGGAGCAACGCAGACGTTTTGGAGGAGGAAGAAGTTACGTGAGTGGGGCAGTGCAGAGGCTTGTGGCTTCATCACTGCCACTGCGGCGCCAAGCCATGTCATGCCGTTGCCTCGTTGGCCAAGTCTTCCTCCGACCGACAGCCGACATTCTTAATATCACTGTCTTGTCGGATCACATGATATATATAGCAGGGACAGCGCCGCCAGCAGTCACAGACTCTGTGCATCGGCCTTCCACCGCACTGCAGCAGAATCGGCAGAGGCTCGACCCAGCTTATTACATAGACCACAGCCAAGGCCGATCCGACACGATCAACGTCACATATGCACATCCAATGTATGCAGCGCTCCTCGTGGCTTTGTGTTACGTCAACCATCGCTTCCGTTCACGCACCCTTCTGCTGCCGGGCTGCCCTGGTTGTGCAGAGTCATCCGTCCACACGCCTTATGAGGTTATCCTGCTTAAGCAAACCCTGTTAGTCCCTCTGTATTTCTTCAGCGTGCTATACGAGTATCAGCTGCTTCCCCGCTTGTGTCGCAGCAACGTTTGGCATCCTGGTTTTCTTGTCCCAGCCTTTAGCGGTACAAGAGGCTGAAAACCATGTCAACATAATAAACAGAGAATGACTTATTGGTCGGGGTCTAGTCCGCACTGCATGCAGAACTCCCGTTTCGAACCGGATTCGCTCACGCCGTGCAAATTCCTCGCCAGATTACGACTTTCATTGCCACGCGACGTCTCAGAATCTTCACACAAGACATATAAGCAGTCGACCAATTCAGAAAGATGGCTCCGATGGACAACGCCTTTCTCGACCCAAGCCGAGAGGATCAAAACAACATGATGAACGCTTCCTGGGCAGCACATAGTAACAACTTGACGACCAGATCACGAGCCAGCTCAGTCGCTTCGAGCAGATATGTCCCTCAAGACTACCTCTTCGGCAAGAAGACACCCGCCGAGTTGCTCAATCCTTCGACCCACGGTGGAGCACTTGTCCCTGTTGATGAAATATCATCAGTACGGAGCTATGAGCCTTCTGTGCCAGAACAATACGCAGTTCGGCCACACAATCCGCAACTAGCCCTTCAACCATACCCTGATACTCCGTTACCTCTAGGAGGATACGCCAGGCCTGCTGGCAGGCCTCGTGCGAGCACAGAATCACGGTGCTCGGATTGTTCTCGCTCTTTCCGAAGCCATAACTCAGCACGCACCCAACGACAAAGTGAGGATGATGCTTACTATCACTCCACCAGTGATCGCGATCTTCAACGAAGCCGAAGCCATAAAGAGCGAAGCCGCCATCGCCATTACGAGACTGATCGCGACAAGCATCGATCGGGAAGATCACGCAAGGATTCCTACTACGACGATTCGCACAAATCCTCATCATCACGGGATTCATCAAAATCAAAAGATAGGAAAGATAAAGAAAAGCCTGTCAAGAGAGCATCATCAACCACGAAAAAGCGGCGTCCTACATATGTGAATGCAGCTCATCAAAGTAGGAAACTCCAACTCCGCTCCGTCGATGAATTCCTATACTACATCGAGGGCTGGCCGCTAACATGTTTGTAGATTGGGCGGCTCTTTATTTTCCTTGTGGAGCCATATGAAGAGAAGTTTCGAGTAGAAGAGCTTCTGCGCTCTCCTCCAGCTTTTCAGACTCATACATTCGGTTTTCGCATCGATTATTATTTGCATCGACAATCTACAGCTTGAGGTACCTTTCGCAGCAGCATAGCAGCGCAGCGCAAGCATTGTTAAGTAGACAGTACTTGAACAGCAACGATCTTCCATCCTCATTCATGTCCCACGAGGCTTCTTATATGCGCGATGACATTGACATGTTCACCACCAAGGCATTCCGGAATCATCACCTAGAAGGAGCTTGAATTCATCATGTCGAGCAAGACACATATTACAGGTGCAGCTTTCCATCGCAACTGGCTTCATACTCCTGAAATCATGGACACGAGACCAAGGGCCCATCGGCCCGACCGTAGGGTTGCTCTATGAAACGCGAGCAATCCAAGCAGCAGAAGGCACATGACTCGACTTTGCGAAGACCTGCTTCTTGCTGTCGATGTAACCCTGTTTCTCCGCATTGGCTAAGAATAATTCATGACACAGTCGTTACGGACCGAGGATAAGAGGTACAGAACCAGCATCAAAACAAGCACACGTGATGACATGTCGAAACAATACTGCTTGGCTCATAGAAGGAGCAGTCTTTCACTTGATGGTTGCTGTCGCAACGTCATGTCCAAGCCGACTAGTCATTGCAAAGTCAACAAGTCCAGGTCGGGGCTTAAGCCATAATGTCAGCTGCAGCGTACATCCCGTTACGAGGGGTCGTTCCCTTGTTTCTGGCCCAACCGCTCGCAGCCAAACTCCAGGGTCCTTCGCTGTCCATCGCGACATTCTTACTGAGACATCCTCGCAAATGGCAGGCGTGATCAAGAATGAAGTCATGGCGTTTCGTCGAGAATAGTTATTTAGAGTGTGGGCATGCAAACCTTGTTCGAAAGGCTCTATAGTAGGCTTGGCCGGACTTGTTTCGTTACTAGCAAGAAACAGGATATTTGGCACCCAGTGCTTCCGTGCGGTATCGCAGGCGACAACTTGTGGTAACGCTGAGTGAGCTCAGAATAGGCGTAACTATTTGGCTGTAATGCTTCGTGACAGAGGACAGTTCAGCTCTCCGTTCGACTAATCTTAATACATGCAGGTAGCAGCTCTCTCTACGCTTCTGCTGATCCACTTGCCTCCGTCCGAGCTTGCTGATTTAGATCCAAGTCTTCTTGCCAAAAACCATGCGGAACATCATGTATTGGGATGCTGCACAGCAACCATTAGCACTATGATTCTTCTCGTGATCCAAGTGTAGAACGCCAAACTTACCAGCAGTGCCGAGGATGAGAGAGGTATAGTATGGGTAGAGCATGTACTTGGCATTCGGGCCCTGCAAGAGACATGTCAGTGCCTGTAATTTATGGTGTCCGCCCAGCACCTCGGAGTATCCTGTCTCTCCACGAGCTCTGCCTCCGCTCAATGTCCCATCTCCTCTATGGCCCAGTCAACTAACCTTATTCCACTGCCGCACACCATCGTGAGTCTGGTGAAGTCTCTGCCACGCCGGCACGTTGTTCTTGCGGTAAAGACCTGGGAAGCTCGGGAACCTGAAGATGGGTTAGCTATCGGAGGTGCCAGAGGAAGGCATTGCGCGGCCGCAGGTGCGCATAGTAGGCGGTGATATGGACGTACCCGGCACGTCTGGCGATTGTGGCTCGCATGATGGCGGTAGTCAAGCTGATAGAGTGGAGTGTGGTGTGCAAGATACGTGCAGCGTGCCAGTGATGTCGATGTCGAAGGGCAAAAGCGGCCGGGTTCTTCCGACTTCGTGCTTGGCGTTTCTGCGGCCCGGCTTGGGCACTTCACACGCTCCTCGCGTCAGAAAAACAATCCCATCACGGCGCCGACGACAACAACCCCCGATCGCGCGCGCCAATGCAATGGCCCCTGACAGAGGTGTAAAGGGATCATGGCAATGGGCACCGCCGTGCTCCATCGATGGCTGCGAAAACCGCCAACATGCTTGATTCGACAAGCACTGCTTCACCCCGCCATACTGCGATCGAGGTCGAGCCGATGCGTCGCCACAAATCGTGGCTATAATTTTTCTCAATTGGATTCGAATCAGGCCGAAGAGGAAGATACGGCGCCCCGAGAATCTCGTGGCTACTATCAGCCTCGTCGCAGAGAGCCCCAGACGCATCACGCTGAATTCGCCGCGATCTTGCATAGGATATCTTTGCTTACGGGTGACATCCCAATATCCTCTCTTCCAGGAGGTCAAGCATTTGTCTCTCTACTCTCACCAGCAAATGTGCAAGCCGTGAAGACGAGTTCGACACGCCTGGTCAATGAGCCTGAACACCGAAACAATATGGAGTTATGGATCGAGCTTCTGGAATACAGACAGCGTCTTGATGGCTTTGACGGTGTGCTAGCGACATGGGAAGACTTTATGGATCAAAATACGGATCTGCCTACCGAAGGAGCAGAGGCCGATATTCTCTGGCCTACCTTCATTCACTCATGTATCGCGGAGCCCATCACCCAACCCCAGGAGGATCTTCTTATCCGCATCCTCGAGTATGCCAAATCTCTGAAGTCTCGGAGCGGCAACGTATATACGAGCTTGTATACATGTACTATTGGCAGATGGCTCCGCATACATGGTGGCGAAGGCCTTGGACAGTGGCATCGCCGGCTCGCTGATTTCGTTGAGCCTACCGATGTTGATCTTCGTGAGCTCGTATCAGATTTCGCCCTGAATCCAGGACAGCCAAAGATGATGGTAGACAACAAGGACGCGGGATATTTTAGTCAATTTGAAATGATTTACCGACACTTGAAGGTCAAAAAACTGTATGATCACTACATACCCCCAATGCTGGAGCGTCACAAGCCATCGATTGTATTGCAGTGGCATAAACTCTTCCTATCCTACGGCGACGCGCCAAGCCCTCAAGTCTTCGCCATGCCTGCTGTGCAAACCTTGTTCGAGCTCGATGGAAATATGTCTCTACCAATGGTGCACCTGCAACCGGATGAAGGCTCTGACACGAAACCAGTCATTGATTCGCAGCATGCTCCGGTGCTAACGCGTTCAAGCATGTCTGCAATCATGGGCGAGGTTCATGGCATCAAACAGAAGGAAATGAGCGATTATTTTGTCGCGAAGATGTTTGCAACGCGGGCCTTCCCTCTTGATATGGTAGTCAGTGGCCTGAGCTTCTTCGGTATCGACAAGCTTGGACCGCTTGCTCTGCGCGAAATGGCTGTGCGTGCAGGATCGGCAAACACATTCTGCAGGAAACTTAACATCCTGAAAGACATGAGAATCAGTACCAGCGAGTGTGTCTATGTTCGTCTGCTGGAGAAAGTCGCTGCCGAAATCCCACATCTGTATGATGCACTAATCGCTAGCGATGAGCATCCTGAAGTTTTTGAAGATGCCACGACACAGGAACTCCTGTTAGCTTTGTTCCTTGAGCGCGAAGAGCATATCAATGCTCATTTAGCGTTTTTGGCACTTTCAATGATGGGAAAGAAACGGAAAGCGAGGGCATGGAACAGAGTCTTGCAGCACTACATCCGCGTTCATGACTATCAAGCGATGTCGAAGCTTGTTGAGCATATGAAGACGTCAAAAATGTCTCTCGCACAACGGACACTCGATATGATGCATCGTTACGTCTTGCCGACCCGGAATGTCAGCAAAGCTCCAATCAAGCTGACAGAAGGATATGAAGATATTCCTCCCTTACAATTCACAACAAATGCCTTTATCTACACTGCTGAATGTGGTGGAATTGTGCATCACAAGCTGTGGCACGAGAACATGAAGAGATTCGGCATGCTTCACAGGTGGGAAGAGCTAGAGCGTCTTGTTCTGTGGCTGGCCAGCTTCTATTCGAAAAGAGGACTGCGTGGTGAGGTCACGTTCGAATGTGGCAAGGCAGTGCTGCGAAAAGAATCGATGCTCGAACTCATCTTCACCGAGGATATGCGAAAGGCACTGGTGATCTGGAGCCATCGGATCGTAGGGCTGAGAAAAGCTCTGAAACCGCGAGATGACTCTGACAAAGGCACGTGTGAGCCATGGGCAAGGGGCATACTCCTCCTGAAGCGACTGAACGAAGCCGGCATCAAAACGGATGCGGTCTTGGTAAAAAAATCATTTCTCGACATGATGTGGAGTCTCTTTGGTCCGGCTTATTCGAAGAGACGCATCAATCACGACGTAAAGAGCCATAACAAGCTGTCGCTGGCTCATTACATCAAGCATGCCAATGATCTTTGGGACGGGGAACTCTTCGATCTGGATCCGAGCCTCTACAAGCCTGAGAACCATGCCGACCTCCTCGTCCATGTTTTTGGCTGCACTCGATCAACAGACAGCCTTACAGGCGAAAAGGCGGATGTGGTGGCATATGCTGAATTTCTAAGATCTGGAGGAATCCTCCCAGACAGTGGCAAGATACTTATAAGAGCTCAATACTGGAAGCACAGTCCATTCCGAATCCCTCGCGGGTACTTTGCTAACGCCGCTTCTTTGGACCACCATAATCACCCTCACCCTCAACCGCATCTATCGCCGCCTGCTCACTCATCGAGTTCTTGTCGGCCACCCAATCCTGGAGATACTCAGGAAGCTGCTTCATTTTATTCTCCTCTCCTGCCATAGGCTCTCCCAACGTCATATATGTTGGAACGACTCCAATCCAGGTGTTATTTACCACATCTGGATTCTGAAGATCGAACTTCTCATCGCTCGGACCTCCTGCTCTCGTCTTTGCGGAAGCTGTCTCGATCCGTACTTTCAACACACCTGTAGAAGTGATTTCATCCTTTCGTGGTGGCTTGCGGCTATTCTCCCATCGGTCAGGAATGCTGTTGTTGGTGATCGATCGCAGCGCGAATTGTACTTCCTCTGGGTCTTCGACAAGGCTTCCGTAGCCGAAAATTACGGCTGAACGATAGTTGCAACTGTTGTGGAATGGTGCTAGAGCGAGCACCCACCCGTCGAAGAGCGTACCCGCAACGCAGACGGGGATCTCGCCACCTTGAGTCAATTTGAAAAGTCTTGCAACTGAAGACCCATGGAGGTAAACACTTGGCTCCCCGTCATCATTGTATGTATCCAGAGCTCCAAGCATAGGTAATATAGTGGGAAATTGAGGTCCTTCTTTGAGTGGCGCATTGAAGGAGACGTGCAGAACTGGGCATTCGTTGATGATGGAATGGATCAAGTCGGCATCGTATTCAGCTGCATTGATGTATCAGTCGATGAGCTCTTGTAAAACATGGTCATTTTCCTTACTTCTCTTCGCCAACCTCACGCCTTTGCTCCGCTCGTCGGGAGTGTAGATGGCTGAAGGTGCCATGGTGGAAGCCGCGTACCTTTCGTGATCTGCCGTCCGTGAGATCTGAGGTCAACGTCCTGGTGTCGTAGATAGCAATTTGCGGCTGACCAGTCACGATTATCGCATTGATGACTCCTGCGCCTTGCGCCCTTCGGGTGGGTCAAAGCTGTGAGAAGAGCTCCAAAGTCAATGACTGCCTCGGCTGCGACTTCCTCGTGGAGAGGAGAGACAAGTGGTTTGGCTGTGGGTGGAAGGAGCTTGTTTATTACAGTACGCATACAATCCTAGCATTTATAATGAATACCGGCCAACAAAGGTCTCTCTCTGCATAAGAATTACAGCGCTAGAACGCTGACTTCCAGTACACGACCTGAGAAACCCAAACCACGACGGAAGCAAAGCTTACATTCACAACTCCCACCCTTGCAATTCCTTCTCAGTCCACCTCCACAGCACTTCGGCCAACTCATCGTCTGCTCCAGCTTTCGTTAAACTCCCCTTCAATCCTACAGGCTCATACCACGTTCCCGTTTCCACCTGTCTCGGTCCCTTTCCCAACGGCGCCACAGCAGCCCACTGCTGATTCCAGGCACACTGCTCTGGAGGAATCATCAAGAAATAACTGGTCGAGTAGACAAAAACTTTGTGGAAGAACGAGAGATTTTCCACAAGTCCTGTCGCTGAGACACCAGGATGTATCGATACTGAAGTGATTTCAGGATACTTCTTGGCGTAAGCGCGAGCGTAGAGAAGATTCGCAAGTTTCGATTGTCCGTAGCGGAACCACGGTGCTAGAAAATAAGAGATGTCCTCTTGTTTCGTTTTCAGTTTTGAGAAGTCTATGCCGGTCGAAGCTTTGTAGCCCAGTGATGTGTCCCAGACTACTCGGACGTCGGCGCCGGTTTGTGCTGTCTTCTGAAGTAAAGGCGTGAGGAGTTTGACGAGCAATGCGTGGCCTATGTGATTGGTGCCGAATTGGATTTCGTAGCCGTCTGTTGTCATCCCTGAAGGTGAAGCCATGATGCCGGCGTTGGCGTTGAGGATGTCGAGGCGGTCTGTTTTTGAGAGGATGTCTTGTGCGGCTTGCTTGACTGAGGAGAAGGATGCTAGATCGCATTTTATGAATGTGACTGGGGTTTGAGGGGCTTTCTGTGTGGCCAGTTGCATTGTCTGCTCGGCCGAGGGTTGAGATCGTCCTGTGAAGAAGATGTGTGCTGGATTGTGCTGCGCGAAGGAGAGGACTGTTTCCCTCCCTAGTCCTCCAGTGCCTCCTGTGACTAGTATCACTCGACCACTAAGGTCGGGAATCTCCTTTTCGGGATTGAAGACTGGTTTCTTGAACATATTGAAAGCCATGGCGATGGACTTTGTTCAGACAGCTTGCTGATCTGTTGTCGTGTCTGGAAGGTGTTGTCGTGAGCTGGAATGCACAATCCCTACCTGTTGGTGAAGTTGCTTGTATTCAAACTATCTGGTGTAGCGGTTTCCGATTCACCATCGGGCGTGGCGTTGGTGTCTTTGTTCTGCGGTCCGGACATAGAGATGGACGAACACCGTTTTGTGGCTTGACTCGCTGCTGCGAATTCATCCGATCGGAAGGATTCTGCTTGGCTTGCGCTTTCCATTGGACGGCCGAGACCCGCAAAGCCCTCTCCCATCCAACGTGCGAAAGCAACATACCGTACAGTAGCGACAACACCATGACAGGGATCGCTATACAGCTGCCTTGAGGCGGGCGCGGCGGCCGCAATTTGGAAGTAGCCATTGCTTGTGCCATTTTCCCAGCACTGTGACGTTCGCAGGACGGACACGGAGAAAGATGGAGTGGGTGGGTGGGGATAGAGGATATGACATCTTTTGTCTTCTCATCGCATCGACAATTCTTCACAAGCCCTCAACGCCTCGCTAAGCATCATGCACAACACCGGAAGAACCGATTCTTCACCTCTTCGCGCGCTTGCTCTTGCCAGGCCTAAAAGTCCCCTTCTTGCCACCACTCTTCATCTTCTTGACGGAATACGAACGGTCGTCACCCGTCGACTTCGCGTCGTTGCTCTTCGCAAACCGCTTCTTGCCACCAAACCCGAACTTCTCGTCCTTCTTCTGGCGCTTTCGATTGGGGCCGTCGCCGGATGCTCGTCTCGCAGCCTTATCCTTCTTCGCTGTCTCGGTCGCATCCTCGATCGCAATGTCGAAATCTGCGTCTTCGTTGGCGGTGAGGTCAGCACCTTGGCGTTCTGTGGAGAGTTAGCAGGGTACATTGACAAGGATCTTTCTTGAGACCGTGACTTACTCCTCTTGAGCGTCTGGATTCTGTCCATGGTATCTCGCTTCTCCTTCTGTCTCTCTTGCAACTTTGCGACCTGGACAGCCTTGCCAAACTTCTTGAGATCCCTTTGCCGTCTTGCGTCCGCGCTGGCTTTCTTTCTTGCAGCCTCATCCAGCATCTTCGCTCGTACTTTGCCCATTTGCTCTTCTGACTTGACCATCTCTGCAAAATAATCTGTAGGCCTGCTGAATGGCACTCCTTCAGCCTTGAGCTTTGCTCTTGCCTCTGTCACGGCATCAAGACATTGGTGGTAGAATTTTAACTCTCTGTTAAGGTCGTCTTCCACGTCCTTGATTTCAACTGGTTCGGCAGAGGTCACCGACTGTACTTCGGAGAAAGGTAGGCTGGACGGTAGTGCGAATGATTTCAGTGATCGTTGCAAGGCGGCGGTGTTGTTGATCGTCAGTCGTTGGTGCGGTATCACATCTGCTCTGTCTTCTGAAGCCAGCGATTCGATGTCGGATAGTGGTATGTCTTCGTATTCCTCCTCCTCCTCGTCTTCTCTGCCGTCTTGTTCAGGCTCGTCTTCTTCGTCTGACTCTGAATCGGATTCATCTGACATAGGACCAATCTCCACACCTCCATTTGCTTGGCCATCTTCTTCACTATCGTCTGGTTCCCATCCTTCTGCCTCGCTCTCACTCTCCTCAGTATTCTTTGCGCTCTTGCCCGCCTTCTTGCCCCTTTTCGACTTCTTTGTGCCGTTCGCGCCTCCCGCCTCTTCGGCAGCGACTACTGCAGCTTCAAGCGCCTGCAAATCGACGTCCGACTCTTTCTTCTGGCGTTTGCGCTTCTCGGCCGCTTTTTGCAATTTCTTCTGCTTTTCCAGCTTGTGATTGACACCCTTCTCTCGCTCCAATGCAGCTTTGAGCTTCATTGTTTTCGCCATGTTGCCGACAGAATTATGCGATCAGTGCGCTGAGAGGAAAATGTTGGCTGGTGAAGGTCAAATAAATTCTGGCCAAGCCTTCAACTTTTGGCTTTGCCGCGGCGGAAAAGCAGGAGCCAGCTCCGAGCCTGGTCGATCCAATTAGCATCCCCTCGCTACCTTATGACCTTCCCGCGTCTGCTTCTTGTTCATATGAACAAGAATTGTCGCATACATTTCCAGTGCAATGTTGAGATGGCCGCGGCCATGGCAGAATGCTGGTCTCCGCCCGACATCTACTCGCGCTGTCTCGATGCGATCTGTCTCAACTAAGTCGACCACCGATACCTCCTCAAGCCGCTTCCCTCGAGTGTTTGCTTTCCAAAAAGCAGGAAGTCCCGTGAGATCCTTCGATCGCACCCTGAGATGGTTTTTGTATGCATGGGCAGGCTTCGTAGGCTGGCATACATGGTGTCACTACTTCTATACGTGCGACTCTGCGTACGGAATCTCCATGCTACCGACCGTGTCAAGCTTTGGTGACTGGGTCATCATCAGCAAGTGGCACAGACGAGGCAGAGGCATTCATGTAGGAGATCTGGTCAGCTTTCGACATCCCGTCACGGAGGGGATGCACGCGGTCAAGAGAGTAGTCGGCTTGAGCGGCGATCTGGTGTTGATGTACACACCCGGCAAGAGTGATGCCATGTTACAGGTAAGTAGTGGGAAGCAACAATGTGTTTCGGTGAGAGTCACTGATGGTTGGTAGGTACCAGAAGGACACTGTTGGGTCGTTGGAGATAACTTAGCACATTCTCGCGATTCAAGGCATTTCGGCCCTCTTCCCTTGGCTCTGGTCTCTGGCAAAGTCATAGGCAAGATTGACTGGCAGGACCGTACCCCGAAGCTTGCAGTGTTGGAGAATGGTCTGCAGCCTGCAGCCGACGACGATCTAGATTGAGCGTTTTGCCGTAATGAGCAAGTGATCTCCCTCTCAGCGATGATGTTTTCATGGGCTGATGCTGAGAAGATATCTATTCGAAGCATGCCCCATAATCATGACAAGGCGGCACAGTCTGGCATTGCTGATCAGGTGTATCGCTGCCAGGTAGTGACTTCCTGGCCTTATCGCGAAGGATTCTTTGGCCGCGCGGAGCTAAGCAATGTGCCAAACACAAGTGTTCCACAGCGAAGCTGGATGAGGGCTCTGAGTGAGAAATGGACTGGGCCTTTCAGGAGTATCGTACAGAACATAACCCGAGACTCCGAGATCAAGCCTGTTGAGCTTGCTGGTTGGGTACCACAACGCAAGTCTGCAGGCGTACTGAGTGGGAAAGTGGTTTTACTTGGCCCTGCAATGCGCTCAGATACTGGCTTCACCATGGGCAAAGTAGTGGGGAAGACTCGCTATTTAAGAAAAGTCCATGAAAATTGCAACAAGTTCGTCAATCGCAATATTGAGCTTGGCGAACCGTATAATCTATACGGCTATCACAAACATTCCGTGGCAGAGCAAGCGGCCAAAAACTCTGGACGGATTCGAAGACTAGGAATATGAGCGGGAGCAACACGAGCAATGAGATTCATTTGGGTAGAGGCCGGTAGTTTCTTCGAGGCAAAATAGCACTCTCGTTCCAGCACGCGATTACAGGGCATAAACCAGTCGCTCTGGTAGCACGAGACCGGTCCATCGTTATGAGACTTGAGAGCTGTTGATGATCAACTTATTTCTCCAGCACATCAGACAGCTTCCGCTGCAAAGCCGCCTTCCCAAATCGCCTCAGATCAGCGTTCTCCATAATTTGGTTCTCGCTCCCGTTCACCGCCGCATCAAGCATAGCTGCGGCCAGCTCGCTAACCGGAATATAGAGATCTCCTAGAATCGGACTTAATGTCGGCTCTCGTGCTGTCACAAACGCCGGGCGCACAACAAAAGACTTCCATCCCTGGTCAAATTGTCCTTCAAGATCAATCACTCGGTCCTCAACAGTGCCCTGCCTCACGTCAGTAAGCCATCAATAACGAGTACTCGCTCCACTCACCCTTGGCTTCCTCTTTTCGCTCAAAACCCAAAGTGATTTACTCTGATCTCGTTCCACGAACGCTCCGCTCGTGTAGATGAAACGGAACTGCTTTCCTTGACCAAGACCCGTTTTCGAGAAAGCTTCGGCCGCCCGCATCGTCATGTCCATATGTACGTCCATTCCAGACTTGGCACTTCATAGAACCCAGATACATGCTTCGGCTTCAGAAAGTTGAATGAGCTCCTGTTGCTTGTAGATGAACAGGTAAGGAGATTCTGTAGGGTCTCTAGCAAGGGGTGTTTGATAAATAACAAAGCCACTTAGCAAAAGAAGTAGGTGGTATACTTAAGGACCAGGTCGCGTTGTATTTTGTGGCACCAAATCGACAGCAACATTGTCGGAGGAACTGCGCGCAGTGCTTCGAGGACTACGAAGGATTCACAGCTTATGACGAAGGCGTTGTCGATGTTGTGGGAGCAGCTATAAAAGGCGCGGCACAACATCCAGCCGCCGTAGTCTCTAAGTGTATGGTAAGTCAGTCCGAGGTCTTGGCGTTCAGTCAGCCAGGTCCGATCACCTGACGACTGATCCCGCTTCTTGTTAGCCTCACAGGCTTTGCGGTGGCGGGCAACAGGTCGACAGGACAGACTGCTGAAGTCTTCAGAAAACATGGCATGCCTGGCCAACAGGACCGTGATCTGACCAGAGGGCCATATTTTCTCATGTGATCTTCATTGAAAGCCATCTCCTCATCGAGCACTTCCTCAGCCAGAACCTTTGGTGAGAACGGTACAGACTCTGTGGACCAATTCTGTCCAGAAACATGGCTGGCTGCCGAATTCTAGGGGACGCTGCCGTTCATGAGATCTTAATCGGTCTGTCCAGGTCTGACGTAAAGCTGTTCCAGAACAAGCTGCAGGAGTCTCTGCGCCGATATTCAGTCGAGGATGAACGCAAGTATCAGCCAGACGCAGGCATCATCAACAGGCCGAGCGGCCAGAAGACGTTATTTCGACCTTTCACGTCTCCATCGTCGGTCGGCACCAAGATCATTGTTCACCCTGCGCCAGACAGAGTCTCAAACACCCAACAGCCGCTTCACGGTGTCATAGTTCTGTGCGACAATCACGGAATCCCCACAGGCTTGATCAACGCTGAAGAGGTTACTGGCTTTCGTACCTCCTTGAGTGCTCTCATTCTGTGGACATGGCGAAAGTACACGGATTCAATTCTGGTCTTTGGAGCTGGCAAGCAAGCCTTGTGGCATATTCGCCTAGCTTTGGCTTTGCGAGGAGAGGAAATACAGTCCGTTACGGTAGTGAATCGCAACCTTGGACGAGCAGACCAGCTGGTCAAGCAGCTTCAGGAGGAGAATGCTGGTCGGTGGAAATCTGAGGCAAAGCTTGAGAGTCTCGATCCCAACGACAAGTCACTTCTGCAGAGCAAATTAGCCGAAGTGGATGCTGTCTTCTGCACGGTACCCTCAGAGGACATTTTGTTCCCAAAGGAAGACCTCTCTCTCGACTCGCGCAAACGAGCTCCGTACATCTCTGCTATCGGCTCCTGGCAATCCCAAATGATTGAACTGGATCCAGCGTTACTGAAGCATGTTGCCGAGGACGACCGCACTTTCAACCTGAGAGATGAAAAGGGAGGCCTGATAATTGTGGATGATCGTGATGCTTGTCTACATCACACTGGCGAGGTCTTGCAGAGTGGTCTTGCCGCCAGAAGTTTGCTGGAGCTTGGTGAGGTCTTGGATCTTCAAAATCAGGACGAAAGCGAGTCGCAGAAGCGAGAGAAGTTCACAACATGGTTGGCTAATGGTCTAATCGTGTATAAGAGTGTCGGAGTCAGTCTGACTGATCTAGCACTTGGCGAGGCGATACTCGATATAGCCAAGCAGCGTGAAATGGGAACACCTATCTCAAACTTTTAGAGAATCTTGCAAGAGCATCATCGATTGTGTGTATTCACCGGCCTCCGATGACGCTTCTGCCGAAACAACTGTTCTTGGCAAACCGCGTCAAGCCGCATGTGAACTGCCAAGCTGTATATTGAGCGACGGCAGAATTTTCAGCCGGAAGGATGAGCCAAAGGATTGCGGCAAAGCTCTTCGCACGTGGGAAGCCGACAAGAGCTCCAATGATCTTGCGATCTGTTGAATAGATCATTGATATACTGCTGGAAGTGAATCCAGTCCGGTCCCGTTCTCGTTAGCTAGAACTCTGCGAGGCACAATGTCTCCAATTGCCATTTCAGACAATCAAGAGTACAAAATCGCCACTATCCCAGCTGACGGCATTGGACCTGAGGTCATCGACGCTGGCGTAGAAGTTCTCAAGGTTTTGAGCGAGGCCTCTGGGTCCTTCAGTCTCAAGTTCCAGAATTACGACTGGAGCTCAGAAACATATAAGAAGACCGGCAAATATATCCCAGATGAAGGGCTTGTAAGCCTGAAACAGCACGATGCAATCCTTTTCGGCGCTGTTGGTGCTCCAGGTAAGCACAATATGTAAGGGTTTGGACTCAAGACTGACTCGCTGCATAGATGTTCCAGACCACATCTCCCTTTGGGGATTGCGACTGGCGATCTGCCAGCCATTCCAGCAATATGCCAATGTTCGTCCAACGAAGATCCTCAAGGGTACTCAGTCACCTCTCCGAAATGCAAATACTGGCGATCTCGATTGGGTAATTATTCGCGAGAATAGCGAAGGAGAGTATGCTGGACAAGGAGGCAGATCTCATCGCGGCCAGCCATGGGAGACGAGCACCGAAGTCTCTATCTTCACTCGACATGCCGTAACCAGGCTTATCAGATTCGCATATGAAACTGCGCAAAAGCGGCCGAAGAAGCATCTCACAGTCGTGACCAAGTCTAATGCGCAGCGCAATGGAATGGTAATGTGGGATGAAATTGCCGCAGAAGTCGCTAGGGAGTACCCAGATGTGCACACCGACAAAATGCTCGTTGACGCGATGACGTGCCGCATGGTACTCCAGCCCAATTCGCTCGATACCATTGTTGCCACCAATTTACACGCGGATATTCTTTCGGATCTTGCAGCGGCCCTGGCCGGTTCGATCGGCATTGCACCAACATCCAACCTTGACCCGACAAGGCAAAATCCCAGCATGTTCGAACCGATTCATGGATCTGCTTTCGATATCACTGGAAAAGGTGTTGCCAACCCTGTCGCCACCTTTTGGACTGCCGCGGAAATGCTGAGATGGCTTGGCGAGGAAGAGGCAGCAGATCGGTTACTGGAATGTATCGAAGATGTCTGTGGCCAAGGCATCTTAACGAAAGATCTTGGTGGCTCTGCGAACACAAAGGAGGTAACCGAGGCTGTAATTCAGGCGATTCGGAAATCGTACAAGCTGCAGAAGGCTGCTTAACGGCTACATCTCTGCGTATTTGCTTTCATGGTAGCGTGCTCTGGTCACTGTCGAAGCATTCTAGCGAAGCTGCATGGCGAAGATGCGTGTAGACAACTCCTGCGAGAAGGAGATCTCTATCGGAGTCCAGTCCGATGACTGGAAGTCTTACAGGCAGGCCGTTCGTAACGATCAACAGGGACTTGCAGTAAGATGCTCATCCAAGACGTGTTGTCCAATCAGGCATTCGCTCAAAATAATGGAAGAAGGATGCCCTATGACGGGTCTCCTCCAATACCACCTTGGCCTGATAATTTCGATGGAGACGCATTTAAGGTCAGCCAAGCCCGAGCATATTGTGCTGATCGCGCGAAGTACATGGCCGAGAATCCGGTTGGCAGAGCACGGCAATACCGATTGAAACAGATGGTGTGTGCTACGCTGTGCTGTCCGACGGGTTTGCACAGGGTTATGCTATGATCTATCCTCGCAGTCACTTCATGAACCAAGTCACTCTGAGAGTCTGAACATAGGTCAGAACCGTCATCCCGTCATCTGGCCTTCCTGATTGAGACAGGCGTGGATGTTGACTCGGCCGCATGTGTGTGTGTGTGTGTGTGTGTGTGTGTGTGTGTGTGTATGTGTGAGAGAGAGAGAGAGGGAGGGAGAAAACGCCTGCTTGCTGGCGTCTAGGTACAGAATTCTCAAGGAAAGGACCTGGAAGACATCATGTCGGCGAGTGACATGACTCGCGAATCACCCACCACTACTCATCCTCATCACTCCCTACCTGATCACCAGGATCGTCTGCAACTCGCGAATACGATTACAGTCGTCGCTAGCATCCGTGCTCTTGCCTGGCCAGTGGATATGGACTGTAACTCGACGAAGATGCGAGGCGTTGGTGCGTCCGATGGTCTCCGTGAAGCCGCGGAGGAATATCCAGCCAAAGCAGCCACTGAAACGGAACTCGTCCTCGCCATAGAAGATGCTACTGGCCTCGGCGAGCACGGTCTTATTGAAACGAAGGAAGGGCAGAGTGACTTTTGCAGCTTGAGCCATCTTCTCCAGCGGTAGTCGCCGATTCACCATGCAGAGTTTCTATAACACTGCGATGCTTTTGGCAGCAGTTCGATCAGTTCGTCAGTCACGAGGTGCATACGATAGATGCGGTTCCTCAGCTCCGCCGCCAAATCCATGAAGCTGGTGTTGAATGTATGCGGAGGCTGACCATGCTTAGCTTTGCACAGTGACTGACTGAAGTCTGATCAACTTAAATATTTTCCCGCGTGTTTCCGCTCGCCGAACAGCTTTCTGAACGGCATGTAGGCGCTGAGAGCAGCGCGCGAAGGTAAGCATTTCGCTGGCTTCCTCGCACTGTAGTCATCACGCTGCAAGATCGGAGTCCACTCTGCAAGTCGCCTATGAAGATATTAGCGTATACTGAGTCACTTGACGCACTGTAGGACCTTTGCATACTTCTTCTTCTCTTGCATCCAGATTTTGTGGCCCTGTCCGTCCAGAACATCTACGTAAGGAATGGGCTCATCGAAGTACTTGGCAATTGAGTTGTCTGGGCGCTTGTAGTAGTCGAGAACCAGTGCCTGGGTATTGCCATAGTGAGTAATAGCATGGAGCTTGGCCACAACTCGGCTCGATCGGTCTCCTCGACAAGATTTACAGCCGCAGAATCGATGGCCAGTGGCACCCATTTCTTGCGCGGCGCCATGGTGATGCGATGCGATGCGATGCGATGCGATGCGATGCGATGCGATGCGATGCGATGCGATGCGATGCGATGCGATGTTGAGAAGTTCAGGATAGCCGAAGGTTGTAGGAAAGCAATCAGTTTCGTAGCAAGGAGTGGAGCCAAGAATCACGAGCCGTGCCGAGTGCACGGACTCGGAACGGGTGAAAGTACATCTTTGGCATGTGATCCATCCGGAAGTAGGGATTTCCGCGGAGGCGTATAGTAAGCATTGTTTTATCACTGTGCTACAGTAGCGCAACAACGAGACTGTCAAGTGAAGGAGATGTCCATCTACAGTTCTGAGTCCCATTCATCTGTATATGAACCCTGCTCCGTTTGCTCTGCCTTTGGCACCCGCTGTAGCAATGCCCCAAACAATGACACTGGATATCTATGTTCAACCGCCGCATAATCAAAGGGCCCGACGAACTCCTCCGTCAAATGTCATGATCATGTTCCGCGGAGCCACGATCAAGAATCTCAATCCCAGCTACCCCACGACTGGATTCTATACTTCCAGCCCTGAGAGATTGCGTATCCCTCAGGAGTCTGAGCCCTCTTAATCCACTCGTCGACATCCATCTCCATAAGCTGTGGTGCAGACTTCCCGTGCATGGGGGCTTGACTCTGGTGTTTGGAAATCATGGTCGGAGTCTTCGCACAGATGGACTAAGGTGACCGTCGGCCTGATGATGCGCCTGATGATGCGTCAAGTGGTGGCATCGTAGTGTCCATCGTGGTAAGATCAGTCGAGGGTGCTTGGTGGAAGTTCTATGAGTAGAAGCTGTGTGTATAATCAAGGGAAGCGCTGGTCAAGTAGGTAGGTGCGAGAAGCATGAACCGTAATCGGCGGTGGCGCACAAACTTGAAACAAGTGAGTACATCGCGTCGCTTGTAACGATCACTCAGCCGTCAATGATCACTGCAAACTATTGAGCCGACCCGGAAACTGTAGCCAGAAGCATGACGTCGGAAATCAGTGAGCTGAAGGATCAGAAATCACTGCCTCGCTCCTATACTTGAAAGCTTGCCGCGTGGCTTGCTGCAACCCCAATATCGTTGTTGCGCATGTCTCAAGCTGAGAGATTGACGAGATACTGCCGCAATTCAGCAGCTAGTATTTGATGTACATGACTCGTCATGTGTCCGCTATTGAACCAGAAATACTGATCGAGCGGCAGGCACCCATACTTCTCAGGGTCTGTATCTATGTCTGGCTGGTTATACGCAGCACCTGTCGAAGAGTCAACAAGATTGACGTCTAGCATAGAGTCAGACTTACAATATCCCGTGATATTCCTGATTCCATACACCTCATGTCCATCCATCACATTATTCAGGGCCGCGTTGGCATCGAAAATCTTCACCCAAACATCTTTTTCCTCTCGGAAACTCCGCACACTCTTGTCAAGAGCCGTATCATAGCAGTCGACCATAGACTTATTAGGCCTCCCACCATCATGGATGTTGAATACTGAATATTCAAGATTCACCGCTCGTATTCATATTCACTATTGAATGTTAGTGAATATTCATATTCAATTTATATTCAATATAGGCTCAGCGCGATAGCGAGGTTAATAGTAACGATTAGGGTTAAGAAGGAGGGTGTTCTTAGCAGTGCAGTCTTATAGAATACTAGCTAATTATATAACTCGTCGTTGTCTTCAGCTTCTACGCCTAATTGTAGTATATCTAATAGCAAGTCCGCTACGCCTATACGTTGCTATTGCTTGCTACACTCGCTTATACGGATATTGTTGCTAGTAAGCAAGGCACGGTCCTATAAAGCCGTCCTTCTACTACTGCTAAAGGTGCGCTCGGACTCTGCGGATATAGCGAATACGGACAATAAGTCGATAGCTAGTTGCGAGAGCGTTAGATAGGCTGTCCGCTATATAGGAAGGCACTACTATTTAAGTAGACTTATATAGATTAGCTGCTTTGTCCGCTTATCGGTACTAACCTATAGTAGCTTAATAGGCGTAGCGGTAATAAAGGACTCGAAGGGGTTAATATTAGTTGTAAGGACGTCGTTCTCGAGCTGTTATTGCTACGCTATTATATCCGTTAAATAACCTATAGCTTCTACAACGGTAGTAGAAGTAGACTTAGTAGAAGAAGCAGGTCTATAGCGTGCTTCGTATTCAGTCTATAAGGCTCTTGCTCTTGCTAGGCTATTAATAAGCTATTAGTCCTTCTTCTTACTACTAGACTAACGCTTACGAAGCTATGCCTTACGGCGAGTTAGATATAGCAGTATTACAGTAACGTAGATACCGCTCTCGTTAATTAGACGATAGTACTTATTAAACAGGCGCTAAGAGATATAGATAGCCTTTATTATAGGCTCTCGTTTAGTATACTGCTACTTAGTACGCTCGAAGTGAGTAAGTAGCTATTCTATAGTCTCTTAGAAGCGGTCGAAGGTAACGTCGTAACCTTATAGTCGCTAAGTCGCTTCTTTAAATAGTATAAGGAATAACCGTGTCTCTTTAAGGACAATCTAGTCGCTCTCGGTAAGCTAGTATTCACTTAGTTATAGTATACTAATAAACAAGGCGTTAAGAATAGGCCTTATCTAAATAGCCTCCTTAATTATTAGTAACTAGCTATTTTAGCGAGTCTTACCTAGTAGCTTCGGATAGGTAGAAGGCAGCTTCGGCTATGCTTTAGCCAACTCCTTAAAGGCGTTATAGAAGTCGTTCTCTCGCTATAGGACCTTCGTTAGTCGGTAGAGACGTTGTAGTAGAGTTTGCTTAGTAAAGCACTCTACATCGAGATCTAACTACCTAGATATAGAGACCTTATTACTGTCGCTCTCTAGTTGCTTATTAAATAGCACTTACCGCGCTTAAAGTGCCCTTTAGTCCGCTAACTCGGCCGCTTCAGTTAACTAAGCAAACATAAAGGCCTGTATTATAAGGTTAATAATATAGCCGAAGCAACGTAGGCGGCGGCTCTGCTTTGTCTAGTATATAAAGCCCTTCTAGTGTATATAGCGCTTAATCGTATCGTAGAGGGTGTTATTGTTAGAGGCGTTATTAGTAGTTATCTAGCTAACCTTATAAGTGATTAAGAAGGTCTCGAAGGACGAGATTAATAGCTAAGCTATAAACTCGCTAGTATAAGAGCCTCGTTCTAGAGGCGGCAAATCGATAAGGACTTGAGTTAGTTTGCTATACTTATTAATATACTAACAATTGATAGCTTAGAAGTACTTATAGCTATACTAAGCCTTCTAAGTATTAGTACTAAGGTATAGACAACTAAGGGCGTTAAGAAGCGCTATTTTAACCCTCTCTCGCTAGTTCTCGAAGTTATACTATACTCGTACTATTATTGAAGTATAAGACTTTAAAAGAGCCTTATCTACGTATAGATTAATTGTCAATATTATCTCTTTAAAGGCCTTAGAAACAAGGCTAGAATAAGCGACACTATATACTATAGTATAGCGAGCTATTGCCTACCTAAATTTATCGATATTAGCTTCCGCTGTATTCCTTAGAATTGTAGCCGTACGCCTTGCCTCGTTACCCTCGCTTACTGCCTGCATTTTGTCGATATTAATACGGCCTTACAATAGTATTATATCTCTTTCCGGGTATACGATAATACTATGTATCTTAAGAAGGTAGTCTGCGGCGTTACTAGATACTAATTTCTATGCCTTTAGGCTATCTACCGGACAGTGCTTATAGTAGAAGTACTTGTATCTATAGCTATTCTAAGCAGGCTCCCTATCCTACGGATCTCGAGCGTATAACTACAATAGTAGATCCGTCTTATTCTTCGCATAGTGAAGCTTCTTCTACTAAGCAAGCGTCGGTAGTGTAGGCTTCGGTACTAGTATTAGTGTTAGAAGAAAGGCTAAGGAAGAAGATATCGATTGCTAGGTTTAGGGCTCGTCTAGTATCGGATTTAGGACTAGTTCGTCTATACTATCTATACGCCTACGTTTCCGTAGCTTCTAGCTTTCCCGTTCGTAATCTTAGGTATTTAGGAAATTTTCGAGCGCTCGTTAGGTCGGTTAGCGATTTTCTCGGGTCTTTATTGTAAGGAAGAAGGTAGTTAGGTTCTAATTAGAACAGATGGATTTAGAAATTTAACTTTAGAGGCTAAGTACGGCCCGTTTCGGTTAGGCTATCCGAAGCTAAGAATGTAGGTTAGCGAGTCTAATTAAGGCCTAGTATAGACCCTATAACGCAAACTCGAGCTCTCGGAGGCAGGTACGGAAAGCTAAATACTAATCTTCGACTAATTATTATACACTTAATTAATAACAATAACAACCTTACTGCCGCCTTTAGTACCCTCGCTATCGATTAGACGGTATAGCACCTTATCGATACGAGCCTTAAAATACACCTGCCGCAGCGGGCACTACGATTTCAGTCCGAGAAAGCACTCTTCCGAGTATATACACCTCCTTCCGAATTTAAGGTAACGACGAGTACCTAGTGCTATCCGCCTACCCTTCTGTTCTATGCCTTTATATACCTTTTAAAGGCTATTAGCAATACGCTTTTAGTAGTTAGCAGCCCTTTTAACGATCTCCGCCGCGTAGATAAGGCTCTTTATTGTCTTCCTCGTAATCCTTCGAAAGGGTAACTATAAGCCCTCTCTTTCCGCCTCCCTAATATACTGCTCGAAGTCCGCCTATTCTACGTACTCGATAAACGAAATATCGTCCGAATTGGCCTAATAATCATTTACCTAATTAGTATTAATAAGAGGTAGATAGACCGAGCGGATATTCTTTAGCTGTTCTTGTTCTTATTAAAGCCTTTAGTCCTATAGAGCGAGGAAGGCTTGTGTCTCGAATAGAAAGCGGTAGAATAAACAAGGTAGTAACAATACTATAACCTCGTCTTTAGAGGCCGCTAGCGACTTAGCAACCTAGTAGAATTAGCGACCTTCGTATATCTAGGTTCTATCTATATACCTCGAAGCGGTCTATCCTCCGAGCCTATAGAAAGAGCTTAGTTTTTAGTAAGAAACGAGCAATAAACAACCCTATTTCGCATAATTAAAGAGATCTACGTACGCCGCAGTACAACCGTCAAACCCGTTAAATTGCCGACTAAATATACTAAATATTCGAATATTTAGTAACCTCGTATTTATATTCATATTCAGTATTAAATATGAATATAAATTGAATCCGATTCAATATTTAACATCTATGCCTACTATTATTATACTATTTAATAAGTCGCGCTATACGCTCGGAGGGATGGAAATTAGCGCGTATCTGTATCTTTGCCGAGTATCTACCGCACTACACAAATTAGGTATAGAATGCGATCCGGTGCGAAAGCCTTTCTTACCTCTATCTATTTACAACCTCCTAGTAAGCCTTAAGGTTAAGAGCTAGCTATTTTAGCACCCTCTCGTCTATTCTATTACTACGCTAGTATGCCGAGAGCCTCGAAGCGACTATATAAGCTTACTGCGAAGAAGAAGGAAGCCCTTAAAGCCGCTGCCGCTAAGAGACAACGACGTAAAGAGCTACTACTATTAAGTAATGGTCCGGAAGAGCTAGATACTAACGACGAGTTGCTAGATTTAACGACTTCTTAGCGCTAAGACACCGTAGATGAAGAAGACTATGCTTCTAGCGACAATAAAGAAGTCGAGGTCTTTGAATATACTATATAGTAGAACCTATATACGGATAAGCAGAAGGAAGCCTTACTAAGCGAGTGTTATCTAAGCGAGTTGAGCTACGAGTCGCCTTATAAAGCCGTAGACTACTGGTTTAACGACTAGCGCGATAAAGGCAACAACCGGCTTATGTTTAGTCTTAAGAGTGCTATTATAATAGCCTCTGCGGATAAGGTAAAGGCTAAATACTTCTACCGTAGCTCTAGTATAACGGACCTTAATTTTAAGTGCGTATACACTATACTAGCTGTCTAGAATAGTTAAGGCAAGACAGGCTTGCGCCTCGAGTTCAAACTAACCGTTATAGCTAAGCCAACTAGTGTTCCTAACGAGCCTGCAACTTAACAACTACGGCGGACTTAATAGGCTTCTTAGAGACCGCGGAATATAGCGACTTAGCAACAGTTGGCTGCCCTGCTAGCTAAAGGTCGCTCGGAAGATGAAGCGGCTCCTAACGACAATAGCGACGACCTTACTAGCTTACTAACGGACCTACGATACGCCCTTACTTAGCGGTAGCCCTATAAGAACAGATACTGCCCGAACAAGGGTGGATTGTACTAGTTTAGCGGTCTAGACAGAGCAGAAGACTACTGCAAGATCTATCCGGAAATAGCCGCTAGATAGGTTAAGGGGACTCGAGAGGCTAATCTAGCTAGAAGGCTAACAATCGACGACCCTAGAGCGGCACTAGCATTAAAGATGTAGAAGCAACGAGACAAGCAGTTATCTAATCTATTCAGACAATAAGCTAGTAGTAGTAGACGTGCTATCGCACTAATAACGCTAACCCTAGTAGTAATCTACAACTATTATAGCTAGTCTAATAGTAAGGGTCGTAGAGGCGCTATTTCTAGGTCCAATCTACCGGCTTCTAGTCTACCGGCTTCTAGTCTACCGCCGCAATCAAGTCCAGTTAGCGGCTTAATCGCTTCCTATCAATCTTATACTGCCGACATAGAATTGATAGGCTTCTTTAGCTAGTTGCGTAAAGAGTTAACTAGCAGCTAGACTAAGCGATACGCCGATATAGCTAAGATTAAGCGTATCTACGAGGAAGGCGACTTCTCACTTAAATAGCTTAGAAGGGTCAAATTGAGCGATTAGGTCCGCTATAGACTTAAGGAAGGCTAATACGCTCGATTTATCGCCGCAGTAGGGCGATATATTAGCAAGGAAGTCCGTAAGCAGCGACTTACTCGTATTAATAAGTCGGACGATAGTCTGTTCGTTAATTAGCCGTAGAAGCGCTATAGAAGCGCTGTTTTAGTGTAGAAGCGAGAAGCGAGGATTTCCGGTTATAGGTCGGCGGCTTAATAGCTAATATTTAGCTTAACTGATATCGCTTCTTAGTCTACTAATACTACGTATTTTTATATAGTATAAATTAGAAGAGCATTAGATAGATATAGTCTCGCCTCTTTGTACTTGTAGTAATAAAAAGCAATGCGTTGTAGTATTGCGCTAGTGTCGTGTTAGTATAGTTAAAATCAGCTTCTTAAGTCCGGACCCGCTAAGCTCCTGCGCCGAGCGGAAGCCGAAATTTCGGCAGTCTCGGCATAGAGGAAGCGCTCGTAGTCGCGAATTTCTAATACATTAGCGAGCCTATATCTTTACTAGAGGTGCATATTTTTTAAAACGGACAACGGGAGGTTTCTTAGCGGTATCGATAGTATTATATCCTACCGAAGCAATAATAAAGACGTGTTATAGTAGTGTTGTAGTAGTACCCTATCGGTAGGTATAGATTCCGGCTTTCGAAGCTATACTCTCCGGATCGACACGCGATTGCGATACGAATATATTAACATACTAACTGCGCCGCCTTCGATAAACCTAAGGTAATACTAGCGACAGAAACGGTATAGAACCCACTAAATTCCAAGCTCTTTTATCGTAATAGCTACCGGTAGCGCATTAGAGGTACACCGATTAGGTGTGTTTATAGGTTTTGCTAATTCCTCGTAGATTGCCGATAGTTAAGAAGACGAAGAGGACCTTATCCGAGATGCTACTACTATATTACCGACAACTGTATTACTATCGTTAGCTATTTAGTTAAGAAGCTTATTACTATAGCTAGTATTGCTAGATCTATAGCATATAGAAGCTATAATAAAGGAGCAAGCTGCTAATACTGCGCGTGCTATTATAGAAGGAATGAGATAGGAGATAGACGAGTTAAGAAGCCGTATTGCTAAGCTAGAGACAATCGTTAGAATAAGTGAGACTATAAGGGAGTAACTGTTAATATTAGCGATAACCTGCTCGCTAGAACTACGATCCTACTATTGTTTAAGTGTCTAGTTAGTTAATAGTATACCGTATAAATTTACCGAAGTCTACGAAGCAATTAGCCTCGTTAATATACTTCTTAACCTATACCTTAAGTACGTTAAAGGACAACTTAATAGGGTTAAAGTCTAGCGAATACGGAGGTAGGTATCGAAGGTAGACTCTAGCCGCCGCGACTATATCCTTTATACGCTAAGTGCAGTAGATTAATGCGTTGTCTATAATAAGGAACATACTAGGCTCTATTTAAGGCAGTACTATATACTATAACTACGCCTCAAAGATCTCCGCGGTTATAGAGCCTTAATAAATAATCGTACCGTCGAGATAGCTATTAACCGAGATAGCAGGCAAGATACTCTATCGCTTTAACCTTACCGCCGACCCTTCCTCGAAGATAGAGCGGTTAATAGGACCGTATCTATATTTCCGCTATCCGGTACGCTTATTAGACGCGCTCTCGTCTATATATACTACCTTCTGCGCCGGTATATCTATTTGCCTTATTTTAAAGTTATCTCGAAGGTCCTAGTTCTATTCCGCCGTAAACCGTATCGCCTTCTTCCTCGTCTACCTACGTCTCTTTAAAACTCGCGACATCGTCGGTTAGCTAATAATAACGTCGTATTCGTCGTATAGATACTATACTACCTTATCTTAATAGGCATACGGTCGGTCGTTAAGGAATTCGAAGATACGCTATACAAATAGGGTAGGTTAGTTAAATTGCGACTATATACGCTTAGCGATACCTATATCCTTAAAGATTAGTAATAGCGACCGTAGACGACCTAACCTCGCGAGGTCTTTAATATAGAATATACTAAATAGGCGATAATTGTTATAGATCTTGTCGATACTGCGCCTAGCGATGTTTAGTAGCTCGGAGATAGCAATATTAGATAACTCGCTCTCGTCGAAGAGGCGCTTAATCTTATTAAGCTAATAGTCTAGTAAACGCGCTATTAATAACACATTCGAGGGGTATATACTATAGAAATAGCGACGACGAGGTGTAGGTATAGTATCATTTCAGCAGAGAGGTAGGAAACCGCCAAGAAGCTAATTCTATACTAATTATAGTGTAGCCACACCGCAGCAAGTTCCATGGTCCTCCGAGCGCATAGCGCGACATATTGAATAGCGTAATAACGCCCGGCGCACGATCAATTGGCGGCAAGTTCATAAACAAGAACTTGCAATACCCCAACTTCCTCACCTTCTCCAGCGCCGTAAACAAAGCCTTTATCAGCTCTTCATAGAATGCCGGGAAATCCACGTTCATCTCTTTGCTGTCGTTGACATCATTAATACCAATCCAAATCACGACCAAGGTGTCCTCCTTCCTCACAATCTCCTTCAGCGCGGGTTGACCATAATTCACAAATTGCTCGACCTGTTTCACGAACGGTACAGTAAATTCATGATGAAGTGGCAATAACGCCTCAGTAATATCTGCTCCAGCGAAGGCAAAGTTCCAGAGCTGCTTTTCACATATCCCCGGATTAGTCGAGCTTTGCGCGACCCCACATCTGGTCAGATATTCGATCCAGTTTGGCCCGCCATTAGCTGTGCTAGTCTGACTCTGAATGATTCGCGATTCAAGAAGGTGTTCTGGCGTGAAGGCCAAGTTTGGAAGGTCGCCGATGAAGCTGTAATTTTGTCGGCCGTATGGAGTGCCTTGGACGTAAGTGTAGGAGTCGCCGAACGCTATAACGTGGTCGATGGTGCTCCATAGGAAAGAGGGCCGGGATACAGGCGGCAGGCCAAGGGTGAGGTCAGGAAGAAGACTGCAAAGAAGGATCATTGTGAAGAGTGAGAACATGGTCAATGATGAGACCATTCTGCAAGAGATGTGGAGAGAAGTGATGCTGTGTTCTCGAGAATCGCCATTATGTGCGTCGTCTAAGTCTTGTAGCTTCTGCATGCATGGTAGTAATATTAGATTGAGCGGGACAACGGCAAGCACAGTGATCACCAGCCTGAGTCTTGAAGTCAATGTACTGTGTTGAATTGTGATTGGTGGAAGCGAGCATGGACTCGGGTTGGAGAGCGCCGAGGACTTGGAAGGCAAGGAGAGGAGAAAAGCAGCGCCGAGTGGCGAAGGGAAAAGCTATCAATGCCACGCAGATTGCATTTGCAAAGTCATGAAATGTCGTTGGCCTTTCTCACCATGCAGTAATGTCGTCCACCTCCGCCTCGCCAAAGGTTGAAGCCTTCACCTCACGCTGCTCTTCCTGCTTTGGTGGCCAGTTGACGGGCTCCCTGTCCATAATGTTCTTGAGCTCTTTCAGCATGAAGTCGCGCAGGAAGCCATTGACCTGCTTGAACTCGAGCAAAAATGCGTCGTGGCCGTCTGGACTGTCAATGGTCTTCAGCTCACTATTCGGAATAGCAGCTGCCAGCTCCTTCTGCTCTTGATAGGTGAACAGACCATCAGATTGAATGCCGAGGATGAGAGTTGGTTGCTCGATCATAGCGAGCGCTGCACGCACTTCTTCTGGCGTGGGCGAGCCTGTAGTATCAGTACGACCACGAGCGACGTCATGGGTGTCTAGCTTGCGGGTGATGGCAATGTAGCAATTGGCATCAAACCGGCCAATAAATTTGTCTCCTTGATAGCGCAAATATGACTGCGCAGAGTAGTAGGTAGGCACCTTTCTCCTGTTGCTCGATGGCGGCTGTACTGGCAAGTCTGTGGTACCTGAGAACTGCGGGTCCTGGATGGTGATCTGTGGAGAGGTTGGCAATGAGTCTACCGACGAGCTTATATCACCATCACCATTGGCGTGGCGCCTCTGGGATCCTGCCAGCTTGTGCCCCTCGTTGTGAATCGCAAAATGCTCTGTGTCTGGCGTGTGTGGTCTCTGCTGCAGGCTGTTGATATTCTGCTTAGGCTGAGTCGGGTCGGGGTGTTTGCGACCAAAGCGAGACTCAAAGGAGTCACGACTGCGATAGGTGAGCAGCGCCGACATGCGTGCTGCACCAAGACCACTCGCGGGCGGATCGTCGAACGAGTAGTACCCATCATCATACTTCGGGTCACTGTAAATACTCTGCCGCTGCGCCTCGCCCCAGCTGATGCCCCACGCACTGTATCTCGCAGATGTAGCGATCGGAATAATTGTGCGTACATAGTCCTTTCCAAAGTACGCAAACTCCAGCACGAGCATTCCTCCCATGGAGCCCCCAATGACTGCTGCAATCTGCTTTACGCCAAGATCGTCCAGCAGCAGTCTGAAGAGATTCACATCGTCGCGAATGGTTGTGAGCGGGAATTCAGGCCCGTAATGGCCCTTCGCTGGGTCTCCGTCCTTGGCTGTGACAGGACTTGCGCTTCCGTATGGACTTCCCGGGCTGTTCATGCAGACGACGAAGAATCTGCTCATATCAAATGCGCGTGCCTCTTTCCCGTTTTCACCTGGCCCACCGAGCAGCGGTCCCCACCAGTCTTGTACGTCGGCGCTGCCTGTCAAGGCATGGCATATGACCATAGCATTGTCGGCTTCTGGCGACAAAGTGCCGTAGGTCTTGTAAGCAACGGGAACATTGTAGAGCGTGGTACCGGATTCGAGGGTGAATGAGGGGACGATCGCGATGTCTTGGTTGGGAATCAATTTTACGAAAGGGTTCTCTTTCTGGTCGGCAGGCTTAATTCGCCCTATACACGGTATCAGTTTTGGAGCTCGGCAATGCCTTTTGCAGATCCCGGGAAAACCTCACTGTACTTGAAAGTCTCGGCGGCGTGAACCAGTCCATTGTTGGTAGTCGTCATCGTTCAGCTGTAGTGTCTAATGGCATGAGCCAGTGTGAGGTGTTTGTGAGGAAGTGTAAGAGATCTGCAAAGGCGCCAAAGATCGAGACCGAGCAAGTGAGTCAAGAGGTTCACTTTGGAGGCCGTATAAGTATTTACCGGAGCTTAGCTATGGCATCATCTGAACAAGCTTTTTGGCGACGTGGCACGAACTTGAGAACATGAGAAGTACAGCTGATCAAATATCAGGCTACCATGTACATACGAATTTGAAGATTATACCAGGGCCGGTCTTAACGCCGCCGCCTTCTTTTTAGATCCCATTTGGTGGCGCCATCATCCTCGCTAAGATCCTCTCTTACCACCCTGGGCTCCTCGTCTCGTAGTCCAGTGTCGCCAGCCGACTCCGCGGAAGTGGTCTGCGACGCATGATCAGTCAGTGCATGTTACCGTAGAACAACATCGATCGTTCCTTACCTCTTCCGACTCCATTGCGGGCTTGATCAGCTCGACCTCAGAGTTGCCCAGGTCGTAGAGCTCGCTTAAGAAGCCTCCAAAATAAAGCACCGCATTCAATATCTCCTTTCCGGTGGGGATGATATTATCTCGTGGCAGCAAGAAGCCATAAGTGCCGCGATCACGGAGCTTAACTTGATAGGCATATCTCACACCCATTGTGCGGTAGAAGAAGTCGAGCGCCGAACCGCCGGATTCCTCCATTCGTGGTCTTAGATGTTCCTTCTTATTAGCAGCCGTGTACATCACATTCCCTTCGCATGCTGGCATAACCTCATAATTGTGGTTATGCGTAACACGGATAGCGCGACCAAGACCGTAAGCCAGCTCTTCAAGATTTTCCAATCCTGGCGGACTATCATCGCAGGAGTAGCTGTATGGGTAGAGGATCTCCTGTGAGTAACTGTGGAGATCCAAAAAGCCTGCGAATTCTACGTTGTTGGTTTCAGTCTCATTCTTGGCCCAATTTGCGAAAGCCTTGGCCTCAACAGCATCGAAAGGGGACTCGCCCGAAAACGATTCGCTGCAAGGATTGTCAGTGGCCGACCACTCGAAGCCGAATGAGCGGTCGAGATCGATGCCTTGGCAGAAGCGGATGCCAGTTTGTTGTCGGTTCTTCCTCCAAAGTCGATCCGTCTCCCAAGTGTAGCTAAAGGATCACAGTCAGCGATTCTTCCAATCCAAAATATTCAGCAGCAGTGCTTCCGCGACGTACACGTAGCCATCTGGATTCAAGGTTGGGATCAGCACAAAGTCGAATGCCTCAAGCAGCTTCGTCACGCTTGGAATTTTTCCATATCCGGTGATGAGAGAGTAAGCAATGTAGTTGACGGTGGTCGTACTGACCCACTCGCGCGCATGAAGACTGCCAACGATGAGAATCGTCTTCCGCTTGGGCTGTTCCGGATCTTCGGAGTTTGTTGGATGCACACCGATGCGCAATCCAGGAATATTACGCCCTTCGTAGGAAAGTCCGATGTTCAGATGCCTTACATGTGTCGTAAAAAGGGAGGCGAGCAGCCGCAGCCATGGCTAAATTCTCAGTCAGCGCGTCCCTTGTATAGTATCTCCACTCCTCCGATCCTTCTCGTAAAAGTAAATTGATAGCGCTATGTTATGCCACAGCGATGGCTCATCTAGCACGTACCTCAATCACCGAGAATGGCTGGTAGTCAGCAAAGAAAATGTTTGTCTCTGCCTGCGCGGAAGGATCCAGGGTGGGGGAGAAAGACGTTCGAGTTGGGAAGGGAGTTGCTTCGCTCGTCTTAGGCTTATCGTGGTGCTTTTGATAATTGTTGACGATTGCCTTGGCCAGCTCCTGCTCTCTCAGCAACGGCCTGTGGGCGTGTTGGAGCGATGCAGGTAATAGTGCAAGCAGGAGAGGCACAGTCTCTTTGGACAGTCTTATGTCCACCCAATCTCTCGCAAACTCCCAAACGTCAAGCAGAAGCGTGTCTGCTGCTTCCGCTAGGCTCGCAGCCTCCTTGTGAGAGCTAATGTTGAATCGCAATACCAGATCCTCACCATATCTTGTATATGCGTGTTTTGGAGTATGCCGATCTTTCGAGTTCCGGTCAGGGAATGATATGCGCGATTGTTTCGCTTCTCCAAAGCCAAATATGCTCTTCATGAACTGCGCAGAAAGGCTGCTCCATCGTGAGGCTCGAGGGACAGAGGCAGGTACAGAGTGCTCAAGCGGGTGTTGTTCGTAGGCAGCGGGCGAGGGCACGGCGGCGACCAAAGCGCACAGTAGTGCTGGCAGCGCAAGGAGAGATCGCATGGTGCCAAAATGCCAAAGATCGCTCAATGCGACCAATGCGCAAAATGTGTGTTAAGGTGCCTGGCAAGTGTTACCACGTTAGAAGCAAGCAAGCAAGCCACTGTCGCGTGCCTGGTTGCCCCCTCATCAAGCAAGCCTCAGCCTGCAGCCTACGGGCCCGACTTTTCCAGCGCACCCACTACTGCACCTTCTTAAGTTCTTTCTATCCTAATGCAAACAGCCTTCCACGCCCCGGTACCCCCGTGCAAGCCCAAGATCGTGAGCAGCTACAACTACGGAGGGCAGTGCCTGAATGCAACTCAAGGGTAAGGTGTGCCATCCGAGGAATATGCACGGGAGTACGATCAAGACGATTCAGCGTGTACATCACCGCCCTACCTACAATTGTCGTCGGCGAGGCACGTACGTATTCATCAGAGCACGAGGGAGTCTCAGACTTGTCCATGCCAACTCCTGTCGAGCATACGAGCGTTGGCCTCAGACTCTAGTTCTATGCCTCAACAAGGACACCATACTACGGAAGTGATGAGTCGACGGTGAAGCGAGCATCGTCAGGTCGAAGGCGAGAAAAGTGGCTTGTGCTGGCATTTTCATGAACAAGAACACTGCGGAATATCAATGTATAGACATGAAGGCCGAGATGTAGTACGTCGACATGGGTACGTCGTCCTGTTCCTCTACGGCTTCGTCATCAGACAACAACACATCGGGTAAGACGCATGCATGGCCGGCTGCATTATTGAGCGATGATGAAGTCAGATCTGAGCAGAACGGAGAGCCGGAATGGACGCAGACCGGATGTCGATGGACCGCAATGGCATTTTGAAGTGGGATGTAGTCAGGGCGATGGCGAGGGCTGCAGCTCTCCAGCTGGCAGCGGTGTACAGCGAGTACCAAGTACATGTATGGAACAGGAGCAACGCGTGTTCGTCGTAGCTATCATTTCTTCGATTCGGCACTCAGTCTTGACTCTCAACAGCAGAGTGTCCCCCAAAAAGCCAGAAGAGTGTTCATTATTATGATAGTGCTGCGGCCCAAGGCTCGTCTCTCCACTTACCCCTACTTCTAGCACACCAAATCTCCATCCAGCCCATCCACTTGTGTCGGGTACAGGCACCGCCGCTTACATATTGCATCGCATCGCACCTGACATCTGCCGCCTTTCTTCACACCCCGAGACGACACCAATGCGCCCCACTCCCGCAGCAGAGTCTGCTGGCCATGCCGCTGCTGGGACGGAGACGAAGCCTGCTGGACTTCAGACACGGCCAGAGCCAGAGCCAGAGCCAGAACCAAAGCCAGCGCCAGCGCCAGCGCCAGCACGAAACCCAGAACTCGGACCACTCTGCTCATATTAATAATAACAATAATGATGATGCGGCTGGCAGTGCATCCCTGGGTACATCATCGGCGCGCTCCAACGCCCGTAACACCCTCCTCCCCATCGCGCCGCCCAGCACTCCACCGCGGCCAGCGTCGCAGTGCAACCCTTCACATTCGCGACTGTCGCACGAGCTCCACCCCGACGACATCGACGCGAGCACGGACAATGAAGGCACGGGGCGCCTGAACGAACGCTTCAGCCTTATGAGGTTTCGGAACTTTTCTGAGTCGCACCTGTCTGTCCGTGCTAGAATGGACGCCGAGCGGGAACGAGTCGACGAAGACATGCCGCCTGTCCCTGTCCCTACCTCTGCAGACGCTGCGGGAACAGTGCCCACTATTCTGAAGACAGCCCCGACGATGGACCACGCTGAGCACGCTGGACAGCAGCATGCGGGGGAGGAGCGGCGACCAGCGCGGTCGTCGCTGTTCAAGAGGGCGTCGGCGAGGGGCCGCTCATCACAGCAGCTCGACAGCAGGAAGTCCATGGATGAGGTGCGGCAGCAAAAGAAGTCGCTGAGATGGGGCAGAGCGAGAAGCGGTCTGGAGAGCTTGCACCGTCTATCTACCATGCACCTGAACAACCAGCACATGGCGCCTCCCTCCTACGGCGACGAGTCCAACTCAGCGCTTGCCGTGCCAGTCTCCATGCCGGATCCCCGCATGTCTGAGTCTTCACGATCAGATGGGAGCAATGCGTCTTCCGGAGACGGACACATCTACGCCTCTACCACTACAACCACGCATACCGTTTCCACGCATACTACCTTCTTCAAATTACCCCGGCGGAACAAAAACCGTAATTCGCTTTTTCCACTTCCCATCAAGCTGCCTCATCCAGATGACGCGCAATCTCACGCTGACCAAGGCCCGACAACACCACGTGCCTCGACGCATTCGACTGTCGAGCGTCCCAGCACCACACCGACCGAGCGCCTCCCAGAGGCCACCCAGCTCAGGCGGGCACAAACAGAAGCAAGCCCGACCAAGCGGCGCTCGCAGTCTGCTCTCTCGTCTCCTCATGCGTCGTTGGCAAAAGCATCCCTATCTTTCGCCGAACCTGGCATGAATCTATTCCGGCACAGCTCTTCGCGGTCAATCAATTCTGTCACATCATCACCACTACAGCCACCAATGCGACTGGGTCTACGAGATAGGTCCTCTACGACCAGTAGCTTCGGTGCGCACAGCTCCCACGATGCAGGCACTCCGCCGCCTCTTTCGGCGAGTGCGCGAAATTCTACCTCCACCACCGGCAGATCAAGTTTTGGCGGATTCCTGAATCTTTCCAGATTTCGTCAGAGTTCGGAGCCTCATTCGCCCAGGCATGGGTCGCCAGGAACTGGAAGCAAATCGAACTCCTTTGCCATGAGCAGGGAGGCCCTGGTCGTTCCCGATCGCGAATATGGCGACACGCCAGGAAAGTATTTGGAGCGCCTACAGGCCGCCGTGGCCAAGAGCGTTATTGCTGGGATATTATCCAAGTCATCTGATCCGTTCATGCAGGCTGTTCTCCGAAGCTATACTCGCACGTTTCCATTCTTCACGGAACCAATAGACATGTCGTTGCGCAAATTTTTGCTGCAAGCCGAGTTGCCGAAAGAGACCCAGCAGGTGGATCGTGTCATTCAAGCTTTTGCAGACAGATACCACGAGTGTAATCCCGGCATCTTTCTGGATTCTGGAGTGGCCTATGTTGTGGCTTTCAGCATTATGATGCTCCATACCGATGCCTTCAACAAGAACAACAAGCGAAAGATGCAGAAGCCAGACTATCTCAAGAACACCTCTGGCCAAGGCATTTCGGACGATGTCCTCGCGTGTTTCTACGACAATATTGTCTATACCCCATTTGTGCACTGGGACGAGGATGTCGACTTTAATGGGGAGAGGATGATGCCTTTCAAGTCCAAGAAAAATCACCACGCGAAGCTGAGAAGCGCTATACCAGGTTCGGAGACCACGAAGAAGCCATCAGGTCCTGTTGATCCGTATACATTGATCATCGAGAACCGACTGGATACACTGAGGCCCAATATCAAGGATAGCATACTGATGGACGATCCCTATGACTATCGAGGTAACCAAGGCGAGCTCGATCCTGGATATCTCCAACGAGCCTTTACGCATACTGGAATGATCCAGATCATTTCCCCTCGTTCCCGACCTGCAGCCTACGAGAGCCAAATGATCAATGGCCAACCGAACCCCACAGAGACTCAACAGGGCATCATTGACCTCAAAATCACCAAAGTCGGTCTGCTTTGGCGCAAGTCGAGCAAGAAGAAGAAAACTAGAAGCCCGTGGCAGGAGTGGGGAGCTATTCTGACTGCCTCTCAACTCTACTTGTTCAAGAACTCGCACTGGGCTAAAGGCCTGATGCAACAGTTTCATAACGCACAGCGACCCATGCAAGCAAGGACGCCTGTGACTTTCAAGCCGCCTTTGCAGGATTTCAAACCCGATGCCCTCATAAAGACTGATAACGCTATCGCTCTAGTGGATTCCACGTACAACAGACACAAAAATGCGTTCACCTTCGTGGGAACTAGTGGTCAGGATGAGGTGTTTTTGGCAGATAACGAGGCTGAGCTGAACGATTGGCTGGGACTAATCAATTATGCTGCAGCATTTCGTGCAGCTGGCGTGCGCATTAGAGGCATGGTCGGAGGAAGTGAAGAGGACAATCGACCAAATGATGTGTCCAGGCTGGATAGCACCAAGTCTACACATTCGATTCAGACACAAATGGGAGAGGCCACGATCAGAAGCCGCACACTTGAACCATCACTTCAGAAACAGGTCATGGCGGCTCGAAGACAGATTATGGTCGCCAAGATCAACGAGCTCGAGAAGGGAATAGTCGACGCAAATCGTCAGCTCGAGAGCATGCTTCGAAACGCACGGCATCTATTGGTCTTGGCACCAATTGCGCCAAAGACACGAGAAGATGTTGTACACGCTGCTGCCAAAGCGGATGCCATGATCAAATGGGCACTACGGGACATTTGGCGCATGAAGGCCCACCGTGACATCCTCGCCATGGATGTACGGATCGATGGCTTGAGTGCCAGTGACCTTGAAAAGCTTACGATGAGCGTTCCCACGGAGCCAGAGTCCGCGAAGAAGCACAAGCCGACTATGCTGACTCGACTCAGTTCATCAAGAACTCCAAATGCAAGGAGTCCACCTCAAAGCCCACTAACACTTCAGATGTCGGGCCGGCCGCCGACTAGAGGCTCTGTCGACCGATCTGCTGGCATTGATGTATTTAGCACACCTCCTGAATCCGCAAGTCCAGCACGAGAAGATGGCTGGCGGTTGCCACCTCTCAACATCGATGCATCAGCTGAGCCAGAACCGCATCGACCGTCTATCGCCAGTACATACCTGTCAGCATCTCCACCTGCCAGCTATGCAAGCTTGTCTCACTCTGCTTCAATGTCAAGTATGCTACAAATGCAACGAACAGCGTCCACTAGCGCCTCGGAGACGACAACAGGCCGAGGCAAGACCACCCCTGCAGGAAGCATCAATGAGCGTGAGCTTCAATTACTTGCGCGAGCGACGGTGGCGCCCGATGCTGAAGGCGGAGGACGCGGACCTAGTTTTGATGGCACCGCCTCTGGCAATTCTCCCGAGAGCAAGCACAAGGGTGTGCGACGGAGTTTACAGAAGACGCTCAGAGATCATCATCAACATAGTCACTCTCACCGTCATCGCAGGAATAAGAACAGCGATAGCACTGTGCGGTCTGGTGGCTTTGAAGATCGGGAGACTGAGGAAGCAACGCCTGGTCTTACGCGTGAGAAGCCTCGCTTCATTCTGCACGGCAAGCAGGCATCAGTGGTTCAGTTCGGAGGGGACTGGGAACGCATAAAGCTTCGCAGAGAACAGTACGGATCACAACATTCAGCCTCACCTTACGAGGTCCAACTTGATGCGGCTGTGGAGCGGCGTCGGTCGGAGCAACATGAGCTGCTGCGTGCAGGCCTGGCTAGCCCAGTCGTGCACGACTTCGGTCGCGATACGGCAGACGAGGACACCGATGCTATGAGCGTGCTGTCAGAAGGTTCGCGCGGCTTTAGGGAGGATGCGCAAGTCGCTGCAGCATACACCACACGCAAAAGTCCAAGTGATAGCCCGAGGCACGTCTCGTCCTCTGAAGAAGTCTCTGACATAATATCAGGTGTCTTCGATCTCTCGTCCTGGGATCCAGATGCTGGTTGTAGGACAACAGTCATCGGACCAGCCACAAAAGCAACACCTTCATCTCCATTTGAGAGACACAGACGCTACAGTAGTCTACAAAAATCCCCAGACGGCAACATCGAACACATCGAAGAGAATGACGACGCAAACAGTCCCATGTATTCTACACCACCATCTTTTACAGACAGGGAAAATCGGCGCACAGTAATCGGACCTCCAATGTCTTCCTCCCCTCTGACGGTAAGGATGTCCCCGGAGTCCACTTCTTCTTCACAACAGGCGTTAGGACGACATGGATCGGTACGAAAAATTGCATCAGCGGAGGCGTCGACTTCGCTGGGTCGAAGACTTTTTCCTTCCACTGGCTCCACTTCGGCTGGAGCCGCGGCGCACGAGACTCTTGATGCAGAGGGAGAAAACGATAGCGAGGGTGAGAAAGGGTTCGTGGCTCCTATCAGCGATGAGGAGTTAAGGCGCATGTCCTCGAGCCTGAGCGCGCCAGCAAGTCCGCAAAGAATGAGGGTCATGTAGACCTTCGTACGTTCCTTTAAAGTGTTTTTGATTTTGATACCCTCGAGAGCGAAGTGGGAAATGAATGGTATCTGTAGTGAGTAGATTTTTATGATACCCGCTTGCCAAGGGAAATGGGATCTGATTACGACTACAAAGCTTTGCTTCTACCACTCCTGCAAGCTTTCTATCCCAAGAATCCACCCTGCAAACACACTTGGACACGCTTCAATGCAAAGTTTCTCGAGCTTCCACAAAACGATCGCTCCGACGCTGCACAAAACTTCCCAAATCCGGGATGCTCCCCCCTCTTTCTCACACACATCATGCGTCGCCGAGTTTCCTATCCTCGTTGGCAAGACTCTTCCGTTGGCCAGCCTTCTTGTTCTTCAGCGCCTTGACCTCCACCTTAAGCTCCGTCATCTTCTGCTCCAGGCTCCTTATGACCGACGAGCCATCCGAACTAGCATCTTGCCATTCCTCCTTGGCATGAAGAGCAATCTCTTCGGCATTCTTTCTTATATCGATTGCTTGCCGATTCAAGTTTTCCTGCATATGCATTCGGATCTTGTTGATTTCCAGAAAAGCTTTGGCCAGATCTGCTTCAATTTTCTTGAGTCTCCAGTGCACGGTGGTTTTGGATTCGTTGTGTGCTTCTCGGAGGTCAGAGAAGGCTTTCTTGTAGTCGTTGTGTTCTTCCCGGAGGTCCGAGAAGGCTTTCTTGGTTTCTTCCAACTCCTTCCCATGGCGCGCTTGGAGTTGGATGAAGGCTTCGCTGAGGTTTTGGAATTGCCTTTTGAGCGTGGCGAGGTCGAAATTTCCGGGTTCGCGTGGTGAGGGAGACTGGGATGGGGATGGGTTCCTGACGACTGAACCAGTTAAGGTTGAGGGAGACATTGGTCGTCTTGGCACCACATTGACCATGAGCCCAGTGTCGTCTCCGTCGTCGAATGATGACCTCGATACAGTTCGGTGTTGACTTAATGTAATCTGGTCTGACTTGCGTATGCGGTTGCTGAACTCAGAAATGGTTGGAAAGCTTTGAGAAGGCGCTCGGGACGGAATGCTGCACGTGGATAGTGAAGGTGATGGAGGTACAGAGTGAGCGGATGCTGAATGATTGCTGCGAGATTCTTCTCGATGGCCCAATGCTTGGTGATTCAAGGAATCTTGAGGTGAAGGTACTGCGCTTGATCGAGACGCCGTGCGTTTTTCGAAATCGAGTCCTGCTTTGGCTGATGAGTTCACGTCAGCGCGTGCGCGTGTTGATATGCGCTTGTCTTGCGCGCAGACTTACTATCTCTGCGCCTCATCTCATGCACGTCTGTGTCGATTCTGGATAAATATGGCTCAAGGCCGGCGTCGCAGTTGCTGGCCTGTCTTCTTGCTGCCATGGCCGTTGCAGTGTGACGGAATGCAGGAGATAGCAGGTGTCGTGCTCAGGTAGATATCTAGTAGGAAAGACGAGAAGATGGCGCTCATCATGGCATTTTCTGGCGATGGCCTCTTCGGCTGCTTCCGACATGTGACAGTTGCTGGATGCTGAGGAAGGAAGCACGGCCTTGCCTTGCCTTGCCTTACCTTGACATTTTTTCCCTTCTACCGCGCTTGCAGGACTTACTGCAGACTTCTTGAGAGATCAAAGCCCTTCCGACCAGCGCATCCTCCCGAGCACCGGGTCTTTAGCCACTTTGGACGGCGAGCATCTCACGTCCAGTCCAGTTCGCCTTTTGCTTGGGCTCTGTATCACTATCAACACGAGATGTACTCGCGACATTATTGCTCTTGATTTGGCTCCTACGCCTCCAGCTCGAACGTGGTCCCTCGCACTCAAGAGACCAGAAATCCATGCCTAGAATACCTGTGCCTGTGCTGTGCCTGTGCCTGTGCCTGTGCTCGTCCGGTCCTGCCATTTCCCTGTTCTATTTCCCTTCTCCTAGACGAGCATTCGCAAACGTCCACGTCCACCTCGCCCTCCTTGACGCGTTCAGCTATGGCTTGCGAGTATTTGAGTTACGCGTAGGACGCGGTGCATTCGTCGGCGGCGCAATAGTTCTAATGCTTCTTCACTTCGTCGTCAGCTCGTGAGCGCCATAGTCGCTCAATAATATGGCCATCAGGATAGAGTCTGCGGGCCTTTAGTGACCCGAAATTGAACGACATCGGTGGCTTCACGCTGTACCCCAGCCCAATAAATGTGACAGGCTGGTAACCCAACCTTTTTCCCAATGATGAGCGACGAGCGAAACCGAGGCACGGGGCCAATTCGGATGCGGAGAGCGCAGCGCCGGTCTGACCACCGAAATCGCCGAGCTGACTACCGCGGTAGTTAGGAACTCTAAAATAATAGGGGGTTAGCCGAGGTTAAGCTGAAAGGTATAATATACTAATATGCGGGGAAAGGTATACCTTTCCCTATTACTTTCCTATACTATTTACTACGAATATAAATACGAATAAGAAAACTACGGAATAGCAAAGATATTAAATATTCTACCGACCTATACTAAGAACTAGATGCTAACGCCGCTATCCTCGGTAAACCTACCGCGGGAGAGGCCTATTCTATTACAAATCGTATATTATTCTAATACTATTCCGATCTTATTCTAATTAAATCTAATTTAGATACTAAAAGCAATTTAAGGTCGATCTTACCGAAGGGGATAGCCCCCCTACGACTACTTAGCTCGGATTTAACGACGATAATACCTACGAGAGGGACTACTAAGAGCTAGAATTTAAGGAGTACGACGAGGAGTACTATAAAAGCCGATTAGCGGTACTATATATCGACGACGACGTTAAGGACGTTATAAGATATATTAGGGCATTCCTATTATAATATTAAAGGAATAAGAACTTATTTGCAATAGGATAGGATTATTATTACCTCGAACCGCGACGCTATTTAGGCTCGTTTTATCGAATACGTAACCGCAATACCGTAATATCCGAAGACCTACGAAGATAGATACGCGTACGTAATCGACTACTCTACGACTAGTACTAAGCCGGAGCTAGATATAAGTAGATTCTCAATCCGATATTATTCCGATCTTATCGCTTTAGGAAACGATTAAGAAACGATTAGTAAAGATAGCTAAGAGAGAGGTAGATATAATATAGTATTCCCTTAGTAGGAACAAAGGGGGCTATTCTAACAATATCTAGTTGCTTAGGCAATATACCGTATACTAAGACGTCGTACGACTGCTTAGGTATTAAGTAGTGCTAGTAGTTATACGAGAACCTAGTATCTATAGATTACTATAAGGTCCCGGAAGAATAGTAGAAGACGAGAAAGAGATTGAATCTCGAAAGGTTTAACGAGGATAATCCTAATCTAGCGAGAAAGAACGCGTTAAGATATATAATTCTAATATTAATAGTTTTATAGGCGAATAACAGCGATAGGCTCTACTAGTCGCTCCGAAAAGAGTTCGATAATAGGACATTCTATAAGGCCTTTAGGTACGACTCTTATAAGATAAAGTTTAGATTCTTTAATCTACGTATAAGTAATAAATCCTATACTAATGTCAATCTAATATTAAGCTAATATTATTCTAATATAAGTAGTTTCTCGTACTAATACTAAACGAAACAGCTTAAAAGGATAATACTAGGCGAAGGATTTATCTGCTAATACTACTATACGAACTACGACTCTTCTAGCCTAAATAAATACGATTATCGCTTCCGCGCGATTAAGCTAGCGGAGAATGTCGATTATAAATAGATATAGAGCCTAGTTATAGGGGTAAACAATTAATCTAGGATTCTAATTATAAAGCGATAGTATACGGAGATCGTATAAGGGACGAGCCTACGGAGGATATACCGTAAGTATAAATGGATTCGGATTAGATTCCGAATAAATTAATATCGTAATTAGGTTACAATTACCTCCCCTCTAGACTAGGTTTCCTTAAGAAGATTAGTTGTTTAGTTAAAATAAGGAAGATCGTACCTATTAACTTTGCGGTATATCCTTACGTTATCTTCGTATCCTTTTATTAGCATTGTTATCTACCGCCGCCGCCTATACGACCGCTTTAATCCTATAAGGATAAAATCTTAAGACTTATTACTTAAACACTATTAGCAACGATAACACTATATATATTAAGCAAATAAGAATCGTATAGCAAACGGTTAAGAAACTAATTAGAACGGGATAAGCCGTCTTCCTTTAGACGTTCGCCCTATAGTAGTACCTCCGAGATAAAGGGGTTTACGCCCTTAGCGAAATTTATCTTAGTCTAGAGAATACTAATAATATTAGACGGGAAATCCGACGATAAAAGCTTATTTATTACCTAGACGGAACGACGATAAATAGAGTCTAATTTAAGTATAATATCGAGCGAAAGAACCCCGAAATAGTAAGTAAGTCGATTCCTATTCGATTCCTATTCGATTTACATTCGATTTACATTACTTTATTAAAGCATTCCGATTCTACTAACATTCGATTTAGCAATATATTTAGGGTATATAGTAGACAGAATAAGAGTATATAACTATTACATTCTTCGTAGAGTAGGCGTCGCTATTCCTTTCCTTCGATACCTTCGAGGTCGATATATCGTTCTAACGTATTAAGGAAAAGAATATAAACGAAGTAATTCTCGGACGATAGGATAAAGAGCGAACTATTCGTAAGTAATTCGTATTCCGATGCTATTCTAATATTATTCTATTCTAAATACATTCTTAGTCCTTATCTTCGCCCGAGCCTACGTCTATAGAGAATCCGAGTCTATATACTAGAACTTCTTTACGCGAGTCTTCGGAAGGATACGTAAGGTTACTAGAACGGCAGTAACCTTTTACTATATCTACGGTAAAGGAATTCGAGCGGTCGTAACCGACCTAAACTTAAAGCAGGCTAAAGGTATAAGAAAGCATTCTTATTATAATAATATTGCGATAATATTACGATAATAAACGCTTCTCCTAGGCTTAGGACTTTATCTTTAAGAAATTAACTATTAAAACCGCGATTAGAGGGTGCAACTCGAATATATTATCCTCTATTGCGTAATCTATTAGTAGAGGAACATTAATAAGGCTATTTAGAACGAGAGCCTATACGATTAATCGATCCTTTTCGCTTAGATAGATAGTATCCGTAGATTGAAATTAAAAGAGGCTTATATTAAGGAAGTTAAAGCTTTAGTAGGTAAGTAAGAAAGCTTTTAGATTAGAATCTAAAATAAATCCTATCGCTAGGTTATTTAAACGAGAAAGTAGCAAAGTAGGCTAGGTATAAGCTCTATCGCTATATCCGCTATAGCCTAGTACCCGCCTTCTTAAATATTCCTAAGGTAACTTAGCGGACAATTAGATACTATACTAATACAATCGAGTTAGCCGGGAAATAGGGGTATTATACTAGAAAGCATCGGGAAATTCTACCTACAATTAATACGTATATTAAAGCTTTCTAAAAGCTTTCTAATTGGTTTAACAAAGCAATAATATTAAAATAGCGCTACTATCTTAGATCGAAAGACTCTAATATCTATAAAAAACATCGAGTCCTATAGCGTTCGTTTAATATAGCGGGCTTACTCTATATACTCGTTAGCAACGAAGAGTAAATACTAATATAGTATAAGTAATCGTTATTTAAATAGTATCGGAATAATATTAACTTCCCTATCTAGAGAACCGCCGTCGTAAACGGGATACGATAGAAAAGAGAACGGAACGAGAATTTAATAAGGATATAATCGTCGCCGAAGAACCGAGTAGTACTTAGATACTAAAGCGGCGTCGTTCGGCGCTATCGTTACAAGCGAAGGAAAGTCTAGCCTTACGTAAAGTAACTAGTACGCCGATACTACCGAGTATACCGGCGACTAGCGACGATATACCGCCGATCGACGTAGAGCTTCTAGAACGGTAGAATAAAGCGAAACGAGAGATACTAGATCTCCTTCGCGAGGAAATAGTATTAAAAGAATAGATAAGAGAGAAAGGTTTATAATTAGTATATTAAAGGATTCAGATTAGTATAGGAAACGATTTAGACTATAATACAAAAATAATTATAACTACTAGTATTTACTTCTATAAGATTCTTAACCCGCCTAGAACTCCCCTGCTATTCTATTCCTATCCTATTCTTATTCTATTCTTATACTATTCTTATTCTATTCTTATTCCTTCGTTACCGCTCTAAGAGCCCTTAAGCTATCGTCCGCGAGATCTTAGAACAATACTCGGTATTTATAGCTACGGAAGAGGTCTTAGGTCTATCTATTTCGTAAATAGGTCAGATAGCGATCGTGCTATCCCTACTAATATAGAAGACCGATAGCGCTCCCGAAATTAATCTAAATAGAATAAGAATAGACTTATAATCGTTTAAGATCTAAATAAGAGTAGGCTTACCGCGTTTCCTCGCTTATATCTAGGTACTCGAATAGAACTATAAGAGAGAGGCTATAGATCGGGAAATCCCTATCGAGGATATAAGGGCTACTAAGCTAGTACTAGCTTAGGCGGAGGGGCTATCCGGACTAGTAGCGTAGGCGTAATAGGCGGATTAATCGAAGGCTCGGGCGTAGGCCTTTTCGGAGACTAAGCCGGGGGGGATTCGGTACTAGGCTCTCGCTTAATATTAGAATCCGAAACGGATGTTATTAGTTTCGGATTACGAGAAGGCGCCGATAGGGCATTTATAGCATTCTATTTAGAAGCGGATACCGCGAGCTTCTCGAGGTCCCTAAGGGGGTTTTCTTCCTCTAGGTTATAGACCGAGCCCTCCGACTTATCCGAAGAAATTACTATCGGCGCTAATTTATACGATTTAGAAATACTAGAAATATTAGTAAGAGGTCGACGATAGATAGGATAAAACGAAGATTATTACTTACCGCCGTCGCGACTCTTTAGTTTTATTCTTATCGTCCGAAGTAGTCCTATAAGTAAGGTTAATTTTTTTAAGGTATATTTCTACCGTCGTAGGTTAAATAGATTCGTATTCTAATTATAAACCTTTTTATCGGACTCGATTTCCGGATAGCGATAGGACTCTTAGGCCGTACCGCTATAGGACTTAGTCCTAACTATTCTAATTTCTCGTCGTCCTCGTTAGCGTCGCTATTGTTAGTACTTATCGATAGGGTTCTTTCTCGAGGTATCGGATTTTTCGAAGATATAGCCGTTTTATCTTAATTAGACCTATAATTTATTAGTACTAAATTAAGTATAGAAACAGAGGCATTTAAAGACTTAGTATTATAACCTATTGCTTTTACCGACCGAGATTCTTTAGCCTTACTGCCCCTAAGAAAAGTTAGTAAAAAATCATTTAAATCTAAAATTATTAAGAAAGCCCGAGAACTATTATTAGATTCTTATTAGTTTGAGAATAGTTTAATAATACTTATTGCTTTCTTATTAGTATTAGAAGGGTATCTCCTAACCCTAACGCTACGCTAACTATACTAAAAAAACCCTACTTATAAGGTCTCCTTGCCCGAAATAATATCGTCGAGGTTAGCCGCGAACTTAGCCTTAGCCTTGCTCTTCTTAGATAAGCGTAAGCTACGTAGGGTAGTAGGCTTTTCTAAAACGAATAAGAAACTATTAGTACTTTTTCTTAAACTATTCTAAAACTAATAATATACCGATCCTATCTACCTTCTTTAGGGTAGTATTAGTAGCCTTCTTTAGTGTCTTCGGCTTTAGCGTACTTACTGCCTTCTTAGTATTATTAATATAGGCGTTATTAGTAGCGATAGCTACCTTACGATACTATTCTAAATAGAATTAGCCTATATTTAAACGTTTCCGAAACTATTCCGATTAGTATTATATACCCTTAGCTTGTTTCTTCGCCTTCTATCTACCTTAACCTTTTCTCTTCTCGAATATAAGACTATATCTACCTTTGTCGGTATTTATATATATATAGGCGAGAAGGGCAGAGGAGTCTTAGAATAGCTTATACTAAAACTAATTAGATACTATTACTAATGCATTTAGATTAGAAAAAACTTACTAAACATATATCGTTATCCTTACTAGCGGTAACGCGATAGATTACCTCGCCTAGTACTAGAATTTAGTCGTCGTCTAAGAAGGTGTTTTCGTCTATAACTAACTTAAATACCTCGAAGCCCTAAAAGCAATTAGAAATAAATAGTAATAGAATAATAAAAAGACTTACTAATAGTTTTATATTCTTACCTACCGCATCGATATATACGAGGTAGTCCTTATTGTTAATAAGCTTCTAAGATAGGGCTATAGTAGAATCGAGTTTAAATAGATTAGTAAATCGAGTTAGAATAGATTAAGATTAGATTCTAAATAGACTAACGCTAGTAGAAGCTGCTATAGTAGGGGAAAGGAATAAGGGTTGCTTTCGGAAAGTCGAGCTTATTTAAGCCGAGCGCGCGCACTAACCTACGTACGGACCATTACGGCTTTCTCCGATTAGTCAATTCGGTAGTTAGCTCGGTGGTTTCGGTAGTCAGGATTTCTGTGTCCCCGGATGCGGACACGGCGCAACAAAAGCCGAATCGAACTGTCACGTTTCCAATAGTTCATTGTGCCCTCGACGGCATGGCGCTCGAGCAGCCATATAAATAGCAGATCTCCCACCTCATTCACAGCCTTGGAGGCGCTCAGGTATAGTATTGCTCTTCCCTCTTTCACATCCTTATACTACACATATCTATCACACCATATACTTACTCGAGGTCCCTTGGTCACTCTCGCACCAAGTACCAGCACCAGAACACCAGCACACAATTCGAAACTGCGTACCCAGCACCTGTACGCCTCACAAGCAGCCATTTCATTGTTCCAACCAACTTGTAAGCAAGAACAACAATGTCGGTAACGATCGAGCTTCCAAAGGAGTATGGTAAGGAAACACCAGACGAAACAATCGAAAAGCTTGGCTGATTCGTGTATAGGCTATGTAGTTGCGACTACCGCTGCCACATTCTTCGTTCGTCTCGCTGTTCCAACGATCCCCAAGCTTAACTGACAATAAGAATAGCTTGGATTTTGGCATGGCTTGCGAGGAGGATTGGCACGAAAGCCTACCGGTCTGAAAACCCCGAAGGCATTCGCAGATAGCGGAGATATTGCTGCGGCCAAGGACAAGGAACAGGCAAAGGCCATGCATGTGTTCAACTGCAAACAGCGAGCCCACGCCCATTACAACGAAGTACAGCCCTCGACCGCATTAGCCATGCTGATTGCAGGCCTGGCATACCCCCGAACCACAACAGGTCTCGGTATTGGCTTCATCATTGGCAGAATAGTGTATGCGATTGGCTACTCGAATGTGGACAAGCCGAACGGTAGTGGAAGGGTGCTTGGATTCGTTATCAGCCAACCTATAGCGCTAGCTTTGTGGGGTCTAGCAGGCTGGACAGGTGTCAAACTGGTACTGTGAGCTCGTTCTTTTGGGTGGCCCAGGATTCCATGACTGATTACCAGCTGGGCGACTGGACCACTGGACGTAATGTAAGGAGCTTCATGCCTCCGCTCGTGAAGGAGAGGGGAATTGGAGACAGTGCAGCTCTCGAGCATCGCGGTATCGATAATCGCATACCCAACTTAGTATTCCAGCGCAGGCGTTGTGGCTTCATTGCAGTTGGTGGGAAGCATGAAGTTCGTATACCAGAAATCGCTCGAAATGACAGTATTTCGATGCAGTGTCTCGCCAGACAACACGAGCGCACCGTATGGATGAGGCAAGTGAAGTGCCAATCTGTAACAGCTGTGCATTCAGCGTTAAAATGTTCACATGCTAGCGCCGCCCGCGTCACTCCACTTCTCTCTGCCGCCTGGCTGATAATTCTTCTAGTCCAACCCAGCAAACGCCATACACACGCTCACACTTGAGACATGGTCGCTTCGCTGCGGCGCATCTTGGGCAAACGCTCACTGAGTACAACTTCTTCCTCGGAGCACACCGATCAGTCGAGCTCTCATAACGACACTGCACAAGAACCAATCAAACTCGGCGATTTGGCAGTTCCAGCACCACCACCGCGGACTTTGCAACGAAAGTCGCCTTCCAGGGAGCAATTGCAAAAGTACAAGCAGAAGGCACCATTCTTCAATTTTGCCACGCCGCCGCCGGGCAATACAAATGAAACATCTCCACCTCTTGAATCTCCTCGGAGTGCGCCTCACTTGGCCAGTCCCACTCCCACAAAGCGCAGAGTCGAAGCACGAGGCTGCCAGTTCGAAATCATGGAACCAGGCGAGCTGCGAGAGGCATCTAAGAGCGCCGAGGATCTGACGGCAGCCGGACGTATCCTTGCAGCTCTTGGGCCTTCGCGGAGCACCAGATCGCGCTCTCGGCGAGCGCAGAGATCAGACTCGACCCAGGAGGATGAGCTTGCTGTCACCAAGGATCTCGCCAGCGCTACAGCGTTCGGCACGGCGAGCAAAGACACGCTTCAACTTCCAGGCCCACACCTGTGGAAGAAGAGCGAGAATCGCGCTCGTTCCCCTCCACACCCCCTGTGGTATCCCAAGAACAAGAATCTGGGGGAGCAGACAACAATGCCAGAAAGAGATTGTGAGCGATCTGCATCAGAACCTCAAACTCCGTCACCCTGCCCACGCACCTCTTCCAAATCCCCACCAACAGCTTCAAAAATTCCTCGCCCCACGCTTTCCCCTGTGAACGCTGATCCAGCGCTGTACCCACCACTCATCGATTTCTGCAAGAACAGTAACAAAACTCCTCCAAACCGCTCCACTTCTGATAGCCCAAACACTACCCAGTATGAGACAGTCAGAGTCCGACCACCGATCTATGATTTGAGCAAGCCTCCTGGCCAGCAGTGGGAGCAATTTGGCATCACTTCGAGTCGACCACAGAGAGCTTGGGAACCGGCACCAAGATGGACCTGTTGTACTTGTGAGGCTCAGACGATTGTGGAGCAGATTGTTTGTTCGAATTTGGAGTGTTTGCACGATCGTTGTCATAATCGGTGTCAGGTTGGGCTGACGAGTAGGAAGGATATGATTTTTGGGAGGATGTGAGGGGACTGGGAAGTTCGGGGCAGAATTGGTATGACAGACAGGCGTGGAGGAAAACGACGGAGTTTCGAAAGGGAAGGACGATGTTTTGGAAAGGCTTGTAGTCTCGCTTTCTCCTTGTCTACCGTTGTCTGCGGGGCAGCGAGCTTGGCTACAGACTAGCAGATAGCACTATCCGGTCCTATCGTGGGCAAGATCTTGCATTGGAGGAATCACATTGCAGAATAGAATCATATAACTGTCAGGATTTCTGGCATCAAGCCTGGTAGTGCTGAGTACTACTGTTCTAAAAGTTGCCAACCGTCGTTCCCACGCCTCGTTCTCTCGCAAATCGTAACAGCTCATTTCCGACGACGATGTCCATAAGACCGAGCCCGACCGACTTGTAAATGACATTTCCTCTCGTCAGCCAGTCTTTCAAGCCAGAATTATCTTGCAAAGCACATCCATCCACGCCGACATCCACTTTCTCACCTCTCTCCCTCGCGTTCCTGTCTGCGTCGCGCTTCAGCATGAACAGCTCCCCCAATTCCACCACTTGATCTGGCATCAGCTTGGCTTGAATGATTTCACCAGCCTCTTTCAGACAGCCTGAGACAGTATCGACCAGGATGGCGCCACCTTCCTTCTGTCGCTTGTGGATATGCTTGTGTTCGTGATGAGGCGCTACTGCATACCGAAGCACATCCGGGTGTAGTTCGATCATATGGGGTTTATACGAACCAATACACGAGATGTATCTGCCTTTCTTTCTTCCTTCTGGATTTGTGAGATACGTCGCTGGAAAAAGCGGCGTCGTGCTCGGCGTGCAACAGAAAATGACATTACTTGCGCGCACGTATTCCTTGACCAGGCGCTGATACTCGGTGTGGCTGGGCGTCAGGATGTTCTTCTTGGTCTTAGAGTTGTACTTCTCGCCAATGTGGTTGACGTAGTCTGGATCGTGTGGCTGTGGATTGTATAGCCTCATTATACATTTCCGTGCGGACTCAAAGCGGCGCGTGACGATGTTGAGGTGGTGGATTTCATCCCCTCGCAATAGCAATGCAAGACGTATGTGCCAGTATGCTTGCCGACCAGCACCAAAAACGGTCACATCGTGAACGCTATGGCGCTTCTTGAACAGCATCGTTGATGCCAAAGCCGTGCGGAAAGCTGTGATCTCTTCTGCATTCAACAAGCCAGTAGTGTTGCCCATGTTGTCCAGCAAGGTAAGCGAGCCGCGAATGGTTGATTGGGAGGCGTCATTTGAAGAGGTCAGTGATATGTTGCCAGCGCCGTCTGTGACTTCTGAAAGTGTTGTCGGTAGAGACGAGGAGCCAGACCTTCTGGAGTCTATGCTTTGGCGCGAAGCTGAGCTGATCGAGCTTCGAGAGTCACCGTCTGAGTACGTCTCTTGTAGCCCTGGAAGTCCGTTCGCGTCTGGTGGAGTAACATTCAGCACTTTGACGCCTTGACCAGTCATTCCAGATGCTGGCATGTAGATGGATGTGCTTCCGTCTTTCCGCTTCAGTACCGTTCTTTCTGGTTGGTAGTCTGAACAGCAATCGTTGCCATCGCTTGAAGTTGAGTACCAGTGCAGAGCGTCAGCCAGGGACTGCTGGAGCTCCAAGATGTCTTCTTTCGTGAAGGAATGGAGTATCCTGCTAACATCCTCGTTACTCAGAATTTGAAGAGGCATGTTTGCGCGTATCGTTCCGCAACTTGGGTTCGCGATGCGGCGTAAGTGTCAAGGCACACCCCTGCTCTTATGGTATCAGAGTGAGAAGCGAGGTATAGAAGGCTGATTTGCGTACTCCGTGGATAGACGAAGAGCTTGCACCAAGAGCGAGGGAGCGGCGTAGGGAGGTACGCCACATCGATGGCGCGCTGAATAAGCGACGCTTCACGTCCGCCATCTCATCTCGACTCCCTTCCACATAATAACTGGCATCTACGCAGCTGTCCACTGCTGTGCTCTGAGCTTCTGCTGGAGTGTCCGTGGCGTGGAAGAGCTGAGCAAGGCCGGCTTCTTCAACATCGATCGCAGCCACTCTCTTTTTCATCGGCGGTCGGTAGTTCTACCGCAGCCCAGCCGCTCCGTAAGCTCGCTTCCTTGACTGTCTCTAGGTGCGGCTCCACATTTCGGGCCGTGCCGAGATCTGAAGTGAAGCTGCGCTGCTACGCTACATCTTTCTCTCCAGTGTTAGGCACGAAAGCACTGCTTTGCAGTCAACAAGCCTCTTCTTCCGCCATGGCAGACCCTTTTGAAGTGCGCATGCGCTTCACTTCACAACTGCAGCATCTGAACGCTAGCACCACTTCTGCTACAAAAGCTGCGAACTACGCCCTCAAATATGCCGACTACGCCGATGACTTGCACTCGTGCATCCTCGAACAGCTCGAACGCAATAACATGAACAATCGCGCAAATATCATGTACTTCCTGCCAGCATTATGCGATACCGCAAAGGCTGCTTCTCAGACTGGTGGGCTGAATGCAAGCGGGATCCAGTATGTGCGAATGATGGAGCGAGACATACTTCGAATTATCGATCTGGTAGCACCAGACGATGGAAGCGGAGCAGCGAACGTGAAGGTCGTGAGGAAAGTCATCAATACACTCATGGGAGGTGGTTTCTTGCAAGAGCAGACAGTACGGGAACTGGAGGAGTGCATCCAAGGTCGAGACAACTTGCCAGGCGGAATCAGCAGCCCCGCGCACGCAGCAGATGATGCAAGACGAGATGGCGGTGCTTCTACTGTGCGATCTACTCCGCATTCCGTAGCGCGAGAACCGGGCGCGCTTTATACTTCTGGCATAAGGTTGGACAAAAGACAGATTGAACAACGAATAGAGGAAGATCGCGAGCGACACAAGAGGGCGAGGGAGAACATATGGGCGATACCACAACCGAGCGCAAATCTGTCGCATGACGCCGAGTTTGAGAAGTTGTGGGAGGAGGGAAGCGATGTGGATAGCGACGACTATCGTATGGCGAAAGAAGAGGCAGAGGAGAGGAGGAAACATCTGGAGTATGATGACTATTGAGAAAGGATTATTTTGGTGCGATTTGATATCTTAGCGAGGCGCTGGTGGCGTAAGAAAGCTTGAAAGGAGTGGAAATGATACCATGGATTTGCTTGTCAACGAGACTTGACATTCACGCATTTCAAGGGAGCGAGAACGCTCAGCTGCTGCTCGACATCTGATGGTTGACGAAGCTGAAACGAGGTATTTGGACAATGACTTTCTGTCGCTTTCATGCATCGGAGATGGAATCCTTCGTTGACGATGTTCGTCCTAGTACTGCATTGGTATACATGACAAGCGTGTCCATCTTCACGCTGCCTTCTCTGTACTCCGCCTCTTTCCTCAAGGGTAACGGATTTCGAGTACAAGTGCCAATCGCCACCGTGCTATTCTTACAAGCATCCCATTGCGTTCGCGACAAGCCTTTTCAGCCTCTTTCCCATCCAAGCAGCCCAGATTCAAGCTAGCCAGTAGTGCAAGAGACCAGAGCCGGCGAGCTCGCCATTATTGGGTGCTGTAGTATCGCTGTACAAATGAAAGTAGTATGCTGTGCATTTGTCGGGTATCACATCCAGTGACATGCCTGCAAAAGTATGGTCGTTGGATGTACAAGTTTCGCTGATGGAATTTGCAATGAACGGCAGTTTGTCCAGCTGCCCATGCAAGAGTTGTTTTTTGTTGGCACTCTTCAAGTTTGGCGATTGCGCTTAGCAGGAGTAGGGGCGTGGAAGCTGAAATTGCTACCATTACCCATTCCGTTTCCTCCTGGGAAGAAGCTTGAGTTCTGGTGCGAGAGCACGTTCGGCTGTAGGTCTTTGTTGTCCTGCTTTGGGCTGTCCACAAGGTCCCGCACGGCTTTCTCGCGCAAGTCCCAAGAAGCGGAGGGTCGATGGCGAGGCTGGAAGGTGCCAGCTTCGCTACCGTAGCCACCGTAGGTTGTGGACAATGGCGAACCGAGCATGGATGCGGAATCAAGTGGTCGGCCGTCAGCAGCACGAACTGGAGAGATGTTCTGCAGACTAGAAGACACGGAACCTTGCTCTGACGAACTGTCGAAGCGTTCTGGGGAGTACGAGCCCCCAGCTCTGTGCAGAGTGATTTCGATATCCTGGATCTCCAGAGTGAGGCGATTCATCTTGGCGTTGAGTAGTCTCATGTTCATGCTACCCGTGGCCGGGTCCTGCATTTGGCATTGTAGCAGGTGTTTCTCGGCCTGCAGCATGTGGTGGTGAGCTTTCAGCTTGTCAATGTTCACAACTCCGAGGCCAGATTCAGCGGCAGTCACCAGACCTGGGAGAGTTGCGCCACGCTTCAAATGCGAATGGGGGCGATGGGTTGGCGTATCCTCTCCACCGTGAGAGTTGCCCACATGGGCCTGGGGAGTGGTTCGCAACGCACGAGCGCTGCCACTTCCTGTAATGCCGCTGAAGCTTGGCATGCTAGCAGAAACTGGTACACCCGAAAAGCTCTGCGCTAAGTTGAAGCTCGTGTTATGAGCAGCCGGCGAGATGAGGCTGGATGCAGGATATCTGTTTCCCCGCTGCTGCGTCAAGCTGTCCATTGAGACCGAGGGATGAAGCACTGGGCCTCCTGGGGCGCGCATCGAGTTCATCGAAGCAGAGTGCTGCAGTGAAGCAGAGTCGCGTCCGGCTGCCTGAAAGAAGTCCCTGGGACTGTTGAAGGAGCGAGACGTGAGCGGCATATCCATCTCGAAGCTGTTCCCAGTCGGCGACGGGAGCAGCACCAAGTTTCCAGAAGAGTCGACTGTGACCGAAGCGATTTCACCGGGTGCAAGCTTTGTGTTGCCGAGCATCGCGAGATTGTATTTCGGTGGGGCCGATCCATTGCGCGGGAGGCGACCAGAAGTCTTCGCAGCTGTAGGAGTAGAATCATCACCGTCGGAAATGTCGGAGGCTGCGTTTCGTTGACGCTGGAATGGAACGTTGAAGGATGAGCCGCCACGGAAGCTGCCACCACCACGTCCTCCCCGGCTGCCACGATCACCGCGATCGCTGAATGTACCGCGTCGCTGCTGGGAAGTTCCTGCTTTGGCGAGCTCGTAGTTCTCAGAGTAGTTCTTAGGGTGGCCGAGAATGCTGGCGGTAGCAGGCGTTTGAACATATTGCTGTACGACTGCGCGACCGACTGGTCTCTTGTCAGCAAATGCACATGAATGCTGCACGATAGCGGATCAATGCTGCGCTACTCACCATGGTGCTCGAAATTCATGCCGTTCCACATGTTGCCGACAGGGTGATCATTGTGCTGCTGACGGATGTGCGAGAAGTGGAAATAGGAAACGTCTTTGATGTAGATCCAAGTGAGAGGGATCGAGCTGCAAGCTATTAGCAACGGCGCAATTGAAGATGTGAGAGTATTTACCCAACACACGGCTTTGATGCAGCCGGGTTGACCTCCCAGCCTTCGACAGGCGTGTCTGGATCCCATGGACCACTCATCTCAGCAAGACCACAGAATTTCTTGCTGCCGTTTACAGAGAATAGCATAAGTACTTTCTCGTTGGTGTCGTGACGCATATCCCATATCTTCATGATGCGTTCAGCGACCTTTGCCATGACGGACAACTTGCCTTGGCGAATGGCGGTGATAACATTGCTTGGGAACTCCGATTTGACGTTGATAATACGCGTCTGTCGATTCATTAGCAAAATAAATTATAATCATCGGGTGCGATCAACTTACACCAAGAGGCATCTGAAAATGCTCAGGATTAACAGCCGCCAGAACCGTGAGCGCGCCATCGAAAGCCTCTTCCCATTCGGCTTTGGGATCTTTCAGCCCGCGTCGCAGACTACGCGGATGAGATCTCTCAGACCACCTGTGCAAACAATGAGCATTAGCAAAAGTATGACAATGGCACAACTGTGACTACTTACACTCCAGCCTTAGCACCAGCCATAGCCGGAACCTGCATCGTGAAATGGTCGCTGACCGCGTGCGAGCCACTCGAGTCGGACTTGCGATCATTGAAGACTGTTTCGGCGTCATTTTCGACGTTTGACTTGACAGTTACTGCCATATTTGAGACTGCGCCGGGTTGAGTGAGGCTCTTGCTGTCACTGTCGACCTGTCTGAAGGACGAATCAGGTTGTTGACAGGTGACGCCGAATGGTTGTTGGGACAGTTGATCTGTCATTCTGCTGAAGCTGTGATGGATTGGTGAGGGAAAGCTGGACGGTTCACCAAGACTGCGATACTGATCGGAATGGGCAAAGCTTCCAATATCCTCGTTGAATCCCGTGTTGGCACCAATGATGCGGCCGTCGGCGGAGCGTACGAAGCTGGTCTGTCCACTCTGCATGCCAAGGCCTGGCAGTGGACTGATTCCATGCTCAGTTGGGGCTGCTGGCTCATGGTAGGCGCGATTAGGTGTGCTTGCGAACGTATCCCAGCTTGGCTTCTGAGGGATTCCAGCACTGTTTGCAGGAAGATTGTGGTTTGGCGACCAGATGTTGGAGCTGTATAGCGGTACAGCATTGTGAGGCGGCTTGGTGTCAGATTTGCCATCGCGAAGTGAGCCGGACGTATTCTTCAGCGTCAGGCGCGGCTTGCCCTGGGCACTGGACTTCGATTCGTTATTGTCTGGCTTTGGCACGAAGTCGGACGCTTTTGGGTCGAACGGAACGAGCGAGACGCCATCCGTGTCTTGCGCCGCCATCTCGTTGTCTGCGCTCATGGCGCCACGCGTCAGTGTGAGTTGTGCTGCGAGTCGCGTTTGCAGCCGCGATGAAGAGTCGCGCAGAGTTCAGCGTCCAAATCAGGCCCGCGCGACCGGACGCGATCTGGTGGTGAAATCGCTGGACGCTTTCAAGTAATTTCGAGGCGCGCGTGTTGAAGGTGTGATGGACGCCGGCGGTGAAGATGTTTTGTTTTGCGACTTCACCGGTCCGTGCTCACTTGGGAGCTGCTGTGACGCCGTTCTACAGCAACCATCTCTACTTCACTCCCGCATGCTTTGTCAGATCAAATTCGAGTGTCTTGATTGGTGCTTCCAGCTTATCGGTCGAGCAGGAGTCGTAGGCCTGCTTTCTTCGGGTCTGGAATGCCTGCTGTTCACTCGGGTGTCCATGGCGAAAAGAACCCTCTGATTTTGTAAATTTGAGCACGCGTAGAGCGTCTCGCCAGCGCTCGAGCAGTGAGAGGCCTGCCGCCGAAAGGAGCTCAATTTCGAGCGCTGCGTCCTCACTGCATGGTGCTGACAAGACGTACGAATTTCGATACCGATGCAGATCCCTGGCCACGGATACTAAGACACAGATTCCACGAAATAAGAACGGAGTTTAAGCAAACAAAGCCTTTATCGGACAGCATTGAGGCTTTCACTCTAGCTTGGATGGACCTGTCCTGGCTTCCCACTTTTTCAGCAATCCAAAATGTTTCTCTTTCATGCGAATCTTCCACATCGCCCATTGCAGTCCTCGCTACATTTGATTCGAATTCCTCTTGTTGAAAACCAGTGATTCCAGATCCTATTTCTGAGGCCTCTACCATCTGGCTCTCGTGGGTGTCTGACGCGAGTCACTCATTGCAAATGCCCAAATGTACGCCCTGACTTCGACGCAACGAATCTTTCCAATTCCGGCAGCTACGCGGTCCGCTATCTGATGTTCCTGTCAATGACCGCGAACCAGGGATACTTGCTTACCTGCCTGAATTTTACCACCGAAGGCATTCAAGATTCATCATCTACAACGAACGAGCTGCCGAAGGACTACACTACTCCTTCACAGGCCGAGAGCAACCTGCTCGATCTGCTGGCGTGTTCGGTGTGTTGTGCGCGGCCGCCTTTATGCCTCTTTTCACTACAGTACAGCATGTCAGGAGGCAAGGTGAGGTTGGAGGCTGCCGAGAAATGAGGCGCGCAGCGTAACGGACCTGACTCCGTACCGTCCACATCAAAGGGGCTCCCGTTCTTCCTTCCATCCCTCATGCACCAACACATGCGTCATTGGAGATGGCAGATCGATAGCGAGATCAGCAGGCGTCTTGCGGCGGCCATCTGGAAGTTCATTGCAGACATTAGGAATACCTTCGAGAGACTGGGCAGGCACCAGGGTGTGCAGATGCATGCATGAGCACATGGGAAAACAATAGTCTTCATAGACGCGTTGAGCTTCGCACGGCGCAGCCCCCCGGATCGAGATGGAAGTCCTCCGCTCTGAGGTTAGTTCGCGTCCGATGCGCGAAGCAAGAGCTGTGAATCAACGTTCGATCACTGGAAGGTAGCAATTGATGATGTGTGGTTACACGCGGAGTACGAGGCATTGCGAAGCACATGAGGATGGAGATTGAAACATGAAGAAAGCATAGACACTGTCCAATGACATGAAGGCTGTCGTGGAGGCGGGTCGGAGATAGTCGTTCAGCGAGCTACGGACTTGTACTGGCAACGAACAAGTGATACTGCGTAGTTGCGTTGCAAAGCGCGAAATTACCACAATGACGCGATACGCGCGGATGCCCAGCTACTGCCTCATGGCAGGAAGGTGCCTTCCACGAGCGCTGCGATGGACCCACAAAGCTTGGAACCAAGCAGCCAGCTCATTCTGCTTGCTACATCACATTATCCACTGACCGGCGTTGCCTCTACAAATTCATATCACTCTCACCCGCACGATGGCGACTAGAACGGTGCAAAGGACACGCGTGGCGAACAACATCACCCAGACTGCAATCACGCAGAAGCAAAGCGTCGAAGTGGTCCAGACACTCCTTCACGGCAGCGTGAGTCGTACATCCCGTCAGCCTCCACCGAACAGAAATCCCTGACTTCCCTCAGCTCAGCAGTCTAGCCTACCTCCGGAGCTTCTTCAGTGAAAAGGTCTTCGACGCGCAGGCGTACGCCGCTCATGATAGCTTGCCGTCGTATCGTGACTATGCAGATGGCAGACTACCCGACATACCCAGAGACTGCACCAGACTGCACACGACAATGCAGGTTCTCCGCCGTGGGCGCAGTAAACGAGTCGACACTTTTCTTGACTGGCTGGTAATGTTTCCGCTGCGAGACGTGCCTGCCAATCGCATGTTGACACTCAGTGCAGGAGCAAGGCGCCTTTACAGCGTTGAAAGATGGCAAGCTGCGTGCCTTGCAACTCTATGTGCACACAGACGAACACGACCGCGGAAAAGTCATCGAGACTTACACCTTCCGCATCCAGTACCATGACGACGGGAAGGGCGGCAAGTTTTTGGCTGGAGTGGACCTTGACAGTCCTGGAAGGAAGAGTCTGACCGTAGATGCGACGGCTGTGGCGCTTCAGACATTGCTTCGCTATGTCATGGAGATGTGCAATGGCTTGCCCGAACTTCCAGGTGCGCGTACATGGCTCTTGCCGCTAGCAGACTACTGACACACTTGGCAGATGATCGCTATGTTTCAATGGCACTCTTCCTTCGCGAAGGGACCGACCATGACTTTCAGACTCGAGGGGGCTTTGAACTCGACAGCACGACAAAGCTGGTGTTTGGACTAGCGGATGGGTGGGACAAGAAGTTGCGGAAGTTTGACGACCTCTCATCTGCATTTCACACGTAAGTTATGTTTGCACAACGATTTGATGAGCTGCTGTGAGTCTGTATCTCACGATTTTGCAGCACCGCATTGACCGTTGCACACCTTCAAAATACGACTCTGGGCCCTCTGGCTACCATAGCAGAGCCAGTCAGGATTCCAACTCAACTCAAGTACAGCGCGGGTGACGCAGAGGCCGACCTTCTTTCCGAGCCAGGAGGCGAAGAACTTGTGGCAGGTGACGCATCAACCATAGTACCGAGCACAGTCGGCCGAACGCCTGCTTTGACCATGCCTGACACAGAGCGGAGCTCAGTTGATTCGGTTAAGAAGTCACATTTTAGCAACCTCATAACACCCGCACCGACTTCTGACCCAGCAGCGAAATTGAGAAGCACATCGGTCCGACAACTGAACTTCGAGAGCGCCGCACAGCAGCAGGCGCCAGCTCCTGCTGCCTCACAGCCCATCGATACGCAGGCAAGCAATGTGCCAAGAATGAGAGGCGCACTCCAGCAAATGGTGATACCTGACCACTTGACCCAAGGCGATACTCAAATAGAGAATCTACAGGATGCCAGTCTACAAAATGAGGCACCCAGTGACTCGCCACGTCTCTCAACCCATTCCTCATTGGCGAACCCACTTTCAGCAAAAGTTCTACTGCTACCAAACGTTGCGCAACAGCTAAACAGCGAGAAGGCGAAGCTGCAGGACGCCGCAAGAAATCTAGCCAAGGTTAGCAAGTCCCGCGCGAAGAAGGGAAATGTAGTCCTCTGCCAATGCGGCGTCAAGCAGGATGAGGCTGCGACGGTAAGGATCATGCACCAAGAACCGTTCGAGTTTTGCTGATCCCACACAGGTTCAATGCACTTTCTGTAGGACATGGCAGCATCTTCATTGTCATGGCTATACCGGCAGCAACGATCCTCGATTGGCAGAGACTCATGCGTGCTACAATTGTTTGCTGCGAAATGCCAGAGACGATACTTTAGCTACGCTCAAAGATCTGGCGCTGAAAAGACATGCAATGAACGTTACTCTCAGCAGAGGTATGACAAGTGAAGGGGATTTCGTGGAAGCTACGGGTAAGACGCCTCGTACTGTGCGCCCTGATTTTCACTCACTATTCTCAGGCCTCTCTTTAAATACTGCTACGCCACTTCATGAGTACCTACGTCGGCAGGGTTTCATTACACCAGCATCGCGCCCTCTCAAACGAGGAGCCGTGCATTCGAGTGAGGGACGCTTCGTACCAGCTCGGGAAGGCGAGGCATACAAAAAGATGCTGGTCACTCTCTTCGACCCGCTGAAGCACATCGAACAATTTGTAAGTGCAGCATTCTGGTTGAACCCTCCTCGCATTCACTGAATTCCTTAGTATTGCAAGACATCGCTTGATATCTTGGAAATCGGACAACAGGTTCGGATTATGCGAGCCGCAAGCATGCCTCCTCCAGACACGCCTGCATCTCAAATGAAAGCTCGAAGATCTGCCACGCCTGCCTCCAGCCTCGATCTTGGTCAATCTGCCATGCCAACGGAGACGCCTTATCGACATCGGTCGTCGCTGCTCAAGAGGGTTCCCGAGGACGACATCTTCAGCACGCCTGCCAAGCGACAGGCCATCACTCCAGTGTATTTGCGATTCTTGAGCGCGCGAGCGCTCCGAGCAGACGGGCTGTCTTCAAGTCCTTCTGTTTCTCAGCAGGGACTGTGATTCACCAGAAAGGAAGGTTTCAACATCGCGCACAAATGGGATTACGCACGCCTCTCGTCTTTACATCTTCTGCTGGGCGGCAAACGCTCAAAGTTTTGGTCATGCTCGCACTACTTAGCTGTAAGTACCAGGCTTTGCTTATAGTGGAGCTTCAGTAAGGTTATCTTGACACTTCACAGTATGCCCTTGGTCCTTCAATACTCTTCTCCACCTACGACCCAATAAGAACTGTATCAATTGTCAATGCCCCCTCCTTCATCGGACTGCAAAGCTCCTCTTAGCCACAGCTTGCCGTAAGAGGAAGACAATCGAATTCGTGAACGGTTGAGGTGTCGTGTCAAACTCAGCGGAATACCTTGATAAGCTTCCTGTCCTCACAGCCAATGCAGTTACCGCGAACGCACCCACAACCTGGAGATGAAATTCCTCTTATAAGATACGGCTGCCTCCTTATCTCTTCTTCTCCAATTTTCCACAATTCCCCAGAATCCAACAGAACTTACTGCAAGACACAGTCGAACACCGAAGATACCGTCGTCCCCAAAATGGAGCGGAATGAATTCCATCAAGATCATGGCCAGCCCATGGTCATCAGAAGCAACCGAGCCAGCGTGGCTAAGGACGGCGTGCATGTCGACGAGCAGAAGCGATACAACTCAGACTCAAGCAAAGCCTCGGCAAATCTATCGGTACAAAGAATTTCAAACGACGATCCTGATGGCTTCAACAACGTCCTGGAAGAGAAAACTCATCCTCAGTTCACCGCCAAATCGTGGACCTCGCAGCGAAAATGGATGATTCTCATTGCCATGTGGTTCGTTCAGGTGTCGCAAAATTACAACGCCGCTGTCTTTCCAAGCATGTATCCTTTCATCGGAGAGCATTTCAACAAGACTTCAGAGCAGGCCAACATCGGGCAAATGCTGTTCTTGGTCCTCTACGCTTTCGGCTGCGAACTCTGGGCACCGTTCAGCGAAGACTTTGGACGGAAATGGGTCCTCTTCTCTTCCCTCTTCCTGGTCTTCTGCTGGCAAATCCTCCTTGGCGCGTCTCCGACCTTCACCGCCATCCTGGTCGCTCGAGCTCTCGGCGGTCTATCCTCAGCCGGAGGCTCAGTCACACTGGGCATGGTCGCAGACATGTACCAGCCGGAGACCCAATTCCAAGCCGTAGCATTTACCTGCTTCGGTTCCGTGTCAGGCTCAGTCTTCGCCCCGATAATCTCTGGAATTGTAGCCATGACTCTTGGCGGTCGCTGGGTAGCCTACATGTCCGTGATCCTCGCCGGCCTCACGATTCTCATCCATCTCTTCGTCCCAGAGACCCGCGCCGAAGTCCTCCTCGACCGTAAAGCGAAAGAACTCCGAGAAAGCGACCCGGAGGGAACAGGAAAAGACATCTACGGACCTTGGGAAAAGAACCCCCTCAAACAACGTCTCCAACCCAAGGCAATCTGGGAAATGCTCTATCGCCCTTACAAATTCCTCATCACAGAACCAATCGTCCTCTTCAATTCCCTCCTCTCAGGTTTCAGCGACGCCCTCATCTTCTCCGGTCTAGAATCCTTCGGCTACATCATGGCGAAATGGAATTTCAACCAAGCTCAAGTAGGCTATTGTTTCGCGTCGCTGATGATCGGCTACCTGATCGGCTGGGCACTATGGTCACTCCACTATCGACTCAACCCAGGCCGTCCAGCGAAGAACAACAGAGTCCCAGAGGAACGACTCTGGCTCCTTTGCTGGGTCGTACCACTCGAAGCCGCAGGACTGATCGGTTTGGCATTCTGCTCTCTAGGTCCCAAATACGGTGTGCCGTGGATTGCACCTCTGATTTGCGTCGGATTGGTGGGAATCGCAAATTATGGCATCTATATCGCCACGATTGATTACCTCATTGCAGCGTATGGTCCATTTGCCGCTTCGGCCACGGGAGGGAATGGCTTCTGTCGAGATCTCTTCGCTGGTCTTGCTGCGTTGTATACCAAGAAGGCTTATACCACGATTGCGGTCAATACGCCGTATGAGCTTGTCTGGCCGACGCTGATCTTCGGGATCATTGGCATTGCCCTTGCGATTCCGGTTTATGTGTTCTATTTTCAGGGAGAGTGGTTCCGTGTCAGGAGCAAGTATGCTATGAAGCTTGAGGCGGAGAGGCAGGGACATTGAGGTTCTGCGAGGATTAAAACAATTGCGAGTCAGCGTCTGCGATCAAGGCGTGGTTCTTCCCATATTCTTGTAAGATTGGTCCCGAGGTCACAGGTCGGATCGAGGAGCAGATTTGTACTCGATGGTGTTCTAGAGATAGATGATAGATGAAGCGTCTAATGCATTTCGACAGACGTCAGCTTTTGATGAGCTTCAATCACTGACTGACTGCTGAGTCGTTTGTTGGAGGGAAGGAAAGTCGAGAAATATCACATCCAAGAATTTAAGTCTTGTTGCGTTGACTGCTTATCTGCAATCAGAATGATGCTAGCCATGAGGCAAGCCTGCTCTGGAAGTCTTGCTCTTCCTCTTCCAATTTGTCATCCTATGAGACTGCACCCGAATTTTCTGGCTGCGTTACCTCACGCTGTAACGGTCCGTATTGCTGCTGCCACTTCAGCACGCCTGCCTGAAACCTTGCAGCCGTTTCTAGTGCCGTCAATTCCTCCAGTGGCTTGTCATCCGGAGGTATTGCATTGATCCAATCATTCTGCACTGCACCACCCGATATCGTGGTCTGCATCTCATTGACAAGCTGCGAGCCTTCCCTCTTGACAGATTCACTCATGGCTGTCAGGAGCGAATTCATATTGTTATATGTCCGCTCGACAGGCTCTGCGTCGCTTGATTTCATGCTGTTGCCGTTGACGGCATTCTTCTTGCCTCGCCCGAACTTGGCTTTTCCAGTGTTGACTCCATTCTCCGCAGGTGGACTGGTCTTACCGCCAGCGCTGGTATTGCCATTTGTTTCTCCATTCCCAAGACCGTCGGGAGTCTCATCACCACTCCCCGAAACCATGATCTGTCTCTTCCTGCCATGAGGTGATGATGCGGCCTGTTCGTACTTTGCCTTCGTGTATTGATTATTGCCAAGCTTTTTAGGAGGCTTCTTGCCAGGGCCTTTCTTGGGTGGAACCTTGTCTGCTGGGGGCGGAGACGGCGGCTGGGACGAGGGCGGCGGTGGTGGCGTCTTTGCACTTGGCGTTGGCTTCGGTGGTGTGTCTTCTGCCGCGTCGGCATCTTGGCGAGGGTTAGTCTAATAGTGGGCACACCTGTTCTAGACTGGAGCTCACCATCGTTGCGTCTGCTCCTAGCTCGCTCTTGTCGTCGACCAGCGGCGTCGGCCTTTTGCTTCTCACGCTCCTTGTCCTTCTCTTTCCTCTCAGCTTCCCGTGCCAGAAGCGCGGCGTCGGCCTTTGCTTTCTTGGTTCTGCCTGCAGTGGTGTTGGTGCCATCGTCTGAGTCGTCTTCCACTGACGCCGTTCTCTCAATTGAGGGCACGGTCTCCGATGCTCGTCGCTGTCGTTTGGAATCGTGCTTGCTTCTGCCTCAAGTCAGTTGCCGCTTCTCGTGAATAGATTTTTCTTCACTCTTACTCCTCGCTGCTGTCATCCCGGCCACGCTTGCCATTGCGTCGTCCTGTGGCACCCTCGCTACCAGGTCCGGCCTCACGCTGGCTTTCCTCGATGGCTTTTCGCAGCTGCTCATCCTCATCGTCGTGCTCTCTGCTACGCATTGTGGTCCGCCTCTTGCCCGTGCTAGGGTCGACGCTTTCGCGTGCGTCTCGCGCCAAAGCTCTTTCTTTTTTGGCATCCTTGTCCGACTTGCTCACGGAGCCTTTGCGGTTGGCTTTGGGGTGCAATGGGAGGTAGAGCGAGTATTTTTGCCTATTATCTTCAGTCTTAGCCGCCACTCTTCTCACGGCCGCGTCATGGTACCGCGCCATTTATCGATGTGTTCGGCAATTCTGCGTGTAGTGATGGGATGGCAATGGAAGTTTAGGGTGGCGTGGCGTGGCACGAGGTGAGATTCAGCAGTCGTCATGTTTTCGCACAAAGCGGAAAAACGCAGACGACTGACTCCTCTTTCCGCCTGCAGCACCGTTGCCTCGTTGCTGCCTCGCTCGCCTGACGCTGCAAGTGAAAGTGGCAGGAACAGGAACAGATTGGGCAGGATCTTGATGTGTTGACGCGGTGGGCTAGGAAAGAGCGAACATACCCTCTGGGGTCTACGGAAATGGCGTGCAGTTTGGGCCTGCACTGCTCACAGTAATACTTTTCCGGACTCTGGCTCTCTTCCACAATGCCCACACAGCCTCCATGTTGCCATACAGTACAGCCATCGCAGAGAATGAAGAGCCCTCCGGCGTCTTCAGCCTGCGCGTCTGGATTGTCTGCAAAAGCTTCGCTTTGTGGCGGGCCGGGATACTCTTGATGTCCACAAATACAGCGTGTGATTTCCTCCTCTTCTATTGCCTCTTCATCGCCGTCTTCAACAGCATCTGCTTGCTTGGGGTCATGGTCGTCTCTGGCGGCGGCCTGCGCTCGCTGGCTTCGTCGTGGAGGCTCGCTGATATCCTCAGATGACTGTGAGCGGGGAGTTGCAGATTTCTGGTTTTGAATTCGCGAATTCTTATCTTGACGCGTGGAAGAGAGCGACGACGAAGTGGTGGATGCTGGTCCCGCCGGAGCAGCCCCTCTTGTGCTCCGCCGCGGCGGCGACGGCATCGAGGATTGATGATCAATCAGAGATAGCCGTCTATTTTCAGAACGGCGTATCTAGACAATTAGATGTGGTTTCACACTCGCAGCAGTGTCAGAGACTGCTGACGAGGAGCGGGGTGTCGCGAAGAAGAGGTTGGTGGCGCGCAAGAAGCTCTGGGTGCAGGTGCAGGAGAGGACTGGGTGGACGTATTGAGAAATGTGGTTAGGAAAATCGGCGTGTGCTCTCAGGCCGGAGAAGGAGTGTGAAGGATGCCTGCAAGGGTTGTCGACAGTGAGGTAGTAACGGGGTATGGCGGTGGTGCTAGAGGCAGAGGCAGAGGCAGGCTCAGGATGGAGATCTGCCAAAGCACTCGCGCGCATTGTGCACCTTGGACCCGACCACCCACCTCACGCTTGCCCGGGATCGGCTTTACCCTAGCCTGATTGGTGTGACGAGCTGGGAAGGCGCGTCAGAGCATTTCGATGCCTCAGGATGGACAACCTCGTTCGATGGCCATGATGATGATGGGCATAAGCGGGGAATGCGCCATGGAGAAGGCAGCGATACTGGTTTGATGCAGGCGCCGACATGTGGTTGTGTTTGTTGTGCGAAGCGGGTAATAAAGCGCATGCAGAAAGGGAGGAGAGGGGAGGGAGGACTGTGATGAGATGAGAGCTGCGGAAGGGTCTTTTCGAAAGCTTGGCCGGGGAGCTGAATCAGAGCCCAAATGCAGCGGGGACATTTTGTGTGATAAGCATTGTGAGATCCGACAAGCTTGCACGGTGGTCAATCGAAAACATTTCGCATGACTGTCATCTCCCAATAATATCGCGAGTTCGCGGCTGTGGTGACAGCGCAGGGAGGTCCAGCGGATGACGAGACCGTCATTCCGAGCTTTCGGCCGTCGGATGCTGACCGATGCAGCAGACAGTGAAACAAGTGCCAGGTAAGGAAACAAAAAGCACAAGATGACCAGATGAAAATGGAATCAGACCTTTGAGCCGGCAACAAAGTGGGAGGATCTTCAGGCGAAGATGTGGCTGCGCGCGATGCAAACCATTCACCTACATAGAGTTTCTCGCGTGCACGTCAGCAGGGCTAGCCATTGAAAGGCAGCAAACGTGGGCTCCGCTCCCTACCTGCAACCATCAAGCGTCACATGCGCTTCGTCCAATGCACGTATAACCAAGATAGGCGTCTGGTGTACAACAAGATCTACTGCTGATAAGACGGATAGGCCTCGGCGACTATTGGCGAGAGAGGCTTCTGCAGGGCTCAGTGGCTCACGACAAAGTTGCGCCCGAGAGCTTTGAAAGAACAGCGTCAATGCCATTGCCAGGATGTCTGCACCAGCGACGCAAGACCAACGCAAGCACTGTCTGCAGCCTTCGACTCTGACTTCTCGCACCATGGCCGACAATGAGAAACTGGGGCCGAACTGGGTATCGGCAAGAGTTGAAGAGGTCCTTCGGCCTCATTGGCATGGTCGGCTTCTCTTTCTCAATCGTAACGTGTTGGTCAGCATTATCCGGCGTCCTCATCATCGGCGTTGAGTCTGGAGGCCCGCCAGTGATGATCTGGTCATGGCTCGGAATCTGCATCGCATCTTTGGCAGTCGCATATAGCATGGCGGAGATGTGTAGTGCCTATCCCCTGGCAGGTGGACAATATAGCTGGGTCGCTGCCCTAGCTCCAAGGAAGATGGCGCGAGGCTTTTCGTATGTGTGTGGATGGTTCATGCTCATCGGAATCCTTGCTATGGGCGCGACGAACAACTTCATCGTATCGAACTTTATCCTGGGAGTCTCCAATCTGAACAATCCAGGCTACACCATTCAGAGATGGCACACAGTCTTGGTCACATATGCAGCCGGCATCTTCTCAGCGTGCTTCAACATCTTTGGACCAAGTCTTCTCGAGAAAGCAAGCCGAGCGTTGCTCATCTGGAATGTCTGCGCCTTTCTGATCATCGTCATCACTATCCTGGCTGTCAATGACCACAAACAGTCAGCAGCAGTCGTCTTCAAGGACTTCGTCAATGAGACAGGCTTCAACAGGCCATACTGCGCCGTAATAGGCCTGCTTCAATCGGCGTTTGGCATGTGTTGCTACGACGCTCCTGCTCACATGACGGAAGAGATACACAATGGTAAGGAAGCCATAACTTCAAATGACCAATGTCTGAGACATTTGCTGACCTTCGAATCGTTCCTTTCAGCAAGGAAGCAGGCACTAGGCGCCATCATCCTTTCCGTTTACGTCGGTGCTGTGACAGGCTTCATCTTCCTTATCGCAGCATATTACTGCATAGGCTCGATCGATGACACGGCCATGTCTTCGACCGGAGTTCCGATCATTGAAATCTTCTACAATAGCACATCCTCTAGAGCTGGCGCAAGCTGTCTGACTGTCTTGCTCATCGTCATCGGAATTGGCGCCAGCAATGCTTTAACGGCCGAAGGTGGACGTGCTGTCTACGCTTTTGCTCGGGACAGAGGTCTTCCCTTTTCCAGTCTCTAGAGTAAAGTCGAGCCGAAGAAGCAGATCCCGATTGCTGCATTGTGCTTGACTGTGCTGGTCCAAGTGGCCCTAGACAGTATCTACTTCGGCACAGTAACTGGCTTCAACACGGTCGTGAGTATTGCAACGCAAGGATTCTGTAAGTGCAATGAGTGCGCCTTTGCACATGCTTCCGTACCCGATGGGGCGGTATGGTTGGATTGACCAGGCGCGGCATTCTGAGCAAGTCCGATGCGCTTTATGCATATCGTCACCCGCGCTTATTATATGCCCGGACAGGGAATGCAAATCCATAATAATAAGCACCTTGATCTGTCGAGGATGCGGGCTTCTCCTCGAAGATGCTAGTTGCCCAGGTCGCGAATCGTTCTTCGCGACTTCGTTACTACTCGAGAGCATAACGAGCTGATCTTCGCATTACAGACATATCGTATGCGATGCCGTTAATGGCTCGTCTCGCAAGCTTGATGCTGCCGTCTTCTAGAGCACGAGCAAAGAAGATCGAGGGAGGTACGTGCAGCGTCCCGGATGGCAGAACGCACTGCTACGTTATTACTCCTGCTTTCTGCCGATGCCAAGACTCCGACGGATGACATGAGACATAGGCCTGTACTCCCTGGGAGCCTTCAGTGTCCCGCTGAATGTCATAGGCTTGGTCTTTTTGCTGTTCACGACAATAACCTTCAACTTTCCATCCATGTACCCTGTGAGCAGCGAGAGCATGTGAGTCTAGCGCTCATTTCCGTGAGAGCCGCATATCGCGCAGCAAGCCTGCGGTGTTGACACTCGCCTGACAGGAATTATACTTCGGCCGCAGTCGGTATCATCATGGCGGTAGCGCTGTTGACTTGGGTGACAAGTGGTCACAGGAGGGTACCGCAATGGGAGGTTGTGGTCAGCGAAGAAAGTGTGGATGAGGACATGATGCGTACAAAGGCAGGCCAGTCTTGATTCGAGGCTCAGGCTCAGGCTCAGGCCCGGCCCAGCCCAGCCCCTGTGTTCACCAGGTTGCTCGTCGATAGACTCCGGTCGATGCGCTGGAATGCGATTCTCCCCAATGCCCAATGGCGGATCAGCTTTTTTGCATTATCCGTGACACGTCTTTGGGCCGCCGAGAGGTAAGACCCAAGAATTCGGAGGCTTGGTATTTTGCGAGTTGCAGTGGTCAGCCTCTGAGTTTGCGCTAGAAGTCGCTACAGCCTACAGTAGATGCTTAGATGCTTGTGCGAATCAGTAGTACACGGCGGGACGGCCAATGCTTAGCGCTTCGATTTGTGAGGCTGCGATGTGGACGTGGACATGGCTCGATCTGCGCGAGTCACCCAAGCTGCAACCTTCAAGAAGGCCACCTGTGTGCACCAGTGAAGGTCCAAATTGAAGTCACATGTAATCTTGAGTTGAGCATGGAGGTGAAGCGTCGGCGGTCGGCGGTCGGCGGTCGGCGTGTGGTCTCGGCGTCAGCGCCTTGGCGAGGGGGGACAAATGACGCTCTCCGATGCCTCCGATGCCATCCCGTCCCTCCACTGCCACTGCCACCACTGCCACTGCTACTTTCGCCCAGCGCCACGGCTAGCACAGCACAGCACAGCACAGCACAGCACAGCACAGGCGGTCGCTCGCTCGGTGGTGACACGGTCGAGCAGTGCCGAGCGCGGGTGCGGGTGCGGGCGCGGCGCAAGATCGCTCCAAAAAGCAGGCTGCTCGACCGCCAGATCCTTTGCGTCCGTCCCACCAAACGTTGACTTTCCACCCGCTGCCAACACCATCCCCGTCCAAAACTTCACTTGGCATACACTTGGCTCGCAGCACCAGCGTCGACAAGCCTCTTGGCTGTCACTGCTCATCAAATCAGCCTTTCGGCGCGTTGCGTTGCGCTCATCGTACAGCTGCTTGCCATTTTAATCCAGTGTAAGTGGAACTGCTCCCCGAGGACCCCGACATCATATATCGTTATCGTACACCCACCCCCTCTGCCTCTGCCTCTGCCCCTCTGCCCCTCTGCTATGCACTGCCCGACACTCGCGCTCCTTCGTGCGCCCGATGTCCATCATGGCCACGACTAAATTTGGCTTCAGGCAATGGTCCAGTCAGGGCAACCTGCAGACCGAATACTGGATTAGCGACATAGATTTAGGTGGGAGGAGCGATTCCACGCCACACGCCCTGCACCAGCCAGACCAGCAGGAAGTAGCAATCCATTTCACAGCCGGCTCGCTTCAAGGCCTCTACAACAACGACAGCTACACCCGCACTCTCCCTCCACACACGGCTAATACCGGCACTGACCTAATTCTTGCGCTCAAGACCGGCTCCCCGTCCGCCAGGAGGTACCAAGGCTGGCGGAACCTCTTCTCTCCTTCGAGGAAGCGCCCCGCAGAGAGCAGCTACCCTTCCTCGTCCATCTCTACCTCTTCGCTCTCACCATCCATAGACAGCAGAATGGCAGACGTCAAGCAGAATAGATTATCAGCACTGGTCGCTTCGCCCAGCCATGACAAGCGACCTGGATTTTTGAGCCGCCATTTTGGCCATCACAGACGACAAAGCAGTTTGAGTGGCGCGACATCAGACGCGCAGCAGTCGCCGCCGCAGTCAAGGCCGTCTACAGCCGCCCGCCAAGCACCCCAGCAGCCTGCACAACAAAGTCCACCAGTGCAAGCACCACCGGTCACCAATGGCAATACCCCAAACACAGAGGACGAGCAACAGACTCCTGGTATTGTTGTGCGCGCACCAACGGGAATCAGCGACCAATTTCCTGAGGTGCCCTATCCAGACGGCCTCCGGACCCCGCTCGGCACGAAAAGCGCCAAAGGAATCAAATGGGCCGAAAATTACGACGAGCAATCCGGCCCACGACCGCGACGGACGAGCTCTGCAGCAACACACGGCCGAAGGTCTTCCATTTACTCCAAAGCGGCAGAAGGCGATTACTATGCCGAAGGTGTCGATACCGGCGTTGGATCGAAAGCTCGGCGCCTCTCGGTGGCGCTTCAGGACGAGTTGCTGGTTGATGAAGAACCTTTGGACGCGCATTTCAGCACCTTGTCTCGGATCGCCCAAAAGGAAATTGGCTCAGGCGGCGCTGCTGTCGTGCGGTTGATGAAAAGCAGGACTGCTGGAAATGGGCTGAATAAGGTCGTCGCCGTGAAGGAATTCAGGCCTAGGGACCCGGACGAAGAAAGCCAGTACGACTACGAGCGAAAGATCAAATCCGAATTCGCGATTTCGAAGGCATGCCAACATCCAAACGTTGTCGAGACGTACCGACTCTGCTACAGCAAGGACGGCCTTTGGTATCACGTCATGCAGTACTGTGAAGTCGGCGACCTAAATGACTTGATAACCAACAGCTCCCTATCGCGAGAGGACCGCAACTGCATGATGAAACAATTGGTTAGAGGCGTGGATTACCTACACAGTCGCGGCATTGCTCACCGAGATTTGAAGTCCGAAAACCTGCTGGTCACAAATGAGGGCTGTCTCAAAATCGCGGACTTCGGCACAGGCGAAGTCTTTGCTGGAGCTCATCCAGGCGTGCGAAAGTGCAGACGACAAAGTATCGTCGACGCAAATGAACCCATACGAAAATGTGCTCCAGGCTGGGTTGGAAGCAGGCCGTATATGGCACCTGAGATCTACCAAAGACTTGGACCATACGATCCACGCGCTGTAGACGTATGGTCTTGTGCGATCGTCTATCTCACTTTGTGTTTTGGTGGCAATCCTTGGGACTGTGCGTCGCCGGACTGCAAGAATTACAGCATCTACTGTGGCACATGGGACGATTGGGCGCGCAAGTTTCCAGATGAAGAGATCAAGAAAGGCCGACCTTTGCCTGGGTTCGTCGCCAGCAAGAAGTTCAAAATGCTCGATGATCCTGGCACGAAGACTTTTGTGATGGGCATGCTGCACCCTAATCCAGACAAGCGATGGTCAATCAGACAAGTTCTGGATTGCCAGACAGTCCACGAGTACGCATGCTGTCAGCAAGACGGCTACAGCGATGATATTAAGACGCGGCAGAAAAAAGCTGCGCACAACCACAAACCACCTGAGAAGAAAGGCCACAAATTCCTGAAGACCGGCAGCTAGGTGGACATGATCTGAGCATGACTTGGGGATTGTTTGCGTTATACATACTCGTACAAACTTGCGAGTCTAGCTTATCGAACCGTATCTTTGGCACTGTGGAGCCCAGATTGATAGAGACGCTGGCGAGTCCTACCATCCCGCACTATGTACTACCATAACTCCCACACCGCATCCGGAAGCACCTTGCGCATGATGTGCCAATGTCGTTGAGCGCTCTCGGCTTGCACACTTGCCCACGTAACCTCGTCTCCCGGCTCCAGCAATTGCTTTGCTGTAGGATCCACACTCGGGAACGGGATCTCCATCTCAGGTCTCGGTAGTAAATAATGCTGCCTACTCAAGCTCCCCAAGAAGTCCTTTTCAGTTGGTGCTCGAAAAGAGATAGGAGGGGCGCCTGCATTCGCGTTACTCTCATTGTCATCACTATTACGGCAGAAGACGACCATATTCAAGAAATCCTGGTCTTGAGCGATTTTGCTATTGGAGTGTTTTCCAGGCGGAGCATCACGGAAAATCTTGCATTGGTTTGGCGTTGCACGAAAGGCGTTCGCGATGGTGTTCAGGACCAGACGCGTTAACGGCAAGGATAGATCTCCTGCATAGTTGATGGCCATGCGGCCCGTTTTGGGCTTGAGCAATGTACGCAAGTTGCGTAGAAACTTCGTATTGAAGAGAGCGAGAGGCTCCGCGCCACCTGTGAACACATCGTGGATGATGTAGTCGTATCTCTTTTCGTCCGGGTCGTTTTTGATGTTTGCTGCCTGCTCGGCGACCCACTTGACTGCGTCGCGCAGGACTGAGGTGTGATTTGAGGGTAGATCAAAGTATTCGGTTGCGAATCGATGCACGACAGGGTCAAGCTCGACGATCGTCGTATGGATTCCATGTCCGAGCATGGCCTTGGGCGCTGTTCCAATGCCGAGCCCTATGACGAGGGCTTCGGCTGACGTGTCTGGCACGGCGGTTTCATGCGTTGCAGGTTGCATTAAGCGTACTGCTTCAAGCATTTCGAAGGCTGAGTAGATAGGCTCATTGACCCGCCAGCCTTCTTTGCTTGCGCGTTCTGGGGTGAGGAGCCATTCGCCGCCGAGAAGGGAGTGGTCGCAGCGTAGGATTCTATATTTGTTCTCCTGGCTTTCAAGGACGGAAATGTATCCTAGTAGAATTGCGTCAGAGACAATGTGGCGATTGGGAGTTTTGCCCGCGGGATGCTGGAATATACATACCTGTGTTCGACCATGCTCGATCCATTAGAGTCCAATTGTGGGTGGCGAGTGCATCATTCGGGTGAGCGTAAAGCCCGACTTGTGGGTTCAAGAAGACAGCGTGCAGAATAGCGGGAGTGGCCAGGAATAGTAATGACACATCGCGGAATGAAGGGAGCTTGTCCGATGATACAAAGGAGATCAGTGCGAAGCTCGCTGCTCCGAAGAGTTGCAATCGTACTGGGGAGGCTCTTGGCTGCAGAGAGAAGATCCAGGTGAGCTGGCCTGACGTTCTCTTCTCATTCTCAATGAACATAAGTCCGACAACGATGAAAACAAGCCATCTGCGCCATCCATCGAATCTGGCATTGCCGCCATAGTACTCGGCATAAGCTCCATCAAGTGCTGCAGCCACGGCATATGCGCATGGCACAAGGACTGTATGGCAGCTCAGGATTCCATTCAGTGCAGGGCCCCAGACTGGTCCCAACCTTCCACTAAATGGCAGAAGCAGTGTCTGTAGGACCGGAACGTAGCACGACCACACTGCCAGCCATCTTAAGACGCTTCCGAAGTCCTTGGAGATCGTATACCCTTGCAGACCGGCTCCAAACGCAAATGAAACGAGAATTGCTGTTCTGTGATTTACCGCTGAAGGAATCGAGCCGTAGACTGGAGCTAGAGTCAACTGAGATACTGTCGAGGCAGCTGCGGCCAACAGGACCAAGGCAAAAGGTAGAGTAAGAGCCGTCAAATTCGTAGGTTTCCTTGGCGGCGCTGCTTGGTCCGGCGTTGTATTTTGCTTGGGAGGCATGGCGTTTTTCTATCCTCTTGGCGATGTTGGCAGGCACGGTCTCCGGTCGACTTGTCTGGATGCTTCGACTAGGTGTCTTGTTCGTGCTCGTGCTGATTCTTGATTTCCTGCCTCCCGGATTTCGGCGTGAAACTCCCCAGAGTTGGGTGTTTGGCAATGGTGCGGATGTGCAGATGGGAAGATGAACGCCTTTCTATCTCGACCACCACGTCAAATCTTGGCCAGTCCGCGTTATGTTGCAGTCAAGCAGAATGGAAGGATGAGGAAGCTGAGATAAAGGGGATGGAAGAGCCAAGACAAGAATCGCCAAAGCCACGGATAATAAGCGATTTCAAAGTCGAAGTACTTCACCTGTCTTGAGACCTAGTGGAAGTTGAATGGCAATGTAGTGATCTCACGAGAAAGATAGTCCAATGCTATGTCTGTGAGTCTTTGGCACCGTTTCTCAGAGGGCGAGAAGTCGTGCTCGACTTATGAGTAGATGATTGTGAAGGTCGAGGTGCGGTTGCCCTTGACAACGAAAATGACGTTTTGTGTACAAGGTATTTGTGGAATGCGCGTTGAAGACTTGAAGTCGAGAAGGCTTGTGCAGAGTGCAAGAGGACTTATGCGTGGGTATTGGAGGAGGTAGCAGGATGACTCGACAGCAAGTGTATGGGAAGCGGACGCGAGCCATCTACGACCCACGAGCAGCATTCTCCAGCCCAGAAGCCCAAACGAATGCCCCCAACTCTTCCAATGTCGAGCAACCTACGCCTGTCGCGGCCAAGAAGAGAGGCCGGAGTACAATCGCATTAGATCATGAAGTGATACCGCGAAGATCACCGCCAAAGGCTCTGGGAGAGAAACAGGTCAACTCGGTCGTGCTACCGCTTGAGGCCATAAATGCAGCCAAGGAAACTCGGACGAAGAAACCAGGGATACAGAGGCAAGGAGCGCATGTTCAGAAGCACAAGATCGGCCAAGATGGAAACGCCGCTTCTCAGAGACAACACACGACATTCGATGATCGTGGCCATCCGCGGCCATGTCGGAACTCACGAGCCAGGCGAAGGGCTCAGCGTGCGCAACACGACGAACATGGCGAGGCTGTTCCAGAGCCTATCTCTCGCCCCACGAGACGCCAGCATATATTCTTCGACGATGAGCATTTGCCAAAGCAGGAAGAGGCTTTGCAGACGACAGAAGGCGTAGCAAATGCTGGAAGGCCTGACCCGGCACTACTGCCATCGGTCGACAACATATGCGAAAAGGCGGTGGACACCCAACACGTGGCGATGGCAGAGCAAGATAATCACGAGTTTGAAGAGGAATCCGGGAGCTGTAGAGCTGAGACATGTCCATATCAGCAGCATTGCTCGGAAATACTAGACCTATCGGCACATCCTCTGACGTGCTTCGATACCTGGTCATCTGAGTTGTCGGAGCACTTCGCAGTCACCAAGATTGCAGAAGCTTCATTTGGCGAAGTCTATCGTCTGTCACTGTTGGAGGACATCACCGACTTCTGCAACACGGACGAATCTGTTTTCAAAGTCATACCTCTGCAGAGACCCGAGACTACATTACCCCTCGATAAACGAAAACGAAAGGCGGCACTACTTAAGAACGAAGACATGTCGAATCCGTCGGATGTTGCGACAGAAGTCCGAGTGCTCCAGAGAATGAGCACTATACCGGGCTTCACCAATTTCCGAGATGTTCGAATACTGAAGGGCCGACCTCCACCAGCATTCATCGACGCTTTCAAGACATGGAACACCAGCCAGAAGTCCAGGGGCAAGGACTTATCACACTTCCCCGACCCAGGCAAGAAGTCCAGCTATGTAGATGATCAACTCTGGGCCGTGATCGAAATGCAAGACGCAGGTTCTGACCTCGAACGTCTGATTGAACAAGGGACCTGCACCTCCATATGGATAGTCTGGGACATCTTTTGGCAAACTGTCCTCTCGATAGCCAAAGGCGAAGAAGGCGCAGAATTCGAGCATCGAGATCTCCACGCCGGGAATATCTGCATTCGCTCAACATCTCTGCCCGAAAACATCGACAGCAACCGCAAACTCAACTTCACATCCCTCGAAACAACCATAATAGACTACACAATCTCTCGCTGCCTGATGCCCGACTCTAGCATCGCATATACCAACCTCTCCTCGCCATCTCAAGCCGGGGTCTTCGAAGCAGACGCCACAGAAGATTACCAGTACGAGATCTACCGGTACATGCGAGCAGCTCTCTTCTTTGACAACGCTGTTGCCAAGTGGAATCCAGAACACTCCACGGGTCGAGACTGGGAGCAATTTCATCCTCAGACGAATCTGGTGTGGCTACATCTGGTTCTGTATAAACTTCTGGAACAGTTGGAGTGGCCTTCGAGTAACAAGAAGAAAGCTCCGCCCAAGAAGAATAGAAAAGAGCGTGCGGTCTGGAAACGTGCGAGGGATTTGGAGAATGTGTTGTCGAAAGTCGAGGAATTGCTGGATCCCGGCGCGATTTGTGGGAATGGAGTCAGGTCTGCGAGTGATCTTATAGGGTTTGCTGTTGGTGAGGGTTGGTTAGATTTGGAAGATGTGATTGGCAATGGTGTTGATGAGTCTGCTTTGGTTTCGCAACTTGAGGCTTTGGAGTTGACATGACGAGTTCTGAGCGTTCTTGAGCATTGGTATTGGTATTGGTATAGCGGCCGTAGCTGCGTTCGTGGCATAGCGTGCTGTTTTTGCGTGCCAGTACGGAGCATGCTTCTTGTACATATTCTTCTAACGAGAGCCTGTGATGTCGTCTTTGACCATACACGCCTTTTCGTCTTCCTGCATGGCATCTATATGTCCATGTCGATGTCATCGGTTGCGCGACCATTCCACGCTCCATTGGCTTCGGTAGCAGCGCTACTGTTTCCCGCTGGTGTGTCATCTTTGCTACCGCCCCAGTAATCATTCATTTCTGCATCTAGCTCTTCCGCCGTCTTCCTTGGTCTGCCTCCCACGAGCGGTCTGCCCTCGCCATCGACCCGCGGCTTCCGCTCTCGTGGCTCGCGCGGGCCTCTGCCACCTCTGTCTTCCCTGCGCTCGCCCGGCCTGCGACCTCCTCCGCGCGGGGTGCCTCTGCGTCTGATGGGCGACCGAGAGCCACGTCCAGGGACGTAACGGTCGACATCTGGGGCGGCTAGCCTATCGCTCTTGCGAGGACTGTCGCTTCGCTGCCTGGGTCTTCTACCACCATCTCTGCTGTCATCCCTGCTTGATGTGATTCTATCAAAAATGCTGCGTGGTTGGCGCTCAATTCGATCCGCAATACCGCGCGGTGGCGCGTCTCGTGATGGACCGCTCGGCATGAGCGAAATGCGGATAGGTTGGCCATTGGCGTTCTGTCCGTCAAACTTGTGGAGAGCATCGCGCGCGTCTCGCTCGTCCTCATAGATAACGTACGCAGTCCCTTGCGAGCGATCCTGACGATCGTACAGGAGCCTCACGGACAAGGTGGGACCCACACGTTCAAAAAGTTCCTGGATACCATCAGCATGCGCCTTCAGAGCTCAAACTTCTCAATGCGTACCCTCAGATCGTCCTCAGTCAGCTCGTAGTGAATGTTGTCGACTCGGAGCTTGCTGCCGGTGCTTCATATGAAATCAGTGGGAGATACAAACTGCATGTTCACTGGTATACATACGATTCAGGATCTCGTCCGCCATATCTATCGTCGGCTGGAGCGCGGCTGCGCCTATCGTAGCGGTCGTCTTCGAAGCGATCGTGGACCCAGTCGCTGGGAATTGTTAGCTTGCCCGATGTGCTCTGAAGACGGTATAGTCTCACGAGTCAATGTTTGCGGGTTCGTCGCGTCGGTACTGTAAGGCAGGACGCCCAGGTCAGCTCTGTTGCTTCGCGGTAGTTGTGCCAGTCGACCATGGCCATCGTGGTTCGCCGAGTCCGTAGAATGGAACATTTGGCTTGGACAAGATCGGTCACGTCTAGAAGTGACATATCACGGTATAAGGGAAGGAAGCAGCACCTGTCGGCAGCCAGTCTGTCAGATAGTCTGTCTTTGTGGTCGGCGTCCGTTTGATCTGACCTTTCTCACGCCGTCTCTGGGATACTCTTCTCTCCATGGCGCTCTCGCCGCCAGCGCTGGTCGTCGATCGCCTCCGCCACCTCGTCCCCCTCTGCCTCTGCCGCCACCTCCTCGCTGCGCACTTGTTAGACCGCTGGCTGTCGGCTCGAATAGCGGCTGGTAAGCTTACTGAGCGCTCAGGGCGTTCGCCGATGATTTCGTCGAGACTGCGGTCCATCGCGGCTCGATGTTGATAGCTCTGGAGACCGTGAAGTGCAGGAATTTGTCAAGTTGCACCTTGATGTCGCAGATCCAGCTCCAAGCAAGCAGTGTTGGTACAAGCCGCTTCGGAAGCTTTCCGAAGCGAAGTCCGAGCCAAGGCTTCTCCTCCGCCGTTCTGCCCCTCTACTCCTGCATCACCGTGTATATCAACACGAAATGCAAGACAAAGGGCGTCAGGTCAATGCTGAGCCTTACGCGTGGCCGCATGACGGTCGGCTGAACCCGCAGACAACGGCTCTAGTAGTCGTAGACATGCAACGCGATTGTACGGCCAAGCATATCCTCCCTTCAGTATGCCGACTCTGATGACATTCAACCCCAAGTTTGTGAAGAAGGCGGCTACCTGTCTCACCAAGGATACGATATAGGACATACGAGAGCCATCATTCCGAACATCAAAAGGCTTTTGGCTTCATGCAGGACCAAAGGCTTTCCTATCTTCCATACTCGTGAAGGACATAGAGCCGATCTGTCCGATCTTCCGCCTAGGGAGCTTTTCAGGTCGCGCAACAACCCATCTGGGCTGGGAATAGGCGATGAAGGCCCGCTTGGACGGCTTCTGGTTCGTGGCGAGGCAGGACACGAAATCGTCAAAGAATTGTGCCCTCGGCAAGGCGAACCGGTGATTGACAAGCCAGGAAAAGGCGCCTTCACGAACACAGATTTTGATCTCTTACTGAGGGTCAAGCGCATTCGCAATCTCATCATTTGCGGCGTGACTACAGATGTCTGTGTGCATACGACGATGCGCGAGGCGAATGACCGAGCTCTGGATTGCTTGCTGGTAGAGGAGTGCTGTGCTGCAAGTGAGGAGCATCTACATCGCGCTGCGGTAGAGATGGTTCGGACTGAGGGCGGCGCGTTTGGCGCTACGGGTTTCTTAGAGAATGTTCTGAAAGCCATCGAAGATTGAACGATGCAAGTTCCTCAAACCTTCCTCAAAGAAGCATTTGTTCGAGGGTTCGTTGCGCTCCGGGCGATGTGTAGCATCAGAGGCGATACTCCATCATGGGTTGTAGTCATCGTAGCGAACGCCACATTGTCGTCGCGCCTGATGCATTTCAAGCGCGTCGAATGTCAAAACAGCTTCAGGCTGAGCAGGATCCTCTCGTCCGACACATCGTGTAATGATGGAGGTAGCGTAACAAACTGCTGCTGGGCTGAAGATGTGTACTTGGTGAAAGTAAGTTCCAATTGTGGCCGCGCTGCACGTGTTCGGGAGACACGGCCCGCAACTCTGCCGCCGCCGCTCAGTCAGCGCGACTCCTGTCCTCATCGTCGCTGAAAGAGAAGCAAATTCCCAGTGGACACATCGCTCGATCCCGGCGCAAAAGCTCGAAGATCTCCACGGCAACGACACAAATGCTGCCAGAAATATGCAGTGTGCGGTAGCGATAGACGTCCACCAAAATCATCCTCCCTAGCTTTGCGGATTGTTGCAACGGACCTGGCACCATGCCAGCTGACAAGGCATCCAGCGACATGCGCCGACTCAGCATCAGGGCGCCCAAAGTAGGCCACAAGAAGTCTCGCAATGGTTGCCAGACCTGCAAACTGCGCAGGGTGAAATGCGATGAGAAACAGCCTGCATGCTCGATATGCCTTCGTCTGGGCCTGGATTGCATGTATGTAACGCCTGAGCCAACTCGAGCGCGCACAAGGACACGCAACACGGCACCAAAATCGTTACAACCGCCTCTATTGTCTCCAGCTTATTCGACCTCTCAAGGAAGTCACTCGCAAGGGAGTCCGCCGAATGCAAGCACAGATCCAGCCCAACCGACAATCGCCAGGTCCACACAGGATTCAGCTACTGAGGAGTCCGAGCAAAGGCGCTATATGGAGTTACGGCTTCTTCATCATTGGATGCTCCATGTATCGCGACCTTTCGGAATGACATCTCCCCCGAGCTGGAAGGAACTCTGGTATGGGGAGGTGCCCCAAGTTGCACTTACCAACAAGAACGTTCTCTACGCGCTGTTCACAATGACAGCGACGCACCTTCTGGGAAGCTGGCCTCATGATGCGGCACTCTACCGAGCACGCGAGAATTACTGGGTTTGGGCACTTCGCGAACAGCGTGCGGCAATCACGGATCTGGACAATTCCAACACCGATGCGGTCGCATTCGCAGCACTATTGATATCAATGAACTCGCTTGCTATGCTCCAGGAGCGCCCTTTGGAACCATACTCACCACCGGCAGATTGGCTAGAGGTTGGAAGAGGCGCATTCACCGTCTTGCCTCCTCCTGAAGCCGTCAGCGAAGGCACGGGGCTCAAAGTTTTGATGGACACTACCGCCAACATCTGGCAGGCAAATGTGACGTTTGATGCTGATATGCAGCGCGAATTCGGCGCCATACTGAACCGGGACATACCATCTACCGACACTTGGGATCAGGAGACATGTGAAGGCTACGAGAATGCGCTGAGCTACATTGGCTCATTCCGGCGTGCGGTGCTAGCCGGTGAGCCTGCAGACATCAACCTGCGCTGGATATGCATGTTCCCGTTCATGGTTCCCAGGCAGTTTGTCGATTTCGTCAGTGAAGGCAGACCAAGAGCTCTAGTGACGCTGGCATACTTTTTCGCCGTGGTCGGGCACACAGATGCCTTGAAGTATTTGGGAAATACCGGCCAGCATACGACAGCGCGGCGAGAGATCCACGCAATCAGAAACGTGCTACCACAGGAATGGCAAAGTCTGATGGCGTGGCCAATGAATGAGATCTCAGCAGGATGAATCTATCATGCGCGCAAAAGCTGCCTCTTACGTGCTTAGCCGCTATACTGGATTCACACCTCCAACCAAACAGTCCGCATAGGCGAGTACGAAAACAAGTGCGCAGACGCTGTCATGCAGAAACCTCACTAGCCTTGTGGCGTATCTTGTTGGTTCGAGCTCGCGTACATGCACTGCAGAGGAAAGAGAGATTCATCATGAACAGCATCAAGTTTACGAAAGCCCGCGGATAGAGGCATAGGCCAGCATTTCTATCCTGCCTCTTGTCGCCTGGGCGGGCGCACTCTCAAGCTCCATGATGATCACCGTGGTGTTTCGGGTCAGTTGCAGGAGATCAATGGCAGAGCGCTCTAGTTTCTGCCTGCATCCCTTTCCACCCCTAGCACGAAAAGATCCGGGTCGTCATCCGACAGTTTCGAAATTGCTGGTCATTGTTGATGGTGAAGGCAAAGTGGACTTTGCGTGCGAAACTATGCACCCTGGATCAATGCACTCCATCTCAGATGTCGAAACGCCAAGGTTCGAAGTGTGAATGAAGACTGCAAGTGGTTCGGAATTTACTCATGAGATACTCTTGAGCTAGATGCATGCCATACGACTCGCGAGATGTTAAGGAAAATGTCCTTGAACCTACCTCTGCACTGCCTTGGCTGTGTAGCACTACAGAATCTCTACATCTCATTAATGATGAGAGCCGTACCCGAAGTCTTGGTCCCGCAAATGACCCTTCGCATATCTTCCCGCCATGCACCTTTCAGACAGAACTGTCACAGAAGTTTCAGGTGCGCTTCGATTGGCTTTGTCACACTGACAGTGTCTCCTGCTTCAGAAAGCGCTGTGACCTTACACGACTGAACACGACGATGTGAATATGAAGAGACTTTGAAACCGCCTGCCCGAAGAAAAGACGAATTAGCAGGCCTCAGAGTGGACATTCACACGCTTACCGAGACCAAACACGCTATGAGGCGAGAAGTGTATCTCCATGCTCCACCGGGCAACGAGCGAAACTCACACATACCCACGCTAGGAAGCAAAGAGCACTTCCCCGACCGGTGACAGCGGACGTGGCGTCGTTTGCATATGCGACAACGGTGGTTTGCTGCATTGCTTGCAGCTGCAGGTGCACGCATGTCACAGAATCAGCCGTAGTTGAGTGTTCAGCCACTTTTGCCGTGATTTACCCTTTGACGTCTTGCTCTACCCTCATAGACGTTATTTTGCAGTGCTCTCCACGAGGACGCGGCTGCCAAGATGCAAAGTTACGTACAAATCATCTTTTGCGGATAACGTCGATGTGCGTCACAATCCTGGGAAGAATTGACATACGGAGCGGACGATGCTTACTCCAAAACCTTCTACAACTCCTCAACCAGCTCCTCATATGCAGATAAGCAGGACCGGCTCCGCCATCTTCATCTCTCTCACAGCCCTCCAATACCGACATGAGCGGCACATTCTATACTGCAGGATCCTTTGACGATCGACACGTTCTACTCGATTGATGCGCATTTCTTCATGCTCCTTACTGCATGTATTGGTCGGCCCGGAAATTCTCGCTGAGAGCATTTGGCAAGGCACCTGCAAGCAAAAGCGTTGATCTTTACACGTTTTGGCCATGAGATCTCGATCATTACGTCCTTCAGCTAACGCCATCAAATTGCGATTGAACGAGAAGTTCCCGTCTCGCCAGCCGATAGTCTGTACTGCAGCAATATACGCTCTCCAATCTGTTCCAGGCCAACGCCACCTGGTCGTGGCGAACCCCTCGTTCCTTCGTCCGTGGCTCTAACGGACGATCGATAAGAAACGGCATTGAAATGCAAATGTGATGAATGCTCGCTCAGTCGATATCCCCTGATCATGCTTAGCCGTACGTGGGCATGTGCGTCGGTGAGGATGCTTTCTGTCCGAGATGCTTCGTTTGATCAGGACAGAATCCGCTTGATGAAGGAATCATCGTTGCCTTCGGTGCATGGACTGTTTTGCACAACGCAGGTGGGTTGCGCCTCCGAGCTTCCTGACACGCTTCTGTCACGACTGTATAATGTCCACAGCGCTCCCATTTGAGATTGTTCTTGAAACACATGGCTGGCGTGATCGATTCTCGTGTTCTTTGACAGAGTAGTATTGCGTCCGTTTATTTGCTCGTATTTCACCCCCACAGCCCAGAGTCTCGAGGATGCTGTTGTTGGTGCAGCTGCCGAGCGATGTGCCTTCTTTCGCGCGCGCGCAGTGTTTTGAATGGAAAATTCTCGAACAAGGTCGAAGAATTGCCGCCCGGTATGGACGTGCTGTTATGAGTGTGTGTACAGAATAAATGGAAGCAAAGCAGGACCGGGACATGTGGCAATGTATTGGCTGCAAAATAGATGCGGAGCCTTGTTCAAGATCTGTGATGAGCCTGCACAAGGAGCTGGTCAGACAGTCGCGCTGTGCAGATAGCAGGAACATAGGTGACAAGCTCAGCTAGTGTCGGAGGCGTCAAACCCACTGCAGGCTCAAGTTGCTGCAATCAGAAGCCGCTTCCAGCTTCTCGTTGGTGGAGCGTAGTTAGTGACAGCGGGCCACTTCGACTCCCCTCTTTTACAGTACAAGCAATTGGCGGAGTCATGTCGCGTGCGTTTCCCACAAGGAGAAGTTTTCATGTGAACGAATGAATGGCGATCCTGATCTCCTAGCTTCCGCGACGTTTGAGCCACCAAGTCGATGGAAATGGCCACAAAGACTCGACTCGGTACTTTTATAGGGTCTTTTCACTGCTCCGGTCGTTTGGTCGTACCGATATATTGAAGTTCCACAGGATTCTGCTGGTCAATCCTGACGTTTCAACTTGGTAGACTTTGCCTTGAAGGCCAGGCCTTGGCTTCAGCTGGAAATAATCGAGTGAAATGCTAGCACCGTGTGTTGAGCCAGTATGGTTGTGAGGTCCAGCTAGAAGAAGCTTTGAAGATTCTCGGCAAATTCTCAGTGCACTACTGTGTATGTAGGGTATTGAACAGCTCTTCAACGGGCTGTCTAACTCGCAGTGATCTCCGAGACCTTACGGGCCATCAGGACGAAAACGGAAGACCCGTAGGCCATGGGCCATGGATGTGGGTTTACACTCTCCTCAAGATCCGGACTATGTACACTGTATAATGCACTGGTGTACACCAGTGTATACACATCGGCTATGCCCGAATACTAGGATATCCGAGCAATATTAAGCAACTTGGCGGGTTGTAGGTAGGATATCGGGATTCCGATAACTCCGCCTTATATAGACATAACGAGCTCGCCTAAAAGACTCGTATATATAGTGTATTACAGAGCGTATACACTATCTACAGGTTAGTAGACTCTATTACTAGCTATAGCGTCGAAAGCTACTATATAGAAGCAGCGTAGATCGTTAGTATATAGCTAACGTAGCCGGGGACGCAAGCCTCTCTTCCCCGTTACTAGCTCGGTTACGACGCTATTAAGAAGTAGTTAGCTTGCTAATAAGCTAAACAATTAGCGAGTCTACGGCCGGCTAACAGTGCTGCTATTATAGCGGTAGCCTAATCGTAGCACTAGACGAATAGGCCGAAACCTCGCGATTTCCGGTTTCTTAGAACCTAGCGATTTCTATTCTCTCGTATTCCTCGATATATCGTGTTTCTTAGTATCTCGTATTTCTCGATATCTCGCGTTTATCGTATTTCCCCTCTACGAAGCCGTAGTATAGAATATTTCGCTATAGCACCTAATTTGTATACTATACCGAAAACAATATTATTACCGACTTTCGCTTTTAGAACATACGTAATTCCGTAGGATCTTTATAATACTTAATCTCCTTCTCTAAACTATATACTTAATTATTCGTCCTCTCTTACGCTAGGCGATATCGAATCTGCGTTACTATTACTATACTATAGGAAAACCGAGATACTATACTATAGCAAATTCGCGCTACTATACTATAGCAAAAACGATACGAGAAACTATACGCTATAGCAGACTAAGACTATCGCGTGCTATAGCAAAATCGACGCGTGCTATAGCAATATCGACGCGTACTATAGCAAAAGCAATGCCTCCGAGAATTAACATCGACGAACATCGTCCCCTTGTCTAGTAGATCGTAAGTACCGAGAACCCTCGTACCTATTCGATATTACGTGCCCGTATTATAGAAGAAGCTAGTATTACTATCGAAGAGCGTCTATTAAAAGATCGTTACTTAGAATAGGGCATTTCTCTTATTAGTAGGCCGGTCGCGGAGACAGAGAGTCTCTAGACATATATTAAGAACAACTTCTAGCGATATTATAGCCTAGGCGACAAGAAGACAGTAGATATACTACGTACTAAAGGCTTTAAAATAACGATATAGCAATACTAGCGCCTACGGCGGAGAATAGGTCTTATACGAAGGATAGCGCCTAAAAACAAAAGAGCACTTTATAAAGCGATTAAACGTATTCTTAAGACCGTAATTGCTTCTAGCGTTAAGTACGATAGGGGATATCGAGCTATTATAAGATATCTGCGGAGGAAGAACTATTTTATCGGTAGGTTAGTATAAACATTCTTTATTAAGTTTGCACTAGATTTAGCTGTAGTATAGTGCATTAGTGCTATAGCTAAAACAGCACTAATATCGCTAGAGAGACCTAATATCTGCTAGAGATAGGCCGCCTATCGATGCCGGTACCTCGAAGCTAGAGCGTATCTATTTAACAAGTCGCACTTATATATCCTTTAAAGGACAATGTTCGCGATACCTAAAGGACAGGTACTAGACCTATATAGCGGCTTCCTATCTCTCTATACGCTATCTATCTAGTATAACTGTATACACGAATAGTAATACAATTTAGGCTTGAATTTTCCTATAGCATAACGTCTATATACTATAGATAAATAAAGCCCTAGACTCTCCCTACAAGTAGTATACTAATTATATTCTAGAGACCGGATTTACAAGATCGCCCGCAGCCTCGATAAGATACCGTTTATAGCGCGCCGACTCTATAAACCGCGATTTCAGCTAGCGCATAGTTGTCGTAAAGCTATTAGTCCTAATAATGTCTAGTTAGTAGATGCGTACTACAAGTTTAAGGCCTTCTTCGGTATCTAGATCTACGTTTGTATCGATGTCTTCTCCCGGATAATTATATAGTACTATATCGGCAACCTCGCAAAGACTAAGTTTTCTACTTTCAAGCAATACTATATGCTGCCTATAACTTGTTAGTAATTGCGGGGAGAGCCCTATACCTCCGCAGGGGCTTAGCAAGCATACATACACCTATTTTTCTACTAAAAGCTGCTCTTTAGACCTCTGTCGGAAGCCTAGATTCTCTAGTATATCGTAGATATCGTATTGTCGACAATTTAGTAGTATAGGCCCTTCCGAGGTGTTATTACAATAGTAAAGAAGGCTCGTATTAATCGCGACTAGTAAGGCTAACTAATTAACCTCTTTTCTAAAGGGCTATCTACTAAGGAGATATACGCCTTTACAAAGCTTCTAATATTAGTCCGTTCAGTATATCGTTATTAAGAGAAATAGCGCTTATTTAGAGCCTTATATACCGAGAATACAGGCACTCGGCGTAGCTATTCGAATAGCCTACTTCTAGTAGCCGAAGAAGAGTTTCTCCTTAGGTATCTCGACGACCGACCGGACGCTTACTTTATAGAGATAATCCAAGCTCTTTAAGACGAGTTTGTAAGGCTACGCCCTATAAATGAAGGTAGTAGTAGTGCGGTTAAGCTTCGTCCTTCTCTAATCGGCAAAGTGTTAAAGAAACACGCCTATACTCGAACGGAGTTAAGCGGTCGGCGAAGGAACGTAACCTATTCTTAAGGGCTTTGTAGACGATTAGGTGCGCTAAATAGCCGGTAGATCGACTAGTCTTTATCGACGAGACTACTAGCAATTAGAAGACAGGTTAGCGGAAGTATAGATAGAGTCTAAGAGGTATTATATACGTAGATATCTAATATGCGAAGCGAGAAGTAAGGTAGAGTATATTGCCGGCTTTTACGGTCTATAGCTATTTGCTATATACCTATATATACTAAGGATCAATTAATAGTAACCGCTTCTATACCTAGATTACTAAGCAGGTGCTTCTATGCCTCGAAGAAGGACCGCCGATAATCTTTGTTATAGACAATGCTAGTATTTACTATAGATTAAGGATTAAGTAGGCGATTCTCGATACTAGATACCGACTCGAGTACTTGCCGCCGTATTCGCCTAATTTGAATCCTATTAAAGGCAGCTTCAATCTGCTAAAGAAGACTATTAAAAGACACAGAGATCAGATTCCGAAGTTCTTTAGCTTTTAGGATTACTTGCTGTATTGTTTATACCGCTATCGAGGCCGTCGAGCGCGTAAGCTATTCGCTAATGCTAGATATAATGTCGATAGGGTAGATTTGCCGTACGACGCTTCCTAATTCGAGTCGACAGCTAGTAACGCTTAAAATATGCTAGCACTCGATCTAGAAGAGTCCCGATAGATATAGTAGGCTTAGAACAACGAGCCGCCGGTGCTTAACGACGTAGAAGCGCTATGTGCGTTATATAAAGAAGATAATATAGAAGACGAGGAAGAAGAGGTCGATTTTAACGATTTCGAGTAATATAACTAGGCGTTATTAGCGTGCGGCAAGCGCCGCATAGTAGAGGTATAAAGAATATATACGAACGCTAGCCTTGCCTATTGCTTGTATTGCACTACAACTAACGCATAATATTAATTAATTATATATAGGCTAAATAAGTGCTTCTACCGCAAGAATCTCCCGCTTATTACAAGTTTATATATGTTATAATTATGCAAAGATTAGTATAGGAAGGAAGTTAAAGTTCTTAGAAGTTCTCTCCTTCTTTAGTAGCGGCAGCTTCCGCCGCTATAACCTTATCCTGTTTCTTCCTTATAAACTCGACGATAGCCTTCTTTAGTTTTAATCGTATTCTATCTACCTAGCTAAGTGCCGCCGGCCAATCGTCCTTTGTTAGATTGCAGATAGTCTCTAGCGTCTAGCCTACGCCGACGAAATAGGTAATATAAGGCCGTAGATAGTTATAATCCTAGAAATCGCGGTAAAGGGCAACTTAGTCGAAGAATTCTACCGTTAGCTTCTCGTACTAAATGATATTGTATAGCAGTCTAGCATTACGCTAACTAGCCTTAACTAGAGCTCGAGCAGGTGTCCGACTTAGTATACTAGCAATAAGGCTACTGCCGCGCAGTTTGCTATCTAGAATGCGACTAAGGTCCTTACTAAAGTTATTATAGATAATCGGCTAAATTCTACTACTTCTAACGGCTAGTTTACGAGGCGAGTCGTCTTCGTTACTACTATAGCGGCGACCTCTTATCTTCCGGATAGTAGTCTTCTATATCTTATTCTCGACCTTCCTCTTTATTAGCTTAATTTCTAACCTTACTAGCAACCTATCCTCGAGAACGCCGGTTTGCTTATTAACCTTCTATTTACTAGAAGCGATCGCTTTATAGCCCTTAATTATAGCCGCCTCGAAGAATAGAAAGTAGTTCTTACTATAGTCCTTTAGCTTCCGGTTACGCTAGTACGCATACTTACCCGCCTTTATATAATTGCTATAGTCCTTCGTACTACATAGAAAGTCACGGATAATCCAATAGTCGTATCGCTTCTAAGTCTCGAGTTTAGCTATTACAACGCCGGCGTTAGTAAGCTAAATTGAGGTTGGATTAGAAGCCGGTAGCTTCTTGCTACTACCTAAAGGTCTAGCCGCTACTGTTGCTTTAGGTTTAGTTATAAAGTCTATATTAATAAATACATTCTTCCGCGAGGTAAGGACAAGGCCTTTCGCGACCTCGAGAGCGTTAGTATAGACCTTATCGCTATTAATCTTATTATCTCTAGCTTAGTGCTAATCGCTAGTAAAAGCGCTCTTCTAACCGTCCGCTCTAGCACGAATAACGACTCGGTTAATAGCCGCTATTCTATACAACTTCGCTATCTTCGCCGCCTACGTATAGCTATTCTAACCCTCCTTATCGCTCGCCGATAAGAACTTTACCGGTTTATACGCTATTGTCCGCGCCGCGCCCTTCTTCGTCGTATTAAAGAGCGTCTACTGTCCTTTATAATAGAAGGTCTCGTCTAAGAAAGAGCTAGGTTAAGTTATTAGAGC